CCTAAAACCAAGAACCCACATAATCAGAAACAGCCATTCTAAAAATCTTAACCCGAGTGCCTTATCCTTTAGAAAATTGTGTGGCCGTGTTGGAACAAAGTTGTGGGGGAAAAGCTCTCCAAGTCTGTGCACAACAGGCTCGCAACACTTAGCCAACAGATGCTGGTCACTTAGCACCAAGGTAGAAGTCTTGAGAGTCTGGATCTGGGGGTCCCTCAGTGGAGGCCAGCATCCATCTCTGTGCATTTTTAGTGTCTGAGATGCCTGTCATTATGGTAAAACCCCCTTTTATTAGCAGTTTTAAGCCCTCGCTGGAACGCCATACGCAGTACTGGCTCTGTTCCTTAAGCAGACAGGCTCTGGAGAACCACCATGGAGATGTCCAAGTTTGACAATTTCTTTTATCACACGAATGCCCCATTTTTGGTAGAGAAAAACATTCCTGTGGTGGTGAAGCCTTCTGAGACATAGATGAACCTGGGTTTTCTAGCCAGGTTCTAGCTGGGAAACCGTGGGAAGATAACTTAACCTTAAGGGACCTCTGTTTCCTCATCTGTGAAATGGGGTAACACCACCAGCTGCTCACAGGGCAGCTGAGTAAAATAAATGAGATGAGGGGGGTACAGTGGCCAAAGGCAAGCTTCTCTATTCTCCCCGGCCCGGCCTGAAGTGGAACCAAGAGCGTTTTATTACATGTGCACCCCCAGGTTTCACTATGACCATTGTTATGCACTGAACTGTCCCCTCACCTCCAAATCCATATGTTGGAGCTCTGACCTCCCATGTGAGAGGAGGCCTGTAAGGAAGTAATTGAGGCTAAAAGAGGTCATAAGGATGGGGTCCCTGATCCCATAGGATTAGTGTCCTTATAAGAAGAGCCACCAGAGCCACCAACCCCCATCCAAAAGAGGAGGTCATGGAGGCGCACGTGTGCCATGGCAGCCACCTAGAAGCCAAGAGAAGAGGTCTCAGAATGAAACCTACCTTTTTTTTCTTTCTGTTTCCATAAAAAGGACAAAAACCTACCCTATTGGCACTTTGATCTCAGATTTCCCAGTCTCCAGAACTGTGAGAATAAATTTCTGTTGTTTAAACCACCCGGTGTGTGGTACTTTGCTATGGCAGCTCTAGCAGACTAATAATCCCATTGCTGCAGCTTTTCTTTAAAGGGATCCCTAATCAAACCTTCCCACAGGACTGCTGGGCTCAGGCTGGCAAAGTGGCTGTGGGCAGTAGGTTCTTTGGTCTGGTAGAGGCAGGGCAAACCTGATGGGCAGTGAGTGCTACAGCCTCTTTTTTTTTTTTTTTGAGACAGAGTCTCACTTTGTTGCCCAGGCTAGAGTGAGTGCCATGGCGTCAGCCTAACTCATAGCAACCTCAATCTCCTGGGTACAAGCAATCCTCCTGCCTCAGCCTCCCGAGTAGCTGGGACTACAGGCATGTACTACCATGCCTGGCTAATTTTTTCTAGATATACTAGCTGGCCAATTCATTTCTTTCTATTTATAGTAGAGACGGGGTCTCGCTCTTGCTCAGGCTGGTCTCGAATTCCTGAGCTCAAACGATCCGCCCACCTCGGCCTCCCAGAGAGCTAGCTAGGATTACAGGCGTGAGCCACCTTGCCCGGCCTACAGCCTCTTACTAACACCTGCCACGTGCTGCCGAGGACTGAGGTATGAAGGCAGACTCTGCCTTCAGGGAGCTCCCAGTCTAGGAGGGGTGGCAGATTTAGAAACAATAACAGTAGAGTTGTATCCACTTTCTATTCGCTACTGTAATATATAACCACAAACTTAGTGGCTTAAAACAACACAAATTTATTATTTTGGGTCTTACTGAGCTGAAATCAGGTGCTGTCAGGGCTGCGTTACTTTCCGGAGGCTCTAGGAAAGAATCCACTTCCTTGCCAGCTTCTAGAGGCTGTCCTCGTTCCTGGGATGGTGGCTCCCTTCCTTCGATGCCACCAATGATTGGTTATATTTTCTCACATCTCATACCCCGACACTGACTCTTTCAGCTCCCCTTTTCCCATTTAAGGACTGTTGGGGTTACACTGGGCCCGCCTGGATAATCCAGGATAACCTTCCCATCTGAAGGTCAGATGATAAACAACCGTATTACCATGTAATGTAATATATTCGTAGGTTCCAGGGATTAGGAAGTCTTTGGGAGGTCATCATTCTGCCTATCAAAAGTGATGAGAGCACTACTGATAGATAACAATTGTGTAATATTATAATTAGAACAGTTATAAAATAATTTTATGTAAATAGCATATTATATAACAATTATAACATGCCAAGTACTGCACTAAGCACTTCACAACATAAGCTTGAACACCCCTAAGAATACCACTATTGTTCTCATTTTACAGATGAGGAAACAGAGGCAGAGAGGCTCATTAGCTTGCCCATGGTCACCCAGGTAGTAAATGAGAGCTTTAACCTTGGCTGTCTGGCTCCAGAGCCTGCTCTTAACCACCTTGCCATGCAGCCTCTCAAGAAACAGGGTGTCTCAGAGGGACCACTTACATTAAGAACAGGACTGAGCACTTCCATTTCTGAGGCATGTGAGCTGACACACCTACACCACACAGATACCTGCTAGTATTGTGCCCCTTCTTTTGCCAGGCATCTGCAGCCTATATGAAAGTTTAATTAATAGCATTTGGTTGAGGGTCACTTTAACCAAGCCAAATGAAGAATGTATTCAATATACAATATTTCACAAGAATCTGACACATAGACAGTGCTCAGACATGCAAAATGCTGGTGAAATTTCGATGAATAAATCGGTATCAGTCTCTGAGGAACATGTGACACACACGTCCTAAGGAACATATCCAACTGGCCGGCCATGGCTAATTCCAAACATGACTGCAAAAGGCTGGAAACAGACCAGAGGGTCTTTGAGGCCAGTGCTTCTCAAACTTTAATGTGTGCACAAATCACCCAGGGATCTTGTTAAAAGGAAGATTCTGACTTCATAGGTCTGGAGTGAAGCTCGAAAGTCTCTTTCTAACAAGCTCCCAGGTGATCCCGATGCTGCTGCGTGTAGGCCACACTTTTGGGCAGCACGGTCCTTAGACTGCACTGTTACTTCCCCCACAGAACACGTATGGTCATTCATCTATTCAGACACCGCTTGGCAAATGTCACCAGGCACTGTGCTAAGTGCCAAGGAGAAATAACACAGGGTTTCTGGTCTCGAGGAGTTATCAATCAAGGCCCTGGTGAGTTTCTCTGAATTCCACAAATCAAAGGCAATGTTCAATAAAAAATGAACCCTACTAAAGACAAAACCCATGTAGAACTGTTGGAAGAGTAACAGCACTTACACAGGTTGTGCTAGAAGCAACAATAATGCTGAGATGAATACCTCTATCCAAGGACTCAACAGATGACTCAAGCTATGATAAAACCAGATATTTCTGAGCAGCTGAGTGGGTGAGGGACAAAACTGGGTGTCAAGGCAACTTCGAAGCCAACAAAACCTGTGGACACGAAACCATGCCTACATATCATCTCTGGTTCCCCCTAGTCAGTACAGCAATACACATTAAGCATTAGTGAGCAGTCGAGAAAGTGGTACTTGATCAGAGACACAGCTAGATGATTGTGGACATACTGAATGGGAGGGTCCTCTTATCAAAGTTAACCCTTCAGTTTAGGAGGACACTTAAATCCAAATCCAAAGCCATCATGGCAGTGGTTCTCAACAGGGACAATTCTGCACCCTCAGGGGACATTTGGCAATGTCTGGAGACGTTTTTGATTGTTACAACTGATGGACTGCTACTGTATCTAGTGGGTAAAGGCCAGAGATGCTGCTAAAAACCCTGCAAGGCACAGCATAGCCCATTACAACCAAGAATTATCTGTCTCAAAATGTCAGTAGTGCTGAGGTTAAGAAACCCTGAGTTAGAGAATGTACTCCCAGGTCAAAGAATGAGTGTTATACCACGGAACAGATTAGAGCAGTCCAACATTTCTGCAATGACAGAAATGTTCTATAATCTGTGCTGCCCAATATGGTAGCCAATAGCCCCATGTGGCCAGTGAACACCTGAAATATAGGTAATGAGAATGAAAAACTAAACTTTAAAACTGTATTTAATCTTCAGTAAATTAAATTTAGGTAGTCACGCATGGCCAGCAGCTACCTTACAGGACAGAACTACAATCCACCTTTTCTGACTCTCCCATTGGTGTTCAATGGGAGTTTCACAGCCTGCTTCCTTCCACTCTTATGAAATCACTCACCCACTTAATTTTATCACTAAGATTTGACTGGGAAAAAAATACACAAAGTAAAATAATAATATAGCTAAAAAAAGAAAATCTTAATATAACATTTCCAGTTAAACATTCCCTGTTTTGTACATTGGGAGAGAAAGTAAAATATGAGATCACGGTTACACATACAGTGTATTAAGATAGCAGAACCAAGAAAGGTCAAATGCTCTCTACTTCCACTTGCAGGGATGGGTGTTAGGACAGATAAAACCCCCCTCTGAACCTTGAGATCATTAGGTTTCGGACGCGATTTCTCCACTCGGTCATCTAACAGGCTCTTCCGATTCTCAGAAGCTGGGTAAGAAACCAGGCAGGTCAACATCACTAGCAAATTCTCCCGCTTCTGACTTCTCTCCCATCACAGAGGCCAACTCTCTCATTTGCTGGTTTTGGTGGCGCCGCCACACTGAAGACCCACCATGTTCCAGGCACTGTGCAAAGCACTACACATACATTATGTCACTTCATTCTGACAGCAGCCCTTTAGGGCACCAGGACGTTAAAAAACTTGGACCAAACCACACAGCCAGTCAGGGGCAAAGCGGAGATTCCCAGATAAGACTCCAAATTTCCTGCTCTTAAGCAATGCGCTAAAGGCCTGAAACCTGCGAAAGTTAACACTGGCTGGAAAGGTGTGAAGCGTCCCCCCGGGGAGTAGAGCAGCCAGGGGCTACATAGCCAGGGAGGTGTCCCGGCAGTTCTTACTTCTCGATCTCCAGCGCTGCCACCTTCCGCTTTTCGTACAGCTTGTCATTGAGGGCGCGAACGATGTTTGGCGTGAGCGGCGCGAAGTCCTTCTCGGGGTTCATGGTGGGTAGCTCGAGAAGCCTCGCGACTCCTAGCCCGCGGCTGCCGGGGCCGCGCCGGTGCCTGGGGAGTCTACGGCTCCGCGCTGCCCCCGGCGCCGGCTCATGGGCCACGCCGCCCCAGGTCCGCCTGCGTCGCTCTGCCGCCGCGCCTCGGAACCCAGGCCCGGACCCCGCTCCTGCACACCTGACTCTGGCCACCTAACAGCTCAAGCGACCCTCTCCCGCCAGATACCGGCGGCACTCATGGGGCAGCGGCCATGTTACTCAGGGCACATGACTCCTCAGCAGCTTCCGCCTTCCGCCGCGAGGACCCGCCCCTCTCCGGCCACGCCCCCGCACGCTGGCCGCAGGTGGGTTGGCCACGCCCCCTCCAGGCTCCGCCCCCGCCCCTCACACTCTCTTGCACCCGGTGGTCTGAGTGTAGATTGAGACGGGCTTTACAGTAGGCTTAAGTCACACAGGCACGTAGTGGTTTCTGTAACGTTGGTGACACAGAAGGGGTTACTGGAGTCAGATCACAGCAAAATGTATTCAATACTCACTGAATTCACTAGTTCATTCACTACTTAGTCACCTACTCGTCAATTTCGCACATGACAATGTTTCCCAAATTGGGGTAACACCATCATCATTTTCGCCATATCCTGGCCACTTGTACCATTATCTATTTAATGTTTTTCTCAGATTATCATTAAAAAAAATCGTAAATTCCTACTTCTAGCTTTGCTTATCGCCTAAAATCATGGGTTTCAACAGGTAGTTATATATTTTTCCTAAGACATTAAAATAAATTCTCATTTAAAGAGAATTGCTACGTGTCTACCAACTGAAATCTGAGTTACCAAAAGTGGCTGTCACCCCACCATGTGGGAGTCGGAGCGTATTCACCCTGCTCTAGGAGGGCTGGGTTACAGGCAGAGGAGCCCCAGATATGCTGCGTGTGGGTCACCAGACTAATCCACTGGAAAACAGCCTTTTCGTATGCTTTGAAGTCACACTAAATGGTGGAACTGAAATTTCAGCTCTGTGGTAAAATTTTAAAAAGCAATTTGTGGCCAGAGTGTGGTTAAAGATGCAGCCATGGGGAGAGGCATCAGAGTTCCTTATCGTAAGCTTTCAGAATGAACAGGGACTTAGGCCAAGGGCTAGATTATGGTGGAGCGCAATGCATATTAAATATGAAGTTTCAGAATGCATGGTGGTACTTTTCTCTGAGTGAAAAGTACACATATAGAGCTTATGACAATCTTGAGAATGGAGTATTATCCCCAATTTGGAGATCACACACAGGGACACAATGCGGGACAATGGTAGGCAGAATTCTAGGATGGGCCCCAAGATTCCCACCAGTTTGGGCACCTGTCCTGTATAATCCCCTCCTGCTGAGTGTGAACATGACTTGTAAATATGATGGGCTATCACTCACATGATTATACTGGGTAATACAGCAGAAGGAATTTTGTAGATGTAATTAAGGTCCCCAATCAGTTGACTGACATTCAGTTAACAAAAAGGGAGATTATCTTGGGTGGGCCTGACCTAACCAGGTGACTCCTTAAAAGAAAAAATGAAGTTTGAAGTGGGAGAGAGATTCTCCTCCTGGCTTTTAAGAGTAAACAGTCGGGTGAACTTACTATGATGGACCACATGGTAAGGACCTGAGAGTGGTCGCTGGTTGCTGAGGGCAGTCCCCTGTTGTCAGTGACCAAGAAAATGGGGAATTTAGTCATCTGGTCTCAAGGAAATGAGGAAATGAATGTTGCCAACACTCTGAAGGTGCTTGGAAGCAGACATTTCCCTAGTTGAGCCTCCAGGTGAGGTTGCAGCTGACTGGCACCTGGATCTCAGCCTTGTAGGACCCTGAGCTGAGAATCCAAGGTTCAGTCCATTCTCAACTCCTAACCCATGGAAACTGTGAGATAATAAATCTGTGTTAAGTTCCTAGGTTTGTGGTAATTTGTCATGCAGCCATAGTAAACTAATACATGGGCTAATCCAAAACTCAGTAAGTCACAGAAATACTGTGTCTAGAAAAATCCATGTTTTCCTTTTCCTTTACTGGTGGGGTTTTCACAGCTGTTAAAATCTTTTTCCAAGCCAATTCAATGGATGAAGGTAGGTGCATCAACAATATGAAAACTGTCCCAAGTACAGATCCATCTTCAGAGAAAAATGCATTGCTCTTACCTTGATACCAAGTGATACTGCCAAGGACATTTCCAAATGTCTTTCCAAGTTTGGCTTTAGGATTTTGATGATGGTTGATGCAAAATAATGAAAACATTTAAATCAATGGAAATGATTTGAGCCTATTTTTCTAATGTGTGCTCATTTCTACTGGATCCATATCTAATATAATATTTCATCTGTTTCTTTTGCTTTTTGATTTGGCTTTTTCTTAGAAGTGAACTGAATTTCCCAAGGGTCATAATGTGATATGGTTTTTAATAGTTGAAACAGTAAGGATTTTTTTTTTTTTTTTTTTTTTACCAGAAGGAGTTTTTTCCTCCTGAAATTACATTCCGGATCAGGTTGCTAGGAAACCAGTTTCTTGTTCAAAGACCAAACCAATGCTTTGTCCTACCTTTAGGTCAGAAGTTCTGAAAGCCAGGGGTTAATTTGATCAGGTTTGCCTGTCCTGCGTGCTCTTGGTTGCTTGCTCCCCGCTCCCCCCCTTTTTCCATAAAGCTGAAGGCTGTACAGCTAAACACTGAAACTTAACTTTCATAATCACCATAGTCATTTCAGCTGTTTTTCAGGAACTTGGACCGGCTCCTGTCCAGTTCAAACCAGCTGAGACCACCGACCTTTCAATTGGGCCTGTGCAACTGCCTGAGAGATAGCCTTTTGACGTCAGAGGGCCAAAAACTCCATCCTTGGATCACAGCAATGCCACCATTTTCTGCACATGTGTACTATGGAATGCCACGAACCCCGACTAAGAGTCTGCAGAACAAACCTGCTACTTCATTTTCCCCACTGCCAATCACCTTTCTCTATACTTTAGCCCACCCCACTTCCCTGACCCATGAAGATGCCTAAGCCTTATCTTCGAGGAGGTGGATTTGAGAGCTATTCTCCCGCCTCCTTGCCTGATGGCCTTGTGGTTAAATATTTTCTCTTTTACAAAACCAGTGATTGATTTACCGTGCAAGGGCAGAACCCACCCGGACCTGGTTGGTAACAGTTCATGGAAAAAGTGGTTTCTTTTCTCTAGTATCTTGGAATATGCCAACAAATGAAGGTTATGTATGCATGATTAAACTGGCAGTGGCACTGAGAATAAAGCCCGAAATCCACCCCTTCTCTGACCCCAGTGACCAGTGCTTTGCAGACTCTTCTAGACTAGGTGATGGCTGACATGCCTGGCTGCACACATGTCACAGTTATAATTCATGTGCATCTGTGTGGCACCTGGCTGTTATTATAGAACTTGGAATAGCTCTGTAACAACTATTAACAATAGCTATCACAAGTTATGTAACGGTTATCATGTAACTCATAGCAAGGGGATGCTGGTGACATTGTAAGAAATTGTACCCAAATCTTGAACTGTGCAAAGAAAGTTTCTCCAACAGCAATAAAATTTTAGCTGGAGTTTCAGGGCAACATGGTTAAAGGTATAAGAAGAGGCTTGGGGAGTCCCAAAGTTGGGATTTTCTTGAGATTTCTTGAGATTTGGATTTTCTTGAGATTCATCCCTGACTTCAGGCCCCCGAAGAAGTGGTTAGACTTAGCATGGCATGGTCACTAAGGCCAGGGAGCCCATTCTCATGGTGTCCTGTGCACAGTGCTCCCTGGAGTTCTGCCACACAGCCACCGTGAACATGCCCAGTTAGAGGTCGCCTGGTCTGTTTTGTTGAGAATGGACTCTTCCAAATGTAACTTGCACAAGCTTGAGTTGGAAGGTTTATCCTCACCAAGCTTCTACCCATCCCCCTGGTGAGCTACTTTGCCATTCCAAATTTGCCAATATGAAACCATTTTGTTATGGTTTTTTTTGAGGCAAAGGAAGCATGGGAACTGCGGAAAGGAAAGAAATGCACCCAATCTCAAGTCAGCCTGGAAGGGGGTTCATGCTGGGACAGGATCTGAGCTGGGCTTTGGTCCCAGGGAGAAGAGACTTCCTCCTCCTAGGAGGATTTGGACTCTGGACTCTGGCTTGGGGAGTACAGGAACAGGTCTGAGGTGGGGGAGTTGCCTCTAGCCACCCAAAGGCAGGCTACAAACCACGCCAGTTTGCCAGCAGTTACACCAGGAAATGGCTCGTTTCTGCAGCAGCCACTGTTTGGGGTGGCGGTTGGGTGCCCCTAGTCTCAAGGGAATGTATTGACAGGTAGGCTTTCTCCATTAGAGGCATCTTCGAGTCTCACTGTGCTCTGGGTGCTGGCGTGTCAGCCGAGCTTTCTCACAGCTTCCTTCACCTTTTTTTCCTTCAGTCTCAGCAACCATCTCAGCACGTTAGATTTGCAATTGTGGGAAAGGTGTCCCGTTTGAAGAAGGTGGTGATGGGTTGATTGCTGCCCGCCACCCCAGCTATGCCTCTGGGAGTGGGCGGTAGGAAGGACATTTGGGGGAGGACTAATTTCATCAACTAGGTGAAAAATGTAGAAAGAGTCTCCATCCACAAAAACACCTCTAATGAATTTAAGGGTTTACTAACGTACACACCGCTTGGCCTCACCCATAGAGTTTCTGACTCAGTAGGTCTGGGGTGGGGACTGAGAATTTGGATTTTAGTAAGTCACCAGGTGCTGCAGGTCCAGGGACCATTTTTTTTTTTTTTTTTGAGACAGAGTCTCGCTTTGTTGCCCAGGCTAGAGTGAGTGCCGTGGCGTCAGCCTAGCTCACAGCAACCTCAAACTCCTGGGCTCGAGTGATCCTTCTGCCTCAGCCTCCCGGGTAGCTGGGACTACAGGCATGCGCCACCATGCCCGGCTAATTTTTTATATATATCAGTTGGCCAATTAATTTCTTTCTATTTATAGTAGAGACGGGGTCTCGCTCTTGCTCAGGCTGGTTTTGAACTCCTGACCTTGAGCAATCCGCCCGCCTCGGCCTCCCAAGAGCTAGGATTACAGGCGTGAGCCACAGCGCCCGGCCCAGGGACCATTTTTGAGGCCCACTCCTGTACAGCATTCCCTCCCGAGTGGCCCTCTGCTTTCATGCCTCCTCCCTCTCTCGCGGGTGGGCCGTCGGGGATTGGGGGTACGGGGAGCAGGAGGCAGGGACCCTCAGCCATAGGTGTATGTCTACAGAAACAAATCTGCTCCAGGGCCAGTCTTTAACCATCTTTATTTCAACAGGAGGCGCTGACAGGGACGTGGTCCTGTGAATACACACAGCAAGGCCGGGGAAGAGGCGACTGCCGAGGTGCCCTACTGCCCCCTGGAGGTGAAGCTCGAGAAAGGCACCGGCTTATATAGTCACGCTTTAGGGACACACAGAATAATAGGTGCAGTTTCAACATTTCAAACTGGGACGTGCGTGGTCCTTCCCCTAAAAGGGATTCCTGACTCAGTTGCAGCTGGGTGGGTGTTTGGTCTCTAGCACTTGTTCTCGGCTCTGCTGTACAAGTTATATATATACAGATAACCATGACCCTCTCCAGACCAATGAAATCAGAATTTGAGGAGGGGCTGGGTTCTGGGCAGATAGATCAAGAATAACTGCCCCCATCTGCCTGCTGTGCCCAGGGCTGGGGAGGGCAGGGGCAGCTGTGGCCTCTGTGAGCCTTTCTCCAGGGATTCGGAGAGCCGAGAGAAAAAGCGATGGGAGCATCCCTGGGCGGCCTTAATGTTATCTGTCCATTGCTTTGAAAATAGGTACTTACTTGGCTTTTGTGTGAAAGCAGGATAAGATGCCACATCAAAATAGGGCCTAAGGACTCGTGAAACCATTATGGACTTTAAAAAGCAGCTGCAGTGCCCAGCGTCGCGCACGGCTAAGAGCTGTCTGGTAGAAGGTCAAGAGTGTGATGCCTGTGTCTGCTCGGTACAAATGTGGATTATTAAAAACCACTTGAGCTTTGTGGATATGCCAACAAATTAAATGTAGGAACTCACAAGGATTCAGTTCTCTAACATACAGATCTGTTGTGTGTAGCTATAATGTTTAATATGGAAGAGATAATCCATATCTGTATTTGGAAACCACAGGACGTGGAAATAACCGAGGAGGGTAAAACAGTCCCTTTAGAATTCTTATGTCTTTCTCCGTTCTCTGTCAGGCTAAGACGATGCGCAGGTCTTAGGGCTGCAGGGACAGCTTTTGGCGGATGCAGGGGACCCCGTTACCACTAAGGGGTGACACCCTTCAGGTAATAAACCCACTTAATTCCGGTCTCACTGCCCTCCCCAGGGTGGCAGCTCACAATCAGCTTGGTGGTGATGGGAGTTTTGCTGCCGGCAGGGTTTCCTTCAAAGAAGACAGTGATGTTGTTGACCTTCTTGGACCGCACGGTGTCTGTGGTGCGCACGGTGAAGGCCGGGTTCTCCACGATGACGGACAAGGTCACCGTGTGGGGGAAGATGTTCTTGAAGGGGATGATGATGTTGTACCCGGCTCGGATCAGGAAGGGACCCTGGGGCTTGGGGGGCAGAGCCACGCCGAAGAGGGGGATGACATACTCCCCACCTGCCAGCGACGACAGGCTCAGGGTGCCCTTGGTCTCGCCCAGGTGGCTGGGCTCAAAGAAGACTTCCACACTGACCTCGGTGCCTCCCTGGGCTCCCGGGGCTGCGTTGACGATCCTTTCCGTGTGGAAGTCCGAACAGTCGGTCTGAAAGGGGAACAAATGCAGCCGGCTCACACAGGATCCCAGAGCTCAAGTCCCCACCGGCCCCCTCCTGGCATGAGCTGGGCAGTTTATAGCGCTCTCGCAGGGCAGATGTTACCAATTATTATCCCTATTTTACTACAAAGAAAAGGAGGCAAAGATGTTAATAATGCGAGCAAAGACACAGCTGGATTACGTTGATGAGGGAGTCACTGAGGCCGCCCCCACCTCTGGTTCTTCTCTCCTTCCCTGCACACGGAAGGCCGAATGTTCTGGCTCCTTGTGGATGGGCAGGGTTGGTTCTGGACAATTTGGGGTGAGCAGAAGTGAAAGGTGTCACTTCCACGCTAGACTGCATAGTTTCTCCTCTCTGCTTCTGTGACTGGGGACATTTGAGGTAGTGCTTGCTCTTGAGTCTAAACCCCGAGTGATCAAGATGAGCAGAAGTGCCCTGTGGACCCTCACTGTTCTGATGGCACATATGAGAAATGAGCCTCTGTTTGTTTTAAGCCACTGGGGTATCAGGCAGTTCCTACAGTGTGACGTTAGCCTCCCCTGACTGATACGATTGACTGAGAGCTTCTGCCTCTTGACCATATCCTGAGACCCTGATTTGAGTGGGGTTGCCCAGTAGTATAAAGGCTGCCCAGTAGTATAAAGGCTACATTTCCCAGCTCCCCTTGTTGGTAGGTTTGGGCCTGTGAAGTTTTGTTCAAGGGAATATTAGTGGGAGCAGTGTATGCAACGCCCTGTGCAGCTGGCTGGGGTGTGGATGTCACGGTAGGCCATCGTGGCCCACGTGGCCCACAGCAACTCCCTACAGAGAGCAGAGCTTTGGGATGGAAGACGTCTGGGTGGCGGATGTAGAGGAGCTGCCATTCCAGCTCACACTGCCTTGCCCAGACTGGTATGTGTCAGAGAAATAAACTATTTTCCTATGATTTTGGGTTTCTATTTTAGTAGTTAAGCCTCTATTCCAACTGATATGACAGCTAATGTACTGGTAGCCAGGCTCTAAGAAAATGGCTTTATATCCATATTTAAAAATTTGTACAGCAATGCTGTAAGGTCGGAGGTATTACCTTCACTTATAGATAAGCTTAGAGAGGTTGAATAAATGATTCGTACGGGGAGGCCAGGGTTCAGAGCCCTGTGTGTTTGATTCCACAGCCTGTCCTCATGGCCACCGAGCCATGCTGTTTCCCTCTGTGGACCACTGAGTGTGCTGCTGGAACCAAAGCTCCCCCTGCTCCCCCCTCCACTCCCCCATGCTTGTTAAGATAGAAAGTCTGTAAGGAGGAACCCAGGCCTGCTACTATTTGTTTCTAGTTGGGAGTTTCCAGGCTGGATTCAGGCCTCCAAGGTGGGGGGGTCACCACGACAATGATGCACTGACTCTCTCTGAGTCTCACATTTCTGTACCCTCTGTGTCCTCCTTCTGTTATTTTTGAACCCAGACTTGTGGCAAGGGATGGGCAGAGGGAGGAGCAGGGTACTCACCCTGCAGTAGTATTCTGTCTTCTGCCGCGTGTAATTGGTGAACTTGGCATAGACGCTTTGGTTGCTGCCGAGAACAGTCTGGAAGTAGACGGGCTTTTCGGGAGGCGCTGGCAAGGCCTTCAAACTGAGCTCATATTGGTAGTAACCCAGTTCACCGTTGTGCAACGTTAATTTCCCAAAGCTTTCTCCAGCTTTCAGGGGCTGGAATTCAAATGCAAATGTGCCCTGAAAGAGAAGGCAGAGGCCACTGTCATGCTGAAGGTCTGACCCATCTCCTGCCTCACAGGTGAATGCCCACACTGATCTCAAGCCTGGGGATCCTGTGCCCAAACCAGCCCGCTTTCCTTCCCCTGTACGTCTTCTAGCTTTCTCTAGTCTAGATATTTCTATATCTGGGATCTCTGTGAGTCTAAAAATAGCTACGGGGTCCTCTCCTGAGAAGCACACTTCTGGAGATGGGGGTTGTCAGCAGGAGGCCTGAAGGTCAAGCTTCCTGGGTTCTTCTCTTGGGGGAGGCTTTCTCCTTTCTGTGGCTATCCATAGCAAAACAAAGCAAGAAAAAGCATTGCTTATAACAGCAAAGCAAGGGAAATAATTCAAGTGCATTCAGAGTGGAAGATTGGTCAAAGAAATTATAGTTTTCTCACTGCAGTGGAATATTATGTAGACATTAAAAGGATGCCGTACAGCAATAAGCATTGAAATGAAAGGTGTTGATGATACTGTCAGTGGAAGAAAGGAGGTTCCAGAAATATATATAAAGTATGAGCTCATTTTTGTGGAGAAGAGTTATGTCTATGCTTGTATAGAAAAGAGATTATAAGAATACATACCAAATTGTTATCAGCAGTTAATGTTAGGGTGGGGAAAATGGGACTGTGGGGACTTTGATTTTCTATTTCATATACTTTAGTATAGTTAAAATTTTGTTTTCATATGAGTAGGTTTGTAAAAAAAATAACTAGTTCTTATTGAAATATATCAGAATAAAAAGAGAATGTCACTGAAGTTATAGATGTTTAACAGAAAAGAATATAGAAAAGAATAAAAATTTGGAGAGAGGAGGTGCACTTCATATGCTATTATATACCAGGCTTTCCTTTTCACCACTCATATTATATTCTATGCTACTTTTATAATTAGCAAAGAAAAAGAAAAATATCATTAGCTTGAAGCAAGCACACGAACAAATGGTAGAGACCAGGTTCATAATAGAGAAGGCCATTTTACCTGCCCAAACCAAAGCTACATGCCCCTAGTTCACATGAGGACTTGGGCAATGAGGAAAGGAACACGAGCGTGATTGTCTCCTGCCTTCCTGGCCACCGCCAGTGCTGGCCCACCCTGGGAACCTGCGTTCAGAGGCCCCATGGGCAGAAGCCTTGATCACAGGTGTCAGGGGACCCCTGGCGGCCAGGGCCATACCTCAGAGTTGGCGGGCACGGTGAACTGGGAGGGCATGCTCATGTCTGCCAGCCTGCACTCCGCGGAGAAGGTCACCGAGTAGGGCAGGGGGTTCTCCACCTTGATGGAGGCTGACGCGTTCTGCCGGACTGGGGTCACCATCTCAATGGTTTTGATGACGCCTGAAGGGATGACCCTGAAACTCACCGTGTAGTACAAGAACTCACTGGTCACCTCGTTTCGGAAGATCACCTGCATTCACAAGGAGGGGGGTGGGAGGAGGGCAGAGCAGGGGTTAGCTGAGGGTCCTCTGCACGTTTCCAGGAGCTCCTTCTCTTCGTTAGCACTGCCTGGGCACCTGAAGCACAGGTGCCGGGCTGGCGTGGCCCTCCCAGCCTCTCTGGATCCCTGCCAGCCGGCCCTTCTCCTTAGGCATTCTAGTCTGGCTCCTGCCAGGGGAGAGTACTAAATAAGCTAGGCTTGCTGTAGAGGAGGCGAGAGCAGCACTGTCCTGTGCCAGCACTTCCCCAGCTGCCTGTTGCCCGGCTGGCCCTGGAGGACAAGCAAGGCCTCTAGAGGTTCCAGTTGTAGTGGGCTTTATTCCTATTCCTGTCGCTGCGATGACAGCATGTAGCACTTAATGAACGATTACTGTGTGCCAGGCACTAGAAGTACTTATTTAATGCACACAATTTTTAGGCATTGTTGTTATGCCACATCGCCTTTTTTTTTTTTTAAGACATGAGGAAACTGAGGCTTAGCAAAGTCCAGTATTTTGCCCAAGGTCCCATGCACAGAAACGTCAGAACCGGGATTTGAATCCAGGTAGGGTTGGCTCCAGAGTTTGCATTTACTATGCTGCACTAAGCCCCGCCCCGCCAACCCCTGCAACTGACTTGGGATGTGCCGCTCAATGTTTCTGTCCTTTTCCCTGGTGACTGATGATGCTGAGCACTGTCTTGTGTGCTTATTGGTCATTCACACAGCTACTTTTGTGAAACAGTCTATGCCCTTTTAATATATTGGGTTGTTTATCTTATTATTATTAGGTAGTATTAGTTCTTTATATAGTCAGGCTTTTTATTATAATTTCAACCTCTTCGTGTTATTAAATTTAAAGTGCTTCTGACACTCTCTGCCTTTTAACTGCAGTGTTTTTTTTTACATTTAAAGTTATTATTTCAATATTTGGGTTGAAGTCTGCCTTCTTGCTAGTTATTTTGCATTTGTTCATTTTATTTTTCATTTTTCTGTTGCTATTTTCCTGCCTTCTTTTGGATTAATATGTAATCCTTTGAAATATATTTTCTTTCCTCCACTGGCTTCTTAGCTTTATTTACAAATAATTTTTAGTGGCTGCTCTCGAGTTAAAAATGTGAATCCTTAATTTATCACTCTGGTAAATCTCACATTGTCTTACCCTGTGCACGTGCAGTGCAACCCTTGCCAAGGGCTGTAAGGGGACAAAGACTTCTTCCCTTTGCCACTACACTGCTCCCTCTTCTCCGTGGCCTTTGTTGTAGAAACCAGCCATTTTGCCTGCCCCGGACTCTGATTTCTGCCTCCTCAGCTCTTTGGGTCCGCCGTGCTTTGCTTGGACTCTAGCTCACCCCATTGTAGCCAGGAAATAGTCCCAGGGAGCCAGGATGATCATGGAGACTCTTCTCATGAGTTTTTCTTCCCTTTGGTGGATTACAGTAGTGTGCTGCCTATTGCCCAGTGCCTGAGTTGCCTCAGATATTCTGTTCAGTTTTATAGTTAGTGGATTATGGTGGGAGGACTAGTTACTTTATTATAATCAGAAGCAGAAGAACTTTTGAGTCTTTAAAAAATGTTTGTTGTTATTGTTAGTTTCAGTATGCATTACTGTAAGGAGATTCATGATCTGGGCTTCCTCTGTTTTTACCCAAAAGACTTTACGCTTATATTTTAATACATATTTTTATGTATATTTTTGTTCACATCTATAGTCTATGAATATCTCTATTCTCCCCCTACCCTTCTCTCTGAGTGAGAAAACATCTCTTATTTCCCCCATGCACTTCTTCCTGAATGAGGAAATGTTTCTCACTGCCTTGTTTATGCCTCTCCTTGCTGTTTCCCATGTTGAGGTCCTATGAAATATTCATGGTAGATTGTTTTTCAACGATTATTGTCAATTGTCTATGAATTTAATTTTGATGCTTTGTTCATTTTATCCTTATACTTCCCTCTTATATTCACTTATTTACTTTGTAAGTTTTGCTAATTTAAAAACTTTTAATTTTGTAGTATTTTTTTAGACAGGGTTTATGTATATGGGTGGGTACTCTGAGTTCTTGCATGTGTAAGTTTTGCCCTCCTAATAGTTTTATCTGGAAAAAGAGTTCTAGATTGAAAATCACTCTCACCAAGAAATTCGAATAGCTTACTACATTATTTTCTTGTATTTAGTGTTTCCACCACAAGTCTGATGTTACTATTATATATATATTTTTTCTTTTTAGACAGATTTCTATAATGCAGTTACTGTGATTATAATTTCTTTTTATTTTCTCTAGACTCATTTAGGACTTTTTCTTTCATCCCAGTTTTATGAAACTTTGTTCCAATGCATTTAGGTGGGGGTCTTTTTTTCCAGTCATCCTGTTTGGCAACTTGATGGGTCCCTTCAGTTAGAAGACTCGATCTTTTTCAATAGCCCTAGAAATAATTCTTTGATTATTTTTTCAAAATATTTTTTCCTTCTATTATCTTGTTTCTGTTTTAGGACCTTCTATTAGGTAGATATTAGAACTTCTTGATTTATATTTTGTCTCATATTTCCTTTCATTCTTTTTGAAACAGCTTCATTGAGATTTAATCACATATCATACAATCTATCATTTAAAGTATAAAATTTAGTGGGTTTTGATATGTTTACAAAACAGAGCAACCATCACCACAATAAATTTTAGAACATTTTCATCACCTTCAAAACCCTGAATCCATTAATAGTCACTCCCCATTTTCCCCAATCCATCCCCTACAGCCCATACCACTAACCTCTTTCCTATCCCTAGAGAATTGCTTATTTCTGAAATTTCATATATATGGAATAGTAAAATATGTGAATGGCTTCTTTCATCTGGCATAATGTTTTGTAGCATGTATCAATACTTCATTTCTATTTCTTTTTATTGCCAAATAATATTCCATTGTATTTATCCATTTACCAATAGATGGAAATGGGGTTGTCTCTATTTTTTGGCTCTTATAAATAATGTGGCTACGTATATGTGTGCACAGGATTTTGTGTGGACATGTGTTTTCATTTCTCTAGGGTATATACCTAGGAATGAATCCTGAAAATTATATAGTAACTCTAAGTATAACCATTTGAGGAACTGCCAGACTGTTTTCCAAAGCAGCTGCCCCATTTTACATCCCCACCAGCAGTGTATAAGGGTTCCAATTTCGACACATCCTTGCCAACACTCATCATTTATTTTCATTCTTCCCATTTCTTTGTCCTCACGTGCTAAGGGCTTGTGCTAGTACTTAGTTCTGTCTTCTAACTTACTAGTAATTTCTTCCTCAAAGTCCATTACACTCCTCAGCCTTCCTTAGATGGTTTTCTATTCCAGATAGTCTATTTTTTCATTTCTGATTCTTTTCCACAATGAGCTTTATTCTTATCTCATGGGCATGACTTTATTCCTTTGAGGATATTAACAGTATTCAATTAAAGTCTTCTGCTTGCTTTAATAACTTTTGTCTTAGGTGTTCTCATTTATTGGGCTGGTATTTCTATTTTATGGTGACTTTTTTCCCTCGATGTTTTGGGATTCCTTAATATTAAGAGAACCTTGTCTGTTTGTGAATGCAGATCTGAGCAGATCTGATTAGAGCAGCCTATCTCGTTACTGCAGGGGAGGAGATTGTCACATGCTGCCGGGGGAGTCTTGCCAGTATCTCTTTGGGGTGTGTGTGTGTGTGTTACTAGATATTTTTTTTCACTTTAAAACCTTTCCATTGGTGATTTCATTCCCCATCACAGCTTCAAATTACATCTCTAAATTAATAACTTCCAAATAGTATCTTCAGCCCTGACCTCTCCCACGAGCTACAGGTCCATATGTACTCCTTTTCTTCAAATTACTTACCTCATTTTGTAATTATACATTCACAGTACAATTATTTGAGTAATGTCCATCTCTCTCCACTAGTCTGTGTGTCCCATGAGAACAGAGACTGTGTCTATTTTTGGTCATTACTATGTTACCAGCACTTAGTATAGTACCTGGCATATATGCTCAATTGAACCAATGAATGAATTAGGCAAAATAGCTTATGTGGGAAAGACTCTGTGGTGTCTTGGAGCAGTAACAGTGGGAGGTCATCTTTATTCCTAACACCGGATTCAACCTCAGGGTCAAACCTCCAGAGTTCTAGGGCAACGCCTTTGACATGTAGCTACCTTTGCAGTGTACAGTCCCTCCTTGTAGGAGAAGAAATTCAGCTTGTAGTCTTTCTTGGAGCCCGACAGTACATCAATGTAATCAAGGCCCTTCATAGTGACGCTTAGGTCTGGCTTCTCTGGTTTCAGCATTTCCACAATGACTCGGAATCTGGGGCAGCACAGGAGCACATGAAGAGAGGAGAGAGAAAATGAGACTGTTTGCCCAAAGGACAGAGGGAAAGTGCTATCTATACTTTTGGTTTTATGGAAAGCGCATAGGTCCTGGGTTATAGTCTTCACCCTGTCGCTAACAGTACCTGCCACTTACTGACCACCCGTTATGTGCCAGGTACTGGATGAGTGCTCTACATGTGTTACAGGCATTTAATCTTTGAAATATCCACAGGAGGTACATGTCACCATTTTCTTCATTTCACCAAATAGAAATAGAAGCCAAGGGAAGGAAGATAATATGCTCGGGGAACATGACCAGTTATTGCCAGAACAAGGGTTGAAACTTAGGTCTGGGCCTTCATCTGCTGTGGTAAGCATGTGGCCTTCAGTATGTCATGCTTTATCTCCCAGTCTTTGGTTCCTTCTCTGCAAAAGAAGGGGACCTGGCTGGTTGGCCTTGAGCTCTTTGCATGCTTGCATTCCACTCTACTCCTCCTGTAGGTCCAAGGTCCAAGGGACTTCCTTCTTTGGCCAGTGGCTTAGGTGATAAGACAGATACTCAATAATAACAATGATGTCTACCATTATTATAATAATGATAACAGCTAACATTATTGAATACTTATTTTGTGCCAGGTATCATTCTAGGAGATTTACAAGTAACAGCACCAAACAGGAGAATCTCTCCAGAGGCCTAGAGTTTAGGAAATGCCTGGCCATATCAGAAAATTTTGTCTCTGACCCTCTGAGCCCCTCAACAGCCTCCAGAGGCCCTGGGCAGAGGAAGGACAGAGCCAGATGGTGGAAGTCCTCCCTCCATCTGCCCACGCAGACCCCTTGCCCGACTCCCTCACCTCTGGGGCTTGTTCAGCCAGTTGGTGATTGGCAGGAGCTCAGTGTAGGGTGTCTTACATGGCACTTCACGGTAGATGTTGGCTACAGCTTTGGGGAGCTCGGCAGTTCCGTGAAGAGCGTATAGCCAGCCAGTCCCATCCGGGAGAGGGAAGAAGAGGGTGCCCTACGGGAAGAATTATGATCAGAATGACACAGAGGTTCCTTTATTAGGTAAATACCAGGTATGGTGAGGACACAGGATTAATAAATGCTCTGCAAATAACTATAACACTTATGGAAATCAGCTTGGGAATATGTTTCAAGAATCATAAAAATGTTCATATTTATTTGAATCAGGACTATCACCCTGGGGAATTTGCTGAAGAAAAATCCCTCCAGAGGAAAAAGTTATATATATGTATTAGAACCACTTATAATATTGATGAAAATTTGGAGATAAACATTCAACAAGGGAATTGTTAAACAAATTATGGGACTCTCGTTCAATGAAATATTAGGCAGTCATTAAAAATGATTATCAGAAAGACTAAATAGTTAAATATAATAGGAAAATGCTAGTGATATAATGTAAAGTGAAAACAAATAGAATGCAAAATTGGGTATGCTATGATGACAGTTATGGTTGTACCTTAATAAGAATTGGTAGTGAAGATAGAAGGAAAAAATTCATTTTTTTAAAGGGTGGGAGATTGTGGTCACTTTTATTTTTTGATTTTTATTATTATAGTCACCATGATGTTATTTATGCAGTTAAGCTAAATATTAATTGCTCAATGCTTGGTCTAGTACTTCATATCAGAACTGGGACTCCTGGCTCTAGAATCCCCTGTATATGAAACATACAGACAAAAAAAAGGAAGCCAGGACTTGGTAATCTACATGATTTCCCATTGTTCTAACATGACCTGGGTGTTCTCCCCTTATTCTGATATTCTCTGAGCTCTGAGCCCCTAAACCATCTCTAACCATACAGCTCCTCCCTTCAGCTATGCCAGGAAACCAGTGGGGAAGCCTCAGCCTACCTGGTGCTTGCGGTTCTCCACGTTCATGGTGCGGGGCCTGTAGGTGATCTCGTAGGGCTTGTTTTGCTGATGGGCCTCCAGGGTGATGAACTCGGGTCCCTCCCAGTGCTCGCCCTCAAAGATGGGGTGCAGGTTCCAGGTCTGGTTGGTGCGGTTTGACAGCATGATGGTCTGAGTGTGCTTGGCGCGCACCTGGCAGGTGAAATTCACCACCTGGAAGAAAGTAGGTACCTCATCTTCCATGGCATTTCCCCTTGGCCTTCAGGTGCCAAAGATGCAGAATGTGCCAGGGAAGACTGACTTTAATAGTGCTTGCTATCATGAGTTTCAACAGATCATTTTCTTTGTCCTTCACTCATTCCACATATATCTATTGGGTACCTTCTATGTGCCAGGCACTGTTCTCAGTGGTGCAGATACAGCGATGAACAAAATAACAAAAATCCCTGCCCTCTGAGAGCTTACGTTCCAGTGGGGAGAGATAAGCAGGATACGAGTATGAGCTAAGGGGAAACACAGAACAGAGCAGGGATGCACGCATGACAGACTGGGGAGTGGGTTTGAAATTTTAAATAGGGTGATAAGGACAGGCCTCACTGAGCATGTGAATTTGATTAAAGACCAAGGAGGATGATGTCAAGGAAGACCTGGGGAAGGGCCTCCCAAGCAGAGGAAGCATCCGTTGCAAAGTTCCTGGATTCTGACAAATGACAAATGAGGCCAGTGTGGCAAAAGTGAAGTGAATGAAGGGAGATAAAGTAACAGGGAACAGGAAATGGCATGTAGGGCCTTGGAGTCATGGTAGGGACTTTTCTCTTCCTTCTAATGAAACAGAAGGACTTAGAAGAGTTCTGACGAGAGGAGTGACCTAACACAGTTGCTCCAGATGCTCAGAGGAGACAGAGGAAGAGAGACCAGTTAGGAGACACTTGCAATAAACCAGGTGGGAGATGACAGGGGCTTGGCTGCCACTGGTAGCACTGGGCATGGTGGGAAAAGGAAATATCCCAGTTGTACTTTGAAGATCAAATGGGACTTATTGCTGTATGGAATCTTGATGTAAGTGGAAGAAGCTTCAATAATGACACCCAAGGTTTTAGCCTGTGCAACTAGAAAGAAGGAGATGACACTTCCGGAGGTGGGGTTGACTGTGGGAGGAGCAGGTTTGGGGGAGAGATCGGGAACTCAGTTTTGTACATGTTAAGCTTGAGATGCTTATTAGTCAAGCAGAAAGTGGAATTTACAAACCAGGAGATCAAGGGAAAGGTCTGGGAAATAGAGATCCGGGAATTGTCAGTACAGCAATGTTTTTTTTTCTTTTTTGTTTTTTAAGATCAAGAAACTGGATGAGGTCAACATGAAGTGAGTGTACTTATAAGAAAGAAGAAAACTAAGGACTAACTCCTGACTGGCACACTCTAATGTTACGAAGACTCAGCAGAGAAGACAAGGAGGAGCCATCAGTGAGATAGGAGGAAACTGGGAGAGGGTGGTGTCCTGGAGCCTGGTCAAGGAAGTGTTTGAAGGAGGACAGGCTGGTTCATGGTCAAGTAAGGTGAAGGCTGAGAAATGGCCATTGGGCTTAACAACGTGAATTCTGATCCGTATCTTGCACTATATATACAAATTAACTCTGAATACATTGAAGACATAAATGTAAAACTCCTGTCCAGCATACATAGAGAGGTCTCAAAACTTTAATAAAATTAAAAATAGAAGATTTGAGCAGACACTTCAACAAAAAAGATATATAGCTGGCTGTTTGGCAAATAGAACCTAAAAAGGTGCTCAACGTCATTAGTCATTAGGGAAATACAAGTTAAAAACCTCAATGAGATACCTCTACATACCTATTAAAATGGCTAAAATTTAAAAAACTGACCAAATTAAGAGTTGACAAGGATGTGGAGCAAGTGGAGATGTCAAAATGATTGCATAAAGGGACAATTGCGTAAAAGGACACGATCACTTTGGAAAATAGTTTGACAGTTTCTTAAAAAGGTAAACATATACTTACCCCATGACCTAGTCATTCCAAACTAGGTACCGACCCAAGAGAAATGAAAGCGTATGCTCTTGCTGAGACTTGTATGTCAAAGTTCACAGCATACTGGGTGACTCCACTCAAACAAGATACTTGAAATAACATAATTATCTAGAGAGAGACGGGGTACCAATTCTACCATAAGCAATGTACCCAGTTAACACAGCTGACAGTAGAGTTAGGTGTCTAGTAATGGGGCTAGCAGAATGTTAAGCCCAGGCTGTTTTTATTTTTTAAACCATAGAGGAGGAGAAAGGTGTTGAACCTTTACCACAGATCTTAGAGTTTGATCTAGCCAGGGATAACAACGCAAGCTTCCTTGAGGATGTAATGTTTGAGTTGAGAGCTAAAGAACGAACAGAAATTAACGAAAGGAAGAATATTCCATCAGTGGGAATAGTGTATTTACAGGCCTCGTGGAGGGAGAGAGGGAGCAGGTCTGAATATTTCATTCGGGGGCTGAGGACTGTTTGGACAGAGGCACTTGATTCAAAAGGAGGCCCAGGTGAGTTCGCTTGCAGGGCTAACTCCTGCCACTGGCCACTCCAGGCAGCGCCTACTCACCTCTTTTGCTGCAGGTGCTCCCACGCAGACTCCAGACAGGGATAGGGTCAGAGGATTGCCCCCCTGGATGAAGCACGGAATGTTTTTATAGAAACTCTCCTTTCCCACCTCGGTGGGATGGTAGCTCACTTCGAAAGAAACTTCCATGCCTGAGGTGATGTAGCCTTCTTTTGGGCTGATAGAGAAATGAGGCTCAAATTTTTTGGCATCCCATTTAAACCTTTTCCAAGACAGAAAAAAGAAAAAAAAAACAAGAAAGAGAGTATACTAATATTCTAAGGGTGTCCTTTGCCTGGGCTTTCAACTGCTAGGTTCCCCCGTGTCCCGCCTACGACCCAGAGGAGAGAGGTCTGCCAGATGGCAGAAGCGCTGGTGGCTGTGGCCAAGGTCGCTCGCTGGGTGAGGCGACTCAGCTCCCTCTCAGGGCCCAGCTGGGCTGGGAAGTGGCTGCACCTGATTACTCAAGAGTAATGACCCACGACAGAAGGAACATATGCACAAACACATATACACACGTGCACCCAAGGTCGCACGGTTAGAAGTGGCCAGGCGAGGACTGGAACCCTTCTGAAACTGGCGTTTAACCATTCCCTGTACTGCTCCTCAGTTTGGGCCCAGGAGGGCAGCAACCATCCCTTCGTGCGAGAGTTGTGCTGGGTTCTTGGTGGCAGTTGGGATCCGACAGCCCTGTGTGGTCATCCCTCTGTGGCTGGGCGCTTGGTTCAGGCAGGAGACAGAGGCTGGACAGTGCAGGCCAGCGCCTCCAGCACCAGGGCTGCCATGTCACATGCCTTGGGGTGCCACTGACACTGAAGTCTATATGAGGGGTGCCCGCTGGGGGGCGTGTGGTGTGAAGCCCACACCGCCATGTCAACATGCCCAAGTGGGATGATCCTGGAAAGAAGAGCTGCCACAGATACACCTGGGTCCCAGTCCCATCTCTGTCACTTCCTGGTTATGTGATCTTGGGCAAGTCGCCTACCCTCTTTGGGCCCCTACTCCATCTGTATAACAGGGATGATACAGTACCTACCTTAGTGAGTCCTGGGATGATTAAGTTGGATATTATATGTAACAATGCTTGGGATTGCCCCTGCACATACAAAGTGCTTTCTACATGCATGATTTTAGAAAAGCTACTTAATCTCTTTGTACCTTAGTCTGCTTGTCTGTAAAATATATTGGCAGTAGTAGTACGGGTTGCATAGAGATGGAGTTAAATGAGGTGAGCTATGTAAAGGGCATATGACAGGCAATGAGCAAATGCTCCCCATCGTGGTCAGTTTCGTAACCTGGTGAGGCCACTGCTGTCACATCTTGAGGGAAGTAGGGGTTGGGGGGTTATAGAAGGGAGAGGACAGAAATAAAAAGTGGCTGCACTTGCAAAACAAGTGTCTAGTCCACAGCAGACCCAGGGACAGACATCTCTGCCACAGCCTTAGGGAAGGAGGCACCGCTCCCCTACCTTGCACCTATGTCGCCTGTGTTCAGCATGAGGATGCGACGTGTGGCTTGCGTCTGATACACGACTGGTCCAAAAGCAAGATGATCCTGGTCCAGGGAGATCTCCAGGGCTTGGCAGCAGCCATTGAGCAGGAAGAGGGGGCGCAGGAGCCCCATGCATTCCATGAACACTTCCTCAGAGAAGAGAGGCACGCGCTTCTTCGGGGCAAATGTGACTTCCAGTTTACAGACTTCTTTGGGCTTCAGTGAGATGTTGTGGAAGGGCACCAAGGTGATGACCTGGAAGGAACGACACCCAGACACAGCAGCTGAGGGTGGGGAGTGGGGATAAGGTCTAAATTCCCTGAGGTCTTGCTGCTGGGGCCAGAAGAGAGGCCAGATCTCACGTCTGCTCTCGTCTAGGCTGTGTGAGCTTTGGTAAGTTATTTAAACTTTCTGACTTATTCTATGGTGAAGATTAAGATCATCTGAATAAAATATATGGCATATAACAGGCATTTAATAAATGTCAACTCCCTCTCCTGCCCCTTTCCTAACTGCTTTTGGGCATTTCATCCTTCCTTCTTCCTCCCTGCAGAAGAGATAGGACCAAGAAACAGGAAACACTCAGAGCGTCAGTGTTTCTCAAGGAATGCTCCCTGCATGGTATTTCCCTGTGTGATCATTAAAATGCAGATTCCTGGGCCCTGCCCCAGGCCAACGGAATCAGAGTCTCTTGGGAAGAACCAGGAACTTGCATTTTCAAAGGTTCCACAGGTGACTCATGTATTCCAAAGTTTGAGAACCACTGCACAGATTTATTTGACTTTCTCTTTCCCTTAGTCCTGGCAGAAATCCATTTGGATCAGCACTGGGGAAGCCAACCCCCCTTATATCCTTGAGCTTCCTTCGGTGCAGAGCCCTGAGCAGTCACCAGCAAGTGGGCCGTGGCTGCAGGGACTGCCATGATGGGTGAAGAGCTGCAACAGGAAAGTGATCTTAGGGATGTCACAAAACACGATGACATTGGAAGCTAGCCTCAGTGTGCTGGTGCCAGCACGGGGCCCTCTGGCAGCTTTAGTCCCATCACCTAAGGAGGCAGATTTGGTGCGGCCAAACCTTTAGGGGAGCTGAGGGGTTGAAGGGAAGCAACAAGTCTTCCCTCCCCGTCTGGATGGCGACGTGGGCAGGGTGGGGTCCTGGGATGAGATGCCCACTGGGTGTCTGGCCTTGGCTGGCCTCTCACTGCCAATTTCTCTGTACCCTGCCATCTCCAAATGGTCCCCACTGCTCCTTCCATACCAAATCCCATCTAGTTTTCCAAAAGCACTGAGAGCCTTTTGAGCATATACACCTTTGCCCACCAGGAATGCCCCTTCGCAGCCTGTCTGCTGGGAGACACCTCTTCACCCTGTAAAATTCAGCACAGGCCTCCCTCCAATCTGAGGTCTTCCCCAGCTGCCCGGGGCCTCCCCTGAGCAGACCTGCTCCCAACGCACACCCTGCCTCTGCTGTCCCGGGTTTGTTGATGTGTTTGTGACCCCCAGAGACTATGAACTCCACCAGACCAAGGTCTGTGTCATATTCACCTTTTTATTCTGGCACCTAGCAGTACTGATTGTGTAAATGTAAGAATGAACTAAATGAAGGAATGGACACAGTCCACTCTTGGAATGAAACAAATCGATCTATTTTCAAAGGGCCACGCAGATACTGCTGACTATAAGCTGGGCAGTGGCAGCTGGGACCGTGCGCAGGGAACCTATGGCAGTGAACTCACCAATGAGCAGGCTTTTCTCCCACTGCCGATGGGAGCACACAGTGGGGTGACCTTCCGGGGTCAGACTGGCAATGCGTATCGAAACACATTTTCCCTTTTGACTCAAGATGACCACTTCTAACTAGGAGTGAACTTCACACAAGGACTCATGGATGCACGCAAAGGTTTCGTTACGTAGATATAACAATGTTGTTTGTAACAGAAAAATTAGAAACACCTAACATGAGCAGAAATAGAGAAGTGGTCCATGTACATAACGGAGGTGTATATGAACAGGTGATATTGAATGACATGGGAAATGGAATGAGAACATAAAATGAAAACAATAAAGCACTAGCCCCATACTGTTTTTGTGAAAATGAAGAGAGGGAGCACGTGGAAAGCTCACAGAATGGTCTGGCACATTGTGGGTGCACAGGAAATGTGAGCTGTTGGTGCTGTTAGCATGGCCATCCTTAGCATCAGGAGGCAAGAAGAGGGCACTAGGTCCCCCTGGGCACCAACCTTGGGTTCCTGGAGCTCTGGAATCGAGAACATAACTGACTGGTTGAATGTGATCTGGGCGAGGCTGTTGTTCATGATGGAAACCGTTTTTTTCACAACCTGTCCTGGCAGGATAGCTCCCAACTTCACAATCCTGTTGGCTGGATCTAGGACTGAAATCTGTGGGGTGAGGAAGAGAGCAGGAGGAAGGGTTCATGAGTTAACGAGAAAAATAAGTATTATGAAACATCTTCCCTGGGGAGGCAAGAGTAGTTGCCTTTCCTTTAGTGACCTAACTTCTTCGTACTGGCGTGCTCACACTGAGAGCTCAGGAAAGGCAGGATCCAGTCAGCTGGAGTCAGGCTAGGCCTGGGGTTGGGGACACCCTAAGGGGAGGAGACAGCCTGCAGCAAGGCCCTGAGCCTGAGGGAGTGGCCCCGGCAAGGCCTGTGGCTGGGAGCTAGGACCTGAGAAGATGTGTTTAGAGGTAGTCAGGTCTTGTAAGGCCCTGCAGGCCACTGTTGGGTGGGAAGGAGGAGACTGGGCTTTATTCTGGGAGAAATGGAAAGTCAGTGAAGCATGGGGTGACCTGGTCACCCGTGCGCTTATGAGAGTGCACTGGCTTGCTCCTTCATGGAGAATGGACTGAAAGAAGGCAAGAGAGAAAGCACGAGGAGTACGAGGTGATGATGGTCTAGACTAGGATGGCAGCTGTAGAGGTGGAGAGAAGTAGACACACTCCGAAGCCTCAGCTAAGACACGGATGGAAACAGTGGTCTGCAGCAGCCAAGGCCAGGCTGAGCCACAGTGAGCAACACCCACTGGTCACTGTCATTTTATCGGTCACTAAACTGCACCCCTTCCTCCAACTACTCTTTAAATCCAGCCCGCATGCTTCCATTTTGTCTAAAAAGGCAAGAGAGTGTCTCCCTTCCCAACCATGAGCTCCTGGAGGTCTGAGAACATGTTTAAGTCACCTCTGGATCTACCCAAAGTGCCCAGCACACAATGGGTGCTGAATGAACAACTGAAAGAATAGGCAAATGAACGAATGCATGGGATCAGAAGAGACCGTCTTTGGCTTGGGTCCAGACACACCAGCTGGCAGTGTTCTGTTGCTCTTGTGGCTTGATGAGAAGGCTGCCAGGAGCACACCCCTCCATTTTCTCTAGGTTGCTGAAATACCTCATGCAGTCTTGAGAATCTCTGTCTATTAAAACAGAAAAACTCCCAACAAACACCTTAAACGTTTGCCAGACACTGGGAAGAAAGGAACGAGGAGCAGGGCATGACCATTCCCTTTTTGTCTGGAGCGCCCTTAACCAAATATAATCCCGGGACCTGGGGCTGGGTGGAGAAGGTTAATCATTGGGGTGTCAAGGGAGGATGTTTCATAACTGAAATGCATGTCTGTGTACATTGCTTCAAAATGTTGTCTATTAAACCTAAAAACAAGACCTAAGGGAAAGGACATACTCGAGGTGCTGCATCTGATAGTCTCAAGTTTCTTCAAGGAAAAGAATATTTCTCCAGGGCCTGTGATTGCCTGTGTCATTCCATATGGTAAAGTTTGGTATCGAATAGGACCTCTGATTCAATGGGTCTGATGTGACAATTTGCCCCTTTGTGTTATTAGTTGCATCATCTGCCCTAGAACAGAGCAGCTTGGGGGCACAGATGTGGAGGGAGAGGAAGGGTGTGGGGCCCAGGTGGGCAGAGAGAAGGGTGGGAAGGAGGGCACCAGGCCCCAGGGCCTCCCTGTCTCTTACCTTCATTTCCGTGCCCTTCCCTTTGATTTCGACTATTTGCTGTGAGAGCCCGTTGATTTCAAAGGCGATGAGTTCTCGATAGTTGATACTTTCTCGAGGATAAAAGGTGATTGGAATCTCCAGTGTCTTTCCTGGCTTTACCACATCAACACGGAAGTTAACCTCGAGGTGGGTGGTATTGGTGTACAGGCAATCTATGCTGGAGAAAATCCGGAGAGGCTGCGTAAGCTGTGGGAAGGTTGACCCAGAGGGCCAGAGGCTGTCCCCTTGCCTCTCTGGGCTGGGTATGATGGATTTCCCACCCTGCTGTCCTGGAGTCGTAGAAGTTATTTAAGAGCTAGAAGGGACCTTGGCAGTGACCCAGCCCATGGTCTCCTAGGCATAGTTATACACCCCAAACCCCATCCTGAGATCCTGGCAGGAATAGGCCTCCAATCCAAAGGCTCATGACACTTTGCCCAGTGCTCTTTACTCTCTTGTCCTCAACTTCCTGATGATGCATCTTATGGCTTTGTACCCTCTCCTAAGAAGGAAGGGCTTCCAGAAGTAACTGGGTGGTAAAGCATAGTGGAGAGGAGTATGTATGCTAGAGTCACACAGACAGGAGGAGCTGGACCCAGGCTCCATTGCTAACTAGCCACATGACTTTGGAAAAATTACTTAGCCCATCTGGGTCCCTGTTGTCTTATCTGTAAAATAGGGGTAATGATAACTATTTCATAGGGTTGTTGTGAGTATTAAATGAGATAAAGCAATGTAAGCAGTCACTAAACAGGTCGGAGGAAATATTCTATAAAGGTAAACTTTATAAAATTATTACCAATTGCTCAACTAGAAGGGACCTTAAAGGATCACATCCACCTGCATCGTGGGCAGGAAGGCACTTGGACCTCTCCATTCCAACTTCTGCTCATCTGCCTTACAAGTGTATACAGAAGGAGTCTAGCTAGGCCAACGTAAAGAGCTCAATGCCTTAAGCAAAGTAAGACTGAGATTACATTAAATCTTGTAAGAAAGAGTATATAGGTAGATAATAAGCTTTTTAATTAGTATACATGACACTCAGGTAATTTAATATTGAGAATAATAATCAGCAATAACAACAACAGCAGCCGCTAAAAATAATTGAACATTTCCTATGTTTCAGGAAGTCTTGTAAGGACTGTTTCTAGATGAACTAATTTAATCTTCCTACTATTTCCTATGTAGAAGGCATTACTGTGATTGCTCATTTTGGGCAAGGCGACAGAAGCACACAGAGCTTAAAAAGCATGTCCAAGGTCACACTGCCAGGGAGAGTTGAAATTGGAACTTAAATCTGTGCTATCTGATAGCGACTAGACACATGTAGCTATTTAAATTACAATTAATTAAAATGATATAAAATAAGATAGTCAGTTCCTCAGCTACACTAGCCATATGTCAAGTGCTCCAAAGCTGCACCTGGCTTCGGGCCCTGTATTGGACAGTGCAGATAAACAACGTGGTCACTGCGGAAAGTTCTCCACAGTCAGTACTGGTGTAGAGAGCTCTTAGTGGACGCAGTCTTTGGGCCGGTCTCTGCAGATTCTGTCTCAGAGGTATAGAACGGGGTCCAGAAACCTGCCCTGGAACATCCCATGCAGGTGGAGCAGACTAGCTGGACTTGAACCAGAAGGCTTATGCTCAGTACAGATCTACTTCCTGCAAGGTCACGGGCCTGGAAATTCACTTTTTTTTTTTTTTTTTTTGAGACAGAGTCTCGCTTTGTTGCCCAGGCTAGAGTGAGTGCCATGGCATCAGTCTAACTCACAGCAACCTCAAACTCCTGGGCTTAAGCAATCCTCTTGCCTCAGCCTCCCAAGTAGCTGGGACTACAGGCATGTGCCACCATGCCCTAATTTTTTTTTCTATATATATTAGTTGGCCAATTAATTTCTTTCGATTTATAGTAGAGACGGGGTCTCACTCTTGCTCAGGCTGGTTTTGAACTCCTGGCCTCGAGCAAACCGCCTGCCTCGGCCTCCCAGAGTGCTAGGATTATAGGCGTGAGCCACCGCGCCCGGCCTGAAATTCACTTTTTAACTTTCCAAACTTCAGTTTCCACATATATTACATGAGGAAAATAAATGGAAGCCATAAAAGCTCTCATTAGGCCATTTGGCATTGCCCTCTGTACTTCAACAAGTGGATGTTTAGCAGAGTAGCTTATAGCTATCCAAGTATCAGTCTTATTGGTGGGGACCAGGACCCAGGATTCATGCCCACTGTGTTTGACTCTTTCTAGTAATCCTTCTTTTTTTTTTTTTTTCCTGTCTTGACAGGACTTCACCTATAGGACCCACAGAAAGCTGCAGAATCCTCTGGAGGCCTGCTTACCTCATAGCTGTTTCTTCCTTGTTGGTGATGACCAGGGTTTGTTTGTACGGGGGCATCCCAGCTTGGTAGATAAAGCAGGTCCCAAAGTTGTAGTTGGTGAAGGAGAAATGGATGGCCGGGCTCACGGCACAACCTAAGATGCTGCACACGTAGGTTGGGCCATGGCTGATCTGTGGGAAGGGAATGGCAGGTGGGTGTGATTAGGAGAAGTGGGAGGAAGGGACATAGAAGTCCTCAGGTGAAGAGAAAAGCAATTTTTTAAACAAAATACAGGTCCCAGGGCTGCATCTCCAGAGATTCTGATTAAGTAGGTTAAAAGTTTGTTTATTGAAGAAAAACTACTCTGTAATCAGACCCTACATGGGCTCTTGCTTTGTTCTTGTAGCAATGATTCAGCTTGCAGGCCCAAAGCTATGCCAGACATCGCAAGTTACCACCCAACATTTCTCCCCATGGCTCCCTTATCAGCAGGACTATGACTGGTTGCCAATGTGCTTAGGTGAAAACACTTGATTTCCCAGCTTGCCTGCAGCTCGGGGTGGCCATCAGACATAGTTCTGATCATTGGATGTAAAAACAGAAGGGGACAAGGGTGTGTTCTATCATGAATAAAGAAGCACAGCCTTGAGAGGGAAAGTTCTTTGCTTTCAGGATCTTCCTCTTTCTTTTCACTGTGGAATGCAGACATAGAGCTTCAGGTAGGGTGGTCACCTTATGACCAGGAGATGACAAGAATGAGGACAAGTCCAAATATGCCAAGGATGAAAGAGTGGAAAGATAGAAAGAGCATGGTCCCCATCTAGACTCTCAACCACAAGGTAATACATGACCCATTGGGGCGTGAACTTAATTTGTTCTTTACAAACTCTTCATAATATGAAATTTCACAAACTGATAACTGATTTAAAATAAAATATCCAATATTTATTCTAAACATCATTAGAATAAACATTCTTAGATAAACATTAGAATAAGCATTCATTTTAAACATCATTAGAATCAATCAAGTCATTGGTACAAGTTTTCATAAACAGCTTTGTACATTTAAAACCATTTTCTTTTTTTTAATTTATTTTTTAAAATTTAAATCTTTTATTTTTGTTTTCTATCTTCTTTATTTTCTGACTGATACATGTGAAAAAATCATTTTCTTATTTAAGACTTTTATGCATTTTATGGCTGATTCTTTGAAAACAATTTAAATTTATCACCTTTAACTCTTCTGCTAATTAGAGTAGGAAGATCTTATGACATGTTATGTTTCTTTTTGCTGCAAGAAATGCAAGTTCTGAAAGAGTCAGTTCTCAAGGGAGATGGGCCCCTTCTGAGGCTGCAAGCCTCGCTTTTCTCAGGGAGGATGGCTGCAACTCTGCCCCAAGTTCCAGGCTAGGAAAACAGGAGATTCCTGAACTCCCAATGGCCAGAGACTCACCCTGAGTTCTACTATGGCTTGAATGTTTCTCCCCTCTAAAACTCATGTTGAAATTTAATTGCCATTGTGATGGTATTGGGAGGTGGGACCTTTGAGAAGTGTTTAGGTCATGAGGGCTAGCCATCCTGAATGGACTAATGCCATTATTGTGAAAGTGAGTTTATTATCACCAGAGTATGTTTGCCCCATTTTGCATGCGTGCACTCTCTCTTTGTCTCCCTTTCTGTCCCTTCCTCCCTCCCTCTTTCCCCTTTCACCATGTGATACCATCTGGCATATTATGATGCAGCAAGAAGGTCCTCACCAGATGCTGGCATCTTGCTATTGGACTTCCCAGCCTCTAGAACTGTGAACTGATACATTTCTGTTCATTATAAATAACTCAGTCTCAGGTATTCTGCTATAGCAGCACAACACAGACTAAGATATGTTCCAATTGTTTTACCCCCATCTTCCTGTCAATCACCTTCTTGAGTATTTGATAAAGACAATGTCCTTAGGCTGGGCACCCCAAATCTCCTTTTGTTATTGACTTTGAATTTTATTCCATGGTGGTTGAAGAATGTACTGTGTATGATGATTTCAATCCTTATAAATTTGTTGAGGTTTGGTTTATAGCATGATCTATCCTGGACAATGTTCCATGTCTACCTGGGAAGAATGTGTTTTCTGCTGTTGTTGAGTTAAATGTTCTATACATATCTGCTAGCCATAGTCCTTTTATAGTGTTGTTCAAGTCTTCCTATTTCTCTGTTGACTTTGTTTATTCTATCCATTATTAAAAGCTAGTTACCGAAATATCCAACTATGATTGTTGAATTGTCTCTTTCTCCCTTCAGTTGTCAGTTTTGTTTCATGTATTTTGAGACTCTGTTGTTACATGCACATATGTTTATAATTGTTATGTCTTCATGATGGAGTGATCTTTTTATTATTACAAAATGTCTTCATCTCTAGCAATAATTTTTATCTGAAAGTCTATTTTGTCTGATATTATCATTGGCACTCCAGCTCCTTTTGGTTACTATTTAAATGGTATATCTTTTTCCATCCTTTTGCTTTTGGCCTATTTGTATCTTTTTATCCGAAGTGTGTCTCTTGTAGGCAGCACACAGATGGATCACATTTTTTCCATCATTTTGCCAATTTCTTTTTATTGGAGTGTTTAATTCACTTACATTTAAGGTAACTACTGATAAAGTAGCATTTATGCCTATTTTGCTATTTGCTTTCTATATTTCCTATGTCTTTTTAAAAAAGACTAGTCAATTATGCCTTTTTTTATTCCTCAATTCTTCCATTACTGCCTTCTTTTGTGTTAAATATAATAGATATTTTCTAGTGTGCCATTTTAATTCCCTTCTCATTTTTTTATTATATTCTTTTGAGTGGTTTTATTAGTGGTTACCCTGGAGATCACAATATCTAAATTTATAAGCAATCTAGTATGAATTAATAACTTAATTTCAATAATATACAAAAATTTGGTCCTATATACATCTCTTTCTTCCCCTTCCCTTTGTGCTATTATTATCACATAAATTGAATCTTTATATAATGCTCATCAATATAGATTTATAGTTATTGCTTTATGCAGTTTTTTTTTTGAGACAAAGTCTCACTATGTTGCCTGGGTTAGAGTGCTGTGGTGTTAGCCTAGCTCACGTCAATCTCAAACTCCTGGGCTCAAGCCAAGTGATTCTCCTGCCTCAGCCTCCCAAGTAGCTGGGCATGCGTCACCATGCCAGGCTAATTTTTTCTATATATTTTTAGTTGTCTGCCTAATTTATTTATATTTTTAGTAGAGATGGGGTCTCACTCTTGCTCAGGCTGGTCTCAAACTCCTGACCTTGAGTGATCCTCCTGCCTCAGCCTCCCAGAGTGCTACGATTACATGCACTAGCCACCATGCGCAGCCTATGCAGTTGTTTTTAAAATCAAATAGGAAAAGTTATAAATAAAAGTACATTTATACTGATTTTATGTAACCTATGCAGTTACGGTTTCTGGTGTTCTTTATTTCTTCATGTGGATTTGAGTTACTTTCTAATGTCCTTTCATTTCAGCCTAAAGGATTCCCTTTGTTATTTCTTACAGGCTAGTCTGCTAGTGATGAATTCTTTCAGTTTTTATTTATCTGAGAATGTTCTGGTTTTTCCTTCATTTTTAAAGGATAGTTTTGCTAGATACAACATTCTTTGTTGATAGTTGTTTTTCCAGCACGTTTAAGATGTCAATCGACTGTCTTTGGGCCTCCAAGGTTTCTAAAGAGAAATCAGCTATTAATCTTGCTGCTTTCTAGGTTCTCTGTCTTTCAATAGTTGGAGTATGAGGTATATAGGTGTGGATTTCCTTGAGTTTATCCTACTTGAAATTCATTGAGATTTCTGGATTTTTAATTTTGGGGGGACATTTTGGGGCATTATTTCTTGACTTTTTAAAAAAATCATTTTCTTTCTTCTTTCCTTCTCAGATTTCCATTATGTATATATTGATATACTTGATGGTATTCTATGGGTCTCTGAGGCTTTGTTCATTTTTCTTCATTATTTTTTATTTCTGATTTTCAGACTGGACAATCTTAATTGCCTCATCTTCAAGTTTGCTGATTTTTTCTTTTGACATATCAAATCTGCTACCACACCCCTGTTTTGAATTTTTCATTTCAGCTATTATAGTTTTCAACTCCAGAGTTTACATTTTATAATTTCTATCTCTATATTGATATTTTCTATTTTGTGAGACATTTTTATCCTACTTTCTATAGTTCTATGAATATATTTTAAATAGCTGATTTCAAGTATTTGTCTAGTGAGTCTAATGTCTGGGCTTCCTTGGGAACAGTTTATATTGGATGCTTTCTTCTCCTGTTATGGGTCATACTTTCTTGATTCTTTTCATGTCTCATAATTTTTTTGTTGGAAACCTGAGATTTAAAATAATATAATGTGGCAACTCTGAAAACCAGATCCACCCACGCTGGGTTTGTTGCGGGAAGAGTAACATACTCTTCCCTTTTTTGGGGGTGGGGGATGGCATCTTGCTCTGTTGCCTGTGCTAGAGTGCTGTGGCATCATCATAGCTCATTGAAACCTCAAAATCCTATGCTCAAGTGATCCTCCTGCCTCAGTCTCCTGCCTATTTGCTTTATGTAGTTGTTTTATTAGTTTAGTGACTTTTCCCATAAAGCCTATATCTTATTTATGCATAACTAATGAAGTTTCTGCTTAGTTATTTTATTGCTCAGCTGATGATTAGACAGAGATTTCTCTAAATGTCTACCACGAATAAGTCTTCCAGCTTTTGTCGAGGGACCCTGTATGTGTGATGGGGCATGCCTCTGACACTCAGGCAGGCAGTTGCCAACTCTGCTTTACTGTTCACTTTTTGCTTTCCCAAAAAGTTAGTCAGAGGTGAGAACTTTAGGGCCTTCTCCTAAGCAGTCTTTACTGAGCAGGAGCACAGCCCTGAGATATACAGATCCTATATATCCATGGCTGTCTAGATTCTGGGGAATATGTTGGAGCTTTTCAAAGACCCCTATGGACATCTCCTTCCCTGGCTTTTTCTTTTAAGTTTTTCTGTCAGCTTGTTTGCCTCAAGGGTCATTGCCACTTCTGGCTGCTGCAGTGTTAAAACAATTGCCACTGATTATTTTTTGACCAATGCCATGGGAAAAGGCTGTTTACATTGACCAAGTTCTGAGTCAGGTCAAATAAAAGCAAGTCTTGTGAATGGGTGGTTTCCACTGAAATTCTAGACATGGCGAATAATCACAATTCTCTTAGTAGGGACTTTTGGGGAGTTCCAACCTGTTCTGCCCCCTCCAGTGGCTGACCAATTGCTGGTTTTCACTTTAATTGCAGAATTGTTGGTTTTCAAGGCTGCTGCAGAGCTGGGGAAGGAGGGTGGGAATAGAGCAAGTTAAAACACCACAAAGCTCACTGTCCTTAGGGATATTCTGCCATTTTTCTCCTAGGCTTGTTGCAAGCTTTAATTAATTTCCAGAGTTCTGAAAAAGTTTACTATGACAATTTTTGCCAGTGTTCTCATTGCTATTGAAGAGCAGCCTTTTGAATATCCTCTGCCATTCCTGCTGACATCATCATTCCTTGGTCTTTCATTCGAAAAGTTATCTTGGGAAATGTTGTACATATTCTCTCCATGTCCATCTATCTCCATTATTTGTTTTAATGGCTGAATGGTCTTCCAATGCATGGATGGTCAACTGCTTTTCAGTCAACACTTACTCACCAGGCACCCCAATCATGGATGAGGCCTTTGTACTTGAGACTGTGGGGCTGTCTCCAACACAACCACCTTCTGGGAGCTTTAGGATGGATGGAGAAGACAAGGAATACACACAGGAGGATTAATCTGCCAAGCAGCATGCTATGAGTGCTTTCAGTGTTTGGACAATGTTAAATGGTCTCACCTTGATTCTGAGTTCCAGGTCCTTCAAGACACACTTCTTAAGTGGTTGAAAAGACAGAGTACCTTGGATACTCTGCCCCACATCCACAGTACCATCCATGGGTGAAAATTCCAAATACTCTAGTGGGGTTTTGGAGCCAGATAGCTCTGCCTGGAAGTTGAAGTTGAACTTTCCAGTGTTAATAAAGTTGAATTCACACTCGACGCATTCATTTAACCCCACCTGGAAGACAAGAGATTAGAGTAGTGAATGCAAACCACAGTTCCCTTCTCTGGGGTCAGAGAAGGTTGGTGAAAAATGTCCTTTGGGACAATAGAGATGGCAGATGATGTTGGTGAATTTAATATAATTAGCTTTATGTAGTCAGACATTCCAGCAGAGGTACCAAGTATTAGGGTCCTCTAATATCTCAAGAACAAGAGGGCAATTTAATTGTTAGACCTCCCTTGGCAGTCAAATATCCTTCCTGTATGTTTAATACAGGCATTCTTGCCCCTCCCCACCATCTCTCCACCCCATGAAAAATGAGATAAGCATCTAGGCCGGGTGCGGTGGCTCATGCCTATAATCCTAGCACTCTGGGGGGCCGAGATGGGAGGATTGCTTAAGCTCAGGAGTTTGAGACCAGCAAGAGTGAGACCACGTCTCTACTATAAATAGAAAGAAATTAGCCAAACAACTGAAGATAGAAAAAATTATCTGGGCATGGTGGCGCGTGCCTGTAGTCCCAGCTACTCAGGAGGCTAAGGCAGGAGGATCGCTTGAGCCCAGGAGTTTGAGGTTGTTGTGAGTTAGGCTGATGCCAGGGCACTCTATCCTGGGCAACAGAGTAAGACTCTGTCTCAAAAAAAAAAAAAAAGAAAAGAAAAGAAAAGGAAAAGAAAAGCATTCACATCATAACTATGTACATTCTGAGGATGGAGCTGCTCCTGGCATGTTTCTGTTCTCCTGGTCTCTCTGGCATTTGAAACAGAAAGACTCAGCTCATATTCACTGGTACTACATTCCCCAGTCAACGTGGAGACTGAGAGAGGGAGCAAGACCCCCTTGCATCTTCACCTCATAGAAGTTGATGATGTTGGTCTGGTTGGGAATCAAGAGAGTGATGGAGCCAGTCCTGTCCTTGCACTTGATCTCTGTGTTCATACTGTAGCCCTCCGCCTTGACATTTAATGTCAAAGGCTGGGCTTTCTTTTTCACGTTGCAGATCAAGTTAAAGTTCACGTCTCCTTCCTGCTTTGGTGTGAAGAAAATATCAATCGGGAGCCTGGTTGGGGAACAAAACAGCAGATTAGCTGACTAGGTTTTATTAAGCCCTGCTAGAAAATATGAGCTCACAGGATTAACAGATTCACTATGAGGAAAAGAAACCATAACTCCAAATTATGATGAGTTTGTAAGATTCACTGGGCAAAGCTGAGCAATGAATGCTCTGTGGATTCACATACACAGCAGAAAGCAAGGAAAAGAATACAGACACGAGGAATATTGGGAACACGGGTGTAGACTTCTCAATGCTCCATGATTCCCCAGGAAAATAAACACCAGAGAGTAAGCAGGACAGAGATGGAATTGTTAATATCCAAATCTTAGACTTGAAAGTGATTTTAGAAATGGGGCACTCTAAGGGAAATGGGATCTTCCGGCTGGCAGGCCGGGGACCCATTGGGAGGGTGAGGCTTTCATTTCTCTTTACCTAGACAGTGGTGGGATCCAGCCTTCCATGGGACATACGATCAGGCTATTGCCGAAACCTTCCGAAAATCGGGAGTTGTCCTGGAAGGCAAAATTGAACTCGTGCTCCTCCTTGTTGATGAGCTGCACACGCTCCCTGGCTTCTCTGCCTGAGGAGGAAGGAGCAGCCCTCAGCGAGGCCTCCCACCTGGCCTGCTCGCTGAAGTGGCTCAGCAGGTAAGGAGGGTGATAATGAATACCTTGCCTAAGTCCTCATTTTAATCGCAACAGTTTTAGTGGTTTATTACAGGATAATATTTGCCTCTTGATTTCAGTTAATCTTCTTTACGTTTTTCCATCAATGTCTATTTTGCTATTAGGATTTTTATGGGGAAATGCCTTTTCAGTATATATTAATATGATCACCTGGTTGTTCTTCTTTAATCTATTGACATAATGATTATATTGAAGTGCACCCCCTTGCATATCTAGATTAAAATTTCTCTTGCTGTTATTATCTTATGCTATATTGCTCATTTATTTGTTCAAACCCTTAATAAATGCCATAATCTCCCCTCCCACTCATTTTACTTATGAGCATCAGTAAAATACACACCCAGCTGTTAACATTGGGTTCCTGTGATGAAAAGGGAAGGCTGAGTTAGGATGGATGGGGAGAGATTAAATTTTTTCTTATATGATACCACATTGAGTGACTCAAAACGCTATGAAGAATATTATTTTATAAATAAAAATTTAATGAATTATTAAAATCATTAAAATTATTAATTATATTAAAATCATTAAATCATTATTATTATATTATTTATTATATTAAATTATTTATTATATTAAATCATTAAAGTCATTACAATTATTAAAATCATCTGGCTTTCATTGTATTCTACACACATACAGATATCACAGCTGTGGGAAAGGTTCATAGGTTATAAAGGACGGCTGAACCAAATCAATGCATGAACAGATGCGAGAGAAATCTGGCCACTGTGGCACAGACTAGGAAGCAGACAAAAACAGCCCATCATCTGGGGCACTTGCAGGCAGGATGGGGCAGACCTGAGGCTCTAGAAACGAAAAGTCAGTCCAGGCCCTAAGGGCATCTGCCAAGGAGGATCTTTAACAAGGCTCCCAGGTTTTCTTGAGCTATTAGCGTGCAGATTTAAAAGATGGATTCCACTTGATCTAAATGAGATTGGGAGGTAAATATTTTGTGGCTTTCTGAACATGACTGAGGCCCTCTGACATGCTGCTTCTGGAAGGCACCAGGGAAGTTCCCGACCCTGGGCTGCTCCTGGAGCTTCTAATGACCTGGCTTAGATCCTGCCAAGTCTAAATACAAATGGACAGGGCAGCCTTACCGATGAGCAGGGAACTGAAGTTGAGGTGTGACTTGTCCAGAGAGATGAGCGGGTCCGTGGTCTTGCCTACCAGCAGGAAAGGGACCGTGATGTTGTGTTCAGGGATTAGGAAACTCCATAATGCTTCCGTGATGTCCAGATGGAAAGGCGTGAACTGGAACACAATCTAAGAAGACAATTTGGAACAGAGTGGTGATGGGCACTTGTGTTTGCTTACTCCATGTCAGCACCAGGGTTTTGGCAGTTGGCATTACCAGGTTATTGCTACCTTTCTACAGTCCCTGTAAGGGCAGGTAGGTGCAGCTGTACCAGCAATATTGATGTCTGCCTGCCCTGGCCACACGTCCTACTAAGGGATCCTACCCTACCCACAGCTTCTGCTGGTTAAGATGTCATATTTTTGTGTCATGTTATTTAGATGGCATGGTTGTACCATAGCTGATTGGACCAAATAGTTGGCACCTGTCCCAAAGAAAGACAATCCACTTGCTTGTCGACAGCTTGGTACACAGTCCAACACAACATGATTAGCAGGGCCAACTGGATTTCTCTCCCTCAAGTTTGGAATTAGAAAGTGAGTGGCCAGACCACTTGGCAGTGGATCTGATGGGGAGGGAAACCCCGACGGTGGGCTGGCCTTGGCAGGCCATTACCCATTTGCTCAGTGAAGTTACAGAACAACTGGAAAGTAAATAAATAAATGAATGTCGAAGAAACTGGTTGGTAGAGAGAGAGAATGGGTAGAAACGAGCAGAGTCCTGGAAGGAAGGTCCAATTTCAAAAGGTGCCCCAGGTCCTTTCTTTTTCTTTTCTTTATTTAACTAACTTGAGTGAGTCTCTGCAATCAATCCACTAGGACTGAGTGGAAGAACAGTGGCATTTGGCCAGAGAGGAACTAGACAGGTTAACATGTATGGACCGTGCCAATGCCAGGGTGGTGCATAGGATGTGTTCTGGAGATATGTCAACTCAATGACACTCCTGTCACCCAAAGACCAGCATGACCCCAGATGACAGATTCTGAAACATGCCTCTCTAGAAATTGGGCTCAACTTTGACACATTTCTGGGCTGTAATGGGGCCACATCCAAGCGGGACTCTGTCTGCAGTAGACCCAGCTCCTGGATCTGGCCATGTTTAACTAGATGGCTCGGCACTGATGATCCACAGAGGTCAAAATCAGGTGGAGAATCTACAGATATGTTTAGTTTAGTTTGGGAAGTGTTAAAAAATATTGAACTAGCTATCAATATGTAAAATAGGGTGATTCACACAGAAATTTGGAATTTTGGCTTCTCCTGAAAATTTGGGAGAGTTGGCCACCCTGGTCCCCCTTGTCTGTGCAGTGGTCATTTGCCAGAGAAGTGCTGTGGCTGGTGGGCCCTGGTGCCTAGCATTACCTGTCATTGTTCTCTTGGCCTGCTTTATTCATTTGTCTGACCTTCCTAAAGGCATTTGAGGTCATAATTTTTATTTCACAGATTTATTTCCACTTTCAAGATTCTCTGTGGAACTTACTGGATGTGGATCCCACAGACCTCTTTTGGCTAGAAAGTTCCTATTTCTTTAAGTCTGACCGCCTGACATATACCACTGTGTAAACAAACATTTTGGACCAAGCCACGGGCCCAGACTCCACTTTTCTATCTTGTTCCTTGGCCTGCCCAAGTGAAAACACATCAGTGTCCTTTCACTATTGTCATCCCCTTGGGGGACAAAGATAACTCTTTATGTCATGCTACTGCATAAGTCCTAGAGTGCCCAGGCATTGATGTCCAGTTATCCTTTGTTGCTTGAATAACCTCAATTTTCAAAAACTGTAAATACAAGAGCTCTCTGCTTCTCTACACTCAGCCAGAGAGCTCAGGTCTATCTTGTTCATCAGGATTGCCCAATGCACATGGCAGCCACTCAATAAATATTTATTGATTGAAACACCCTTAGGCAAGGTGTTCTCCCTAATTCCACCTACTATCTATAGCACACTTGCTGTGCAGAGATGGCGAGAATGACTTAAGCCTTGGGTTACATGTTCCTCATTTGCACATACCTCAGCTTTCTTGTCAGGGTGGATGAAGCCCTTCTCTGTAAGGCATGTGAAGGCTGGAGGGTTCTGGAGACTTTCTATTTCTTCACAGACCCAGGAGAAGGAGTAGGTGCTATTGGTCGGGTTCAGAATGGTAAAGGTCCTGGCCAAGGGGGAAGAATTGACAGCAGAGATTGAGAGCAGGGATTGAGGATTGAGAGAACTTTCTGAGAACCTGGTCCTAATGCAGCCCCCCATCTGGGACTCAGAACTGTTCTGAGCACTTTGTTACTATAGAAACAAAAACTCCATCTCATCCAGGGATCCAAAGCATGGGTAGGGTCCTGGACTTTGGAGTAACAATGTTGCTAAGGCCACATCTACCCTAAGGATACTCTGTGGTCAAGGTGGCGGTCTTTCAAATTTTCCCCAGTATCAAAACTGAGGAGGAAGAATTCAGCTTTCTTAGCATAACAGTTCTCTAAAGTCAAATCTCTTAAACTCAGGTCAAACCCCAGGATAACAAGCCTGCTTCTAGGAGTCAGTTTAGCTCATTTCTCTGAATTCTTCTGAGTTCTTTAGAAGGATTGACTGATATGAATCAAACCAATGCAAACATAAGGAACTCACTGGACATTCTTCCCTCCTACGCCCACGGTGGTGAACTCGATCACCCGGGTGTTTGGATCCAGAGCGCCAACGACAGACCCTCGGAGCTCTGCGTTGTGCGGATGACCGCTGAGGTAGTCTGAGTCCTTCAGGTCAAAATGGCAGATGGGCAAGGAGCTTCGCCCTTTCGCAACCAGGATTGGACCTTGCTCTCCAGGTGGCAGGTTTGGAATCCTGAGAGGATAAAGTTACTTTTATTTCTGTTTTATTTTGTAATCAGTTGTAGTTCTCTTGGTTGAAAATGAATATTACATCCTCCAGCATGTGAGCTCCATGGGAGCAGAGGCTGGGTCTGCCTTGGTCAATGACATCACCTCAGTGTTTTGAGTGCATGGAGGGGTTGAGCATGAGGAGCCTGAATTTGGCTCCTTCTGTGTACCTAACATCCTTAGGACGGTCGCAAGCTACTTCCTCCCTCAGTGGTGAGAAAATGTCCCTGCTGTGACAGAAACTCAGTCTACCCTCTGGGCCCTCTAATAGACATTTAGTGGGATAGGAAAAGTGGCCTGGAAATCCCCAAAAAAGTATCCCGTGTGAGCTCCTTGGGAAGGTGAACTGGATACGAGCAGAATCTTAGCCCCAGGGCCAACCTGAGGTGGCCTAGGTGTGAATGTGTGTGACTGCGGGGTTCAAGGAGGCTCTGACAGCTCACATAGGTCTTTGCCACCCTAGGCCATGGTTCATAGGATTCCTCTGTGAGGTGTGTTCTCCTTCGAGCTTTCCTGGGTGTGGGTACCACATTAGGGACTTTCACTGTCAGATGTCACTGGACTAGCTTTTCTCTCACTGCTATGTGCTAAAGCCACCAACTTCACCACCTCTTCTACCACCTAATGTTAACGGTGTGCCAGGCACTGTTCTAAGCTCTTTATGTGAATTAACTCACTGAATCTTCCCAACAATTCTACAAGGTGGGTATTGTTATTTGTATTTTACATATGAGGAAATTGAGCCTCAGAGAGGGTACAAGAAAGATTGCCCAAAGATTGGAACCCATCTGGCTGTCACCATCTGTTGGTTAGTGGCATCCTACATGTGGCTAAGGGGGAAGTAAGCAGGGGGAAGCATCTGGAAAGGGTTGATGAACAGGACAAAAAATGACCAGGGACCAGGCTTGTTCTCCAAAGCCTGGTCCCTGTCCATCTTTCTGAAGGGAAGAGTGACAATCTGTTGTGGGGTCTAGCCTTGGAAAGAACGGGGGGAGTGGTTGGACAGAATGGGGATTGGAGCTGCAGAGTTTTGTGCCTGCAAAGATGGGGTTTTGGAGAGCAGGTTTCCTTACTGGCAGAAAAGGTTGCTCTCGAATTCTCCCACATCCAACGGGGAGAACTTCACTTTGAGCTTCTGCGTCTTCCCCACAGGTACGATGCCTGAGGAGGGCTCCACGGAGAAGGTGGGCGGGGAGCCCTCCACGCTGTGGTCCATGGTGCTGTCCAGGGTGCTGCCTGTGTGCAGCGTGCCCTGACTAGGCTGATCTTTTTGAGCTGAACCTGGGGGCAGACAGAGTGGGTGACAGTCTGAATTTGCAGTGAGAGGCATGTGGAAGCCAGGAAACTCACAGGTCCTTAGGGACCCTCTGTGGCATCCGTGAGCTCATTTTTGTAGCAGGTGGACTTACTCCTGGGCACTAGAGGTCAGGAATTGGCTCACATGTCTCACAAGACACAAAAAATATTTCTATTAATCCCATGGTTTTCAAACTTGCTTCCTTTTGGCTCGAGGGGGTGGATTAAGAAGGTGTCTGCGAATCTTCTGCCCTAGAATAATGGGCTGTGAACGTAATTTTTGGAAAATCACTGTTCTGAAGTAGGGGTTTACAATTGGGGGGCCTATGGATAGGTCTGTGACTCTCTAAAACTGAAATAATAATAATGATTATTTGCCCACCAGGTGTTAGGCCTTTTTCTGGTGCTTCGCAAGTATGAAATGCAAACTTGGGCATGGGCGTGTATTTTCCCAGAAAAATGGTTCATAGTTTTCATCAGTTTCTCTAAGGGGTCTGTAATCTCCCAGAAGGTTAAAATCTTATATACGAGATTCCTAATGATCTGTAACATGGGGCATTGGCCTAGGTGGGTGCCCAGAGGCTGGGCTCCTAGAGGGTAGAGGCCAGCTCTGGGGTCTCTGCAGACTGCACGAGGCCTCTGCTCTGCTTTTCCTTAGCTACTTAGGAGGCCATCCGAGCAGTACTCGTCTCTCCGTGAACAAGGCTCTTCTCCAACTGGTGACTCATGTCAGGTCCTGGGTTTTACCTGTCATTGCATTTACCTTGGTTTTCTGGCGCTACAAAGTTGACGGCCCTTGAGATATCTTCTGAGATCCAGTTGAATTCCAGCTGCACACGTCCTGAATTAATCAGGTTGACCCTACAAATCAATCAGGGAACAGGCTTGAGAAATGTGCTGAGGGTGATTTTTGTCCTGCCTGCATGTTATCTATGCTGTTACTGAATTTTTTCTTTTTTTAAAAAATTATGTTCTTATTTTATCAATTTTTTAGAGACAAGAGTCTCATGATATCACCCAGGCTGATCTTGAACTCTTGGCCTCAAGTGATCCTTGCACCTTAGCCTCCCGAGTACATGGGATTACAAGCAGAAGCCATCGCACCTGGTAACTTTTTTCTTTGTTGAGTCATTTTGTTTCTTAAATAATTTTTAAAAGGCAAGTACTAAGCAATTGTATCTGAAATCATGTATTTGATGTACTAGGTATATTTCCTTCTAAAACACGTAAAATATATATGTAATGATTAAAAGTAAAAATATCCAAATGTTTAGCATTTAAAAGAATTTTGCATACTACCAACACCCTGTGCAATGAGCTCTCAGCATGTATCACAGGGATCCTGAAAAATTCCCAGGAGAGAAAAAACAAAATGTATTTTACATGATAGCACCTCCCTCAGGAAATTCTGTAGGCCTTCTGTTCCTGCATTACCTGCCACCAGAAATAATGTCTCTGTGATCAGAAGCCATTTGACCCCTGCCTGCAACATCTTCTCTGGCTGAGACACAGATTTGGATTTTAGCTGCTTTGAACTCACACTCTCAATCAGCAGAGGCTTTTCTTGCCTCAAGTTTTCCTGCTCTAAGATGAGGACAGGGAGACAGAAGCTTTTTCTGGAAGCCCTTTTGAACTTGATCACAATAGGAGTAGGAAGATGAAGCCTGATACTGCAAAATGACAGTGTCAGAGAGATGAATATACATGCTTTTCCTGGTTTTAGGGGAGCAGTAAGAATCAGGAGTTCGGGTGGGGGTAGGTCTGGAGTGGGGTGTAGAGATTAGATTTCCATAATCCAGTCCAGCGGACCGTGCAGGTGTGCCTGACATCAAGGGGCTTGTGTTTATTGTGTGAATTTATGAACACTGGTATTTATGCTAAGGATAATTTTTATAAAGTGGAGAAATCTCAGCAGCACAGAGTGCTTTTCATACAAATGGTTCTGGGTTTAGGTCAGGGGTTGGCAAACTGTTTTGTAAAGGGCCAGATAGTAAGTTATTTTGGGGCTTTGTGTACCATATGGTCTCTGTAGCTCCTTGACTCTGTTCTTGGAGTGCGATAGCAGCTACAGGCAATACGTATGTGAAGGGGTGTGGGTACGTGCCAACAAAGCTTTATTTACAAAAACAGGCCCTGGGCCATAGTGTGCTGACCCTTGCTTTTAAGTGACATGGCTATCAGCAGGAGATCCCACTTCTTCACAGATCTTCTGGTTCTATAGCAATTTAAGAGGACATTTAAAGTTCAAAAAATGCAAAATGAGTTGAACAAGTAATTACTAATTTTTATAAGGTAGAAATGTCAGTGATTGGCATTTTTGTCTGTGTATGTTGCTCTCTCTGTTGAGAAGGCCCTTCATTCTCACTTCCTTACCTTGCTACCTTCTATGTGTCCTTCAAAATTCACCACCTTGCCTGGGAAGACTTCCTTGACACTCTGTCTCTCCCCATATTTGGATCTGCTTTAGGTACTCTTTTGCTGCATGCACGTGACACTACACTGAAAATTATAATTCTATTTTTATCTATTCCCCTATGGCCACCCCCAGACAATGAGCTCTTGGAAGGCAGGGCCCATGGAATCATTGGATCCCTGAGTCTGAGCATGGGTAAAGGGTTAACATAAACTTTTCTCCTTCTCAAAGACAAATTTGACTCTGAATTAACTTTTTAGCTCTGTTCCCCTGGAAACCCATTAAAGGAGAAAACTCAGCTGTATTATTAGGTGACATTGTCTATGACCCCTGCTTACTAAAACATATGTGAACTGGGAGGAACCATGATGACCAGGAGGGAAGGCATAGCTCTGGGGTTCTCTGACTATAGTGACTTTCATAACTGGGCATATTCTCTTCAGGGAACCTGGAAGCTGTATCTACAGAGTGGTTATGAGAAACGGCTTCTGTTGGGCACGGGCTTCTAAGCCAGAGACCCCATATCCACTAGTGCGGACATTGTCTGGGCTGTCACCTGGGTGGCGGGCAATAAGAACAGATCCTAGGTGGCTGTGTAGGCTGCAAGGACTATTCCCATCAAAGTGGATTGCTGGATACCATCCTCCTGGTAGACTGTGTTTCCTGGCCTGTATCTTGATTTCAAGTGTGAACTTCAATAGCTTGGTGGGTCTGAAGGTCTCATTGGACCTAAGACAACACTCTGGTGCATGCCACACAGGTATGATATCTGCCATACACTGTCACAGACACTAAATGAATGTTTGATGAATGAGCAAGTGAATGATGGAATGAAAGAATTTCTCTGACTAGTGTTATGAGGCTTTGATGACTCACTCAAACACTCGCGTCTGGTAAACCAGGGTTTCCTTAAAGTGCACATCACCCTTTTGGCACTGGTATGAAGCGAAATCCACAACCGCACTGACTTGAAGCTGTAGTTCTCGGAAGTTTTCTTCTAGTATTGTGTGGGCGGGCTCAGGATCCGTCTCTATCACCTGGAACAAAGGCAGCTGTGTCCTCAGCAATGCAGAGCCCAGGAACAGGTGCATTGACAATGGAATGGAATAGAGAGACCAGAGATATGCTAGGCACATATAAAATTCTGGTAAAAAGTATATGACAACAGAGTCCTGGCAGATCACCAGGAACAGAGGATAAACCAAAAAGAGATTGAGTAAGATTAGATAGCTAAATGAACAATATGAAATTGGATCCTTGCCTTGCATCATACATAAAATCCAGATGGGCCAAGGGCTTAAATATCAAAAGCAAAGCTCTTAAACTTAAGAGAAAATAGAGGTGAATATCTTTCTGGGAGGAAGTATTTTATTTTATTTTATTTTATTATTTTTTTTTCTTTTTTTTTTCTTTAGCCAGGAACACCAAGAGAATGGGAGGAAGTATTTTAAATATAAAACACAAAAAGTAAAAAATATAAAAGAAGGTATTAATAAATTTGGCTATATTAAAATTAAGAACATTCTTATTTAATCAAACAATTAAAGAAAGTGAAAAGATAAGCTATGGTAAGGATAATTGTAGACAAATAATATGAACAGAGGAGTTCATCAAAAATAAAATATCAAAGAACAAATGTGATAATTGAAAAATAGGCAAAAGGCATGAAAAAGCATCCATGTAAGTGATAACTTGCATGGCCAATAATCATATGAAGAAAAACTCAACCCTATTAGAGGTCAGGAACATGCAAATTAGGCCCATTTGAGAGCATTTCCCACTCATTCAAATGAATCAGGAAGTCTAACAATGCCACGTGAGGGTGTGGATCAATAAGATCTCTTTGCTGCCGGAGTATAAATTGTTACAGACACTCTGGGAAACACGTGGGCATTATCATGGAAAGTTGAATGTTCACATATACAATGACTCAGCAATTCCATTTCTAGGAATATAAACTCTTCCAACTGAATACCATGTGAACAGTAACACTCATAGAAATACTGTCCATAATAGCAAAACCACAAATAATTTTCAGAAGAAGGAAGAGGGATTAATAATATTGGAATTTCATATAGCAATGAAATGGATATACTTAGAGCCACATGCAACAATATGGGTGATCACATGCAATAATCTTTTCAAAAAATAAAGTCAAAAACTACAACTAAACAATATCCCTTTTAGAATGCATAGGTTAAAAAGAAACAAAAACCTAAAGGAATAAACAAGAAAAGAGTTAAGATAGTGATTAACTCTAGGAGGGAGGCAGAGGGATGGAGTGGCTGAGAACCACACAGGTAGTCAGTGTTCTACACCCCATGTTGGGTATGGATTAGTCTCTGCTTATATTATATTATTAAAAGGAAGCTAAGGAATGAATGAAAGAAGGGTAGGCATGGGTCAAAGGTGAGATCCTTCATGAACCAAACACTATAGCTAATCTAATTCTGGACACCCGAGAGAAAATGGAAACAAAGACTGGCCATGACATTTTTCGAAGAAGAAAAAGGTAGGAGGACTCCCTCAATTGGTTATCAAGACTTAAGCCAAAGGGTCACCAATTATGATAATATGGGATGTGTAGTATGAGTGGCAGGCAGCATGTGTGGAATTTTGGTTTGTCACTTTTGAAATCAAGGTCAAGTAGAATGGGAACCTTTTGTTTTTTCCATGAAAGAAGGAAATGATGAGACACCAAACTTGAGAGCAGGAGACATCCAAGCCTGGTCAGCTTTGCATTTGATGTCCGCACTTACTTTTCGTTTTGCAGTGAAAGTCCCAGGAGTGTTTCTGGGCACGTCCACCCACTTGACTGTGCGCTTTCGGTCATCCCAGTCGGGGACCTGGTCTGCGGGGAGCTGAAACACGATCCTGGAGAGCTTGCACTTGATCCGCATCTTCTTCAGGTGGATGGGCACGTCTGACTTCATGGTCACCACTATATCCTTGGCACACCCAGGGTGGAGGTGGCCCATCTGGGGAAAAGCCTGGTATTAGTATTTTTGAGAATTCAATCTTGAGGACCCTTGATCCCTGCTGGTGATATTCCACAGAAGGGGTGGAGCCAAAAGACTTGGCAAAAAAAATTGCATCAGTCAAGCCTGTGTATGTAGATTGACTTAAACATGTATAAAACGTCCTTAGATACAAATGCAATCATAACAATAGGAGCAACTAATATTTACCAAACTGTTAACTTGCTCCAGGCACTATTTCCAAACCTTTACACGATTCCATTAATCCCCACAACAACCCTATGAGAGGTAGAGCTCTTAATCCCGTTTTATGGACATGAAACTTGTAACTTCCTTGAGGCCATTAATACTGGAAGAGCTGGATTCACACCCAGGCAGTCTGGCTCCAAATGTCACACTCAACCATCTTACACTTCTTCATCAATACTATGTATACAAATTATGGCAGATCAATACAGTATACTAGCAGAACTCAGAAGGTGGACACTTGGGATCCCCAAGACCTTTTCAGGGGTCCATGAGGTCAAAACTATTTTCATCATAACACAAAGATATTATTTGACTTTTTCAGTCTCATTTTCTCATGAGCATGCAATGGAGCTTTCTAGAGGCTACATGCCATATGATATTGCATAATATTGAATACAAAAGCAGGTATGAGAATCCAGCTGTCTTCTATTAAGCCAGATATCAAAGAAATTTATAAACATGTAAAATAACACAATTCTTCCCGCTCAATTTTTTAAAATATAGCAATTTTCATGAAAATATGATATTTCTATTAACATGTAATGGATTTACTGTTATATTTTAAAATGAGTATGTACATGCTTTTAAATATTCTCAGTTTTAAATTCTAATATGGTAAATATTGACACACATAATGCACACAAACCAAAGCTCTTTGGGGTTCTCAATAATGTTTAAGAGTATAAACGAGTTCTGAGACCAAAAAGCTTGAAAATTGCTGAAGTATAACCAGATATATGGGACATCCAATTTGGTCTACAAAATAAAATCAGTTATGATCTAGTAAAAACACACACACACATTTACCTACTTATCTGCCATATATATGACAGTCCTATCATGTTTCTGACAGATAAAGCACTCTCCCTCCTCTGGAAAATGAGGGGAGAAGAGAGCTTAGTACTTCCCAAGGCACACGTGTGTGTACATGTATGTGTTTGTGTATGTAAATGGACTATAAGAAGCTTATCTCTGCCTTCAAAAACAATGCTCACGATTAGATTACCCTGTTAGATGATATACTGTGTTTGTTTCCTGCAGGTAAAATGCAGATAATACTAGTATTTACCTTATAGGGTTGTTGTAAGGATTAAATGAATTAACCGAGTCTTAGAACTGTGTCTAGCATATAGTAAGCACTCAGTTTACACTGGCTACTATTTAGGGTAGGATTTGGGCCATGTTGGGGTTGGAATCTCTCAGGAGGACTCAAATGAACTTTACAGCCCTCCAGGAAGCAAAACTTATTCCTAATAGCACTCAAAGATTTCAAAGTGACAAGGCAGAGTCCCCAACCTCCTTCCACCATCCCCTTAGAGTGCCAAGCTTGAGCAGCCTCAGAGGCTGTGTGTAAACGGAGCAGGAGGCAGTGGAGACATCTGGGTGTCCCAGGGTCTTGGGAACTCAGACGCGAGCTGTCCACAAAAAGCAACTGCCGGTCAGAGGCCATGATCTGCTATGAAGTTGTCCTAGGCCTTGTTCAATGGCAAGCTTTGGCCAGCAATTCCTAAAATGTGTTCTGTGAGATGCTAAAAGAAGAGGTTAGAAAATTCCATGTCAAACAAAGTTGACTAGGTTTTAATCTACTGAAGGACACTGGGAATCTTTTAAGAAGAAGATGTAACTTGTGACATTTTCTAAAACGCAGTTGTCCACACAACCCACCACCCCCATTTTAGCTTTTGGTGAAGCACTTTTGAAAGAGTAATGCTTGAAAGAACACACACCTAGAGACCCAGGTCCACACTGTGGGACAGGAAGACTGGGACCCATGTTCGTCTACACAGGTCTCCATGGAATTTGTAAAAATCAGCCTAGGAACAGTCTTGGCAGTCTTCATTCTCTGTCCTCCCCTCTTAACGAGGGGTGGGGGGATTGGGGTGGACAGGAACAGTGTCTCCAGTACCACGTATGAGTGAGGATGATCCCTGGGCTGCCTCCCAGCCTGGGGTGCCTCCGTCCCATTGCATGCTTCCATGGGAAAAGGCTGATAATCAGACATGGCATGGCTCAGGCCTAAGGGAGTCCAGAAAACAGTGAATGGTTTTCACTTACCTGTGGGGAGAAAGTCACTGTAGCTAAAAGGGGCCATTCAAACCGTACGATGTTCACGTGGCTGTGATTAGTGATCATGAAGCCCACATTATAGCTGTTTCCAATGTGGCAGTCCCCAAACTGGATGTGGTCCACCAGGGAAGCTGGGGGTTAGAAGCAAAAGGCTGGTGAGTCCTCCCTGGCCTCCTTGAAGGGCTGCTCCCTCAGGAGGCAGTACCTGGCAGACACTGAGCTTCACCCATTGTTCACTGTTTATCTGAAGTTCAAATTTACTGAAGACTCCCATATTCTGATTTGCTAAATCTGTCCAACCCCATTATAGATATGAAAATGATTTCTGAACTTAGGTTCACTGCTGGCTCCTGCTTGAGCCCTGACAAGAGAGAGTTCACTCTGTAGCCTCAAACAGGGGTGGAACCCCAGCTATGTGAGGTGTGTTGATTGCAATGCATCTGTATAGACCTCCTACTGGTACACTCCAGCACTGTAAGTAAGCGCCTAGAAAAACTGTGGCACTGGGTTTATGACTCGCTGTATAGCAATCGGCCACACAATTAGGGTGCTTAACAATTGCTTTTTGATGATGACAAGGAAGGATATGCTTCCTGCCCCAAAGAATATGGTCAAGTAAATGAAGCTTTAGTACCTGATAGACTGTAGAACAGCACTTTAAGCTTTAATACATAGGCAAACCACCTGGAGATTTTGTTAAAATGTGGATTTGGATCCAGTAGGTTCCCATTTCTAAGAAGCTCCCAGGTGATGCCGGTGCTGTAACTTCAGACTGATCACTGAGCAGTGATGTCGTGGAGAATGAAGTTCTAGACGTGGCCCAAACCCATACCCTCTCACCCAAGCCAGCAAAAGTATACAGACAGGGAAAACTGCAAAGAGGCATTAATTCAATTATTAGCTGGACTGGCCTTTGAAAATCAAACTATATGCTCCCTAAGAGCAGAGACTTTCTTATTCATCTTTGCAACTCTGGGGCTGAGGATGGTACCCGGCACACGCACACGGGTGCTCATATACGTGCATTGAGTGAACGTGTGAATTAATGGAAGGATGGATGCAGTGACTGAGGCAGGCAAGACAGAGCACACAGGAATGAAGAGGAGATTCATTCTGAAATTCTCAGGAAGCTAGCTAACTTGTTATTTAAATTTCCTCTCATTTAAAGTGACCAGAGAGCCAATACTTGTCAACAGCTCACTGCTGTTACCGCCACCTGCCAAGACATCGGTCATGGCGCTGTCCTCTACGATGTCTGAAAACTCAGAGAGATGTGTGGTGTCCAGGCTGCTGGGAGTCAGCAGTCCATGGATGTTGTCCAAGGTGATGTCATCCTCATAGCCCTCTCCCACCATGTAGATGACGGTCTCCTCGTACGGGTTGTCGACTACTGACAGACGGATGCTGCCTTTCATCCTCCCAATCTTCTTGGGGTAGAAAAGGACATCAATTTCAGATGTATTTCCAGGAGAAATGACCAGGGAGGCTGTGTGAGGTTTCTTTGCTGCAGAGAGAAAAGAGAAGATATGATTTACAACCAGTTTAAAGAAATACATACCCACAAAGACCCTGGTAGAAGGGAAAGCAGCCCTAGCACGAGCATGAGCCCCAGCTACAGGCCAGTGGTGACGAGACTGGGCCCTCAATGGTCCCCTAACCAACTAGCCATCAAGAACCACTGCCCTCGAGAAGCACCCTGCCCCCAATTACCTTTCTCATTTGGTTTGCGGTCCTCTGTGATGTAGATGTAGGAGGTAGTGGGGCTCCCTTTCAGAAAGAAGACTCCTAGCTGGTCACGCAGGTCCACGAGCAGCTGGCAGAAGGAAAGCAGGACTGAGTGCTGGGCTTTTGAGTCTGGGCTGAGATACTGAGCTGTGTTTGGGGCAGGACCCCCAACAGCCATTGTGCCTAGTATTCACTTTTTTGAGTTTCTTATTAAGGGAGGGAAATAATAAATATTAGACCTGAAGGGGACAAAAGAAAACTTGGTCAGATTAGCCCTTGTTCTTTAAGCTAGGAACTGGAGGTTCAAGGAGTATAGGTAATTTTCCTGATCATGCAGCCAGGTGGTGTCAAAATGGGGTTTACAATGCCTCTTTTATTAACAGACAAAGCTGTGAGACAAATGCTAAATTAATCACATGGAAATGAATACTCTTAATTCTATCAGGGCTTGCATGAATGTGAATTCCTAAAAAATCAGTATCTCCTAGGCAGTATGCATTAGTTGCCTGTCATGTTGAGCATCCTACTAAGCTAAGAGAAAAAACAAGATAGGCATAGGGGTGGTTTCTGGCTCATTGGAAGGAAAATAAAACTAAAGTGACACATCTGATTTTAGGTCTGAAAAATAAGAAGACCTTGTTATAAGGTATGAATTCTGGCACCATCATGAACAAAGTTAAACAATATAAAGAATGAGGCATGAAGAAGGAAAAAATAGTGATATCACGTTGGAAGCAAAAAAATATATATATTTAGGAATAATTTTTAATAAGAAACTATACAGAGGAATTACATGTAAGAAATATTGACATAATAGAAAGATCTAAGTATATGGGCAGAAATCCTAACTGTTGCTCTTGGTAGTGAGTCTGTATACTCTAAAAGTATAAATTCTCCCCAAATAATTCTTAGGCTTCATAGGGATTTCTTTGAGAAACATTATAAAATATTCCAAAGTTGATCTGAGAGACTAAGAGGCAAACTGTTCAGAAAAATGACACAAACAAAGAGTGGGTGGGTAGGAATTCACCGAACTAGAATGCTGAAACATTTTATAAAGCCACAATAATGGAAAGAATGCAGCATAAGGGTAAACTAGGTTAAACTGAATTCAAGACAACAAAAAATACTAAACATACAAAAAACAATTTGAAAGTGTCACAGAGCTAAGAAGATGATGAAGAGTAACTAGACCAAGATCTGTGAGAGCCTAGAAATCCACGAAGCCCAGGCTGACTTTGTAGGCTGTTTTTGTCCCAGAGCACTTGCCAATCCATAAGAGGTAGATGGGAGGCTTGTCTGTGCTTTTGACAGTCTCTTGGTGCTAAGAGGGCAGAAATCCAAGGCTGTGCAGGTGAGAGTGCTTTCTTTGCTCTGGGCTGGGACTCCAAAGTATGCACCAAAAGATGAAAGGTGAGCTGGATATAAACCAGCTTTCCCAAGGATAGCATTCCTGCTCTGAATCATCTGGGTAATCCAGAAAGTATCAAACCCTAATTCTGGCCCTGAATTTCTAGTGTCCCAAAATGTTGGGCAGAAGCAAATGAAAATTCACTCTGAAAACAAAATAATTTTAAAATAACTTTTTAAATATAATACTCAACACATGATCAAATGATATTCAGGCACACTGATGAGACAGTATAACTTAGGCAGGAATGAGCAGAAATAGCAGATATCAGAGATACATCCATAGGGACTTTGAATTTTGGAATTATCTGGTATAGATGGCAAAAATGGCTATGATTACTGTGTTCAAGAAATAAAAGCCATGTCTGACAATTTCACCATGAATATAGAAACCATAAAAGTAAATTATTCAAATCTAAAAAATAACGTAATAGAAATTTTAGAACTGAAAAAAATAACAAACTGAGGACTCAATGGAAAGGTTTAACATCAGATTCGATATGGCTAAAAGGGAGAGTTAATAAATTGAAGACAGGTCAGAAAAAATTATGCATAAAGAAGCGCAGAGAAAAATCAATGGAAAATACAATGATGTTGAGAGACACAGAAGACATAGTGAGAAGGTCTTCCATACATTTAATTGGCATCCCAGAAGGAGAGATGAAAGAGAATGGGACAGAAGCAATATCTGAAGACATTTCTAGGAACCTGTCAAAATTGATTTGACATCAATTCGTAGAATCAAGAAGTCTGGTGAATTCTAAAGAAGGATAAATTGAGAGAAATCCACATCTAGACATATCATAATAAAACTGCAGAGAACAAATAAAAAGTGAAGATGTTAAAGACAGTCATCAAGGAAAAGAATGCCTTAAAAGAACAGTGTGGACTTAAAGCTGATATCTCAATCTCAGTAGTAACAATGGAAGCCAGAACACATCAGAATAATATTTCTCATTTGCTTAAAGAAAACAAATGCCAAACTAGAATTCTATAGTCAGTAAAAATTATATTAACAATGAAGGCTAAATAGAGATTTTCAAATAAACATGGAGAGAATTCACCACCAACAGACCCACATTAAGGAAATACTACATAGTGTTCTTCAGTTGCTAGGAAAAGGATTTCAGATGGAAAACTGGATATGCAGGAATGAAAAGCAACAAAAATGATAAATATATGGATAAATCTAAATGAGCCTTAATGTGTAAACAATAAGAGCAATAACAGCAAGAACAATAGTAATTATATAATATATATAGCGAATCCAAAGCCCTCCACAGTTGTCCCACGACTATGTCCTTTTGTCTTCATCTCCCACTGCTCTTCTCCCTGCACCTCATGCTCTCACGGAGCTCGGTGCTTACTAGTTCTGCCAGTACTGCACACTTGTTTTGTTTCTGGGCCTTTGCAGTTTTCTCTCTGTTCCTGGGATGCCTGTACTTCATGCCTACTTGCTGAAACCCAGTAGTCCTTCAGTGCCCTCCCTGCTCAAATGTCATTTACAGTGAATTTATCCTTTATGCTCTGGATGAAACCAGATCATTTTCAAGAGTCCTACAGTCCTTCATATAACACTTCCACAATTTACCACTTTTTTTTGTAAAAATAAAATCATAATTTAATCATCGAATCAAAAGTCCCTTTTGATGTTATATCTATCACCCCTAATGAAGTTTTTTTAATTGTATTTTCCTCATCACAAATGCATTGTTATACACAGTGGAATATTATTAGGCCATAAAAAGAATGAAATCATGACACTTGCAATAACATGGATGGAACTGGAGGTCATTATCTTACGTGAAATAAACTAGACACAAAAAGAAAAAGATCACACGTTCTCACTTATATGTGGGAGCTAAAATATCTGATCCCAGAGAGGTAGAGAGTGGAAAGACAGAGAACAGAGACTGGGAAGGGGAAGTGGGGGCAGGAGGGAGGATGAAGAGAAGTGGCTTAAAGGGTGCAAACATACAGTTAGACAGAAGGAATAAATTCAGTGTTTGATAGCAGAGTAGGGTGACTAAACAAAAATGCATTATACTTGGGAGAGGGGCACCCTAAATATCCTGACTTAATTACTATGCATTATATACCTCTAACAAAATTGCATGTGTACCCTATACATTTTTACAAATAAAATTTTTTTTAAAATGCAATGTTTATTATAGAAAAAAATGAAAGAAGATACTAAGAATACACATAATCCTACCCACCCACTGCATGTGCCTCGCACAGTGGTTATTAGTGCATTGTGTGATCCGGATTCCTACATTCCCTGAGGACAGACACTGCGCTGCATTCCCCTCTGCATGTCCCTTACACACAGGTTAATGTACGGAGACCCTCAAAGAAGTCCCCATTAGGGATGGCAGACAGCCCAGTGTCAGAAGACTAACTTCTGGATGATTCTTCCCCCTTTCCGGCCTAGGCTTCGCGCTCAGTACCTGGGCTGGGATGGTGCCGCTGTTCTTGAGGACGAGGGGCAGCTTTTCTGAGTGGCCGAGCAGAAGCCTCTTAAAGAGGAGCAAGGGGTTTCCCTGCTGGTTGAGGAGAACGGGCCGCAAGATGGTCACCCGAGGGAGGTTCCCGTCACCGGTGATATCAAACATGAGTCCTTTGTTCTTGGCCAGGTTGCTGCAGGGAAGGGGAAGATTGAGGCCTGTGACGCCTGGCATGGCAGGAATGGCATTGCACAGAGTGAGTGGCCCGTAGCCCTGCCGCACGACGGCAGGGCACTGGGAGCAGGTACCTGGGCAGGCCTTCCAAGGTAGCCTCAAAGATGCACTGGTAGGTCTGCATGGTCTGCGGCGCGAAGGACACCGTGGCGAAGGCGTGTGAGCGACTGGCGATGCACATCTTGTTGGGTTCCACATCAAAAATGTCCACGATGCGGGCTAAGGGCTGGAGAGGGGGAGCAGAGGCCAGAGCGCCTCAGCTACTTTGCGTGTCTACCTGGCTTGCTGTTCAGCTCTGTTGCTCTCCCTCCTCCCCGCTCTGTGGCGGACGTGCCCTGCTGCCCGCAGAGTCACGGTCCTGGGGAGGAGCAGCCTGGAGACCCTGGGGCCCACCCCTGAGCAACATCTGACTAGATTGTTTCTAACCCGTGACTTTGGACTCAAATAGATGAACTAAGCCAGGCAGTTGGGTAGTCTCCTTGCCACCCACCGCAACACCTGCCAACTGAATGGAGACGCCCAGTGGGCACCGGATGTTAATCTGGAAGCTGGCTGAGCCCCATGCGAGGTCGGGAAGATGGACTAGAGAATGGAGCAATGGAAACACCCTCAGAGCATCTGCTGGTCTCCTGAAGGTCGGATTTTAGGTAACAGTTCCAGTCTCCAAAAGTCCTGGCTATGTGATGTGTCTAAGGTCATTGCCTTAAACCTGATTTCGGTTGGGCTAACTTGAGCAGGTTTCTGCTCCTTGTAACTCCAGAGCCTTGGCCGGAACAGCCTCCTCCCTGCATTTTATTTCTTCCCATCTTGTGGTGTTGTTTTGGGACTGTAAGGACCCCTGGGAAGGCCTTGAAAGGAAGTTTCATTCTTACGGGGAGCAGGTGGGATTCCCTGTTGTTCTAAGGTTTCTATGCTCTCCAACGGATCGCCTTCAAGTCTGCACACTGGGGAGGAGACCATGGTGTCTGCAATCCCCTGTCATAAAGTCTGTCTTTAGACATCAGGCTTGCTCACTGTCTATGTTTTTAGTACAGAATAGTGAGAAAGCTGCTCCTTGGTGTCCCAAATAAACTCAGAGATAACAACTGGATGTCACTAGGTCCTGATGCAAGTCATAAAAGGGATTACATAGTCCCCTGGGAATGCACACTCTCTGTATAGCCCTGGGCTGACACCAACCCCCTCGGTGACCTCCCCACCACCCTCATCTGTGAACACCACCAGCTTCGGGTCAAAAGGACTTCCTGAGTCCAGATTGCACCTTTGAGCAGACAACTGAAGCAGCCGATATAAGACTGTGTGGTATTTGCTGCACATTCGACTGGAAAATTAGAGTGACAGAAACTCATTGATTAAGCCCCCTCTGGATAATCTGAATTTTCTGTACCACTGTGAGAAAACAGGGTCCCAGTATGATCTGACTCAGAGAGAGGAGGCAGTTTCGAGTCTGGCAGACTCCGAGAGGGGTACTGTGTATTTACTTTGTATGAGGTTAAAGCTTGAGTCTGGGACCTAGGGGAAGAATTTAGCCTTTCAGAGCCTCAGTTTTCCTAACTGTGAAATGGGGATGCTAATACAAAGTCTGAATGAGTTGTCAGGAGGGTGAAATGACAGGAGGCAATACATGTATTCAATCAATCAATCACTTAGCACAGTGCCTGTCACACAGGAGGGCTCAACGCATGTTCCCCATGCCATCTTGTCCTGGTCTCCCTTAGCAGAAGAATGTGCAGCTGAAGCTCTAAGCTGGTGCTTGTCTCTGGCTGTGCCCCAGGCTTTGTCTAGGCACATAGGGAACATTTAATGGGTGAGTTGCTCACTGGCGCTGACCGGTGTATCACAGGGGCACCCACAGGAGACACCCACTTGGACAAATATATGGCTCTTGGCCCACGGGACACCGCCCAGTTACCGCACATAACTTCCAGCAGGGCCTGAGAGCCAGATAGTTCCCACTCATGTCTTGAGGCCCCAGAGCAGCGGCGTCTTGGAGCTCTTGCCCGGGCTTTATGCCAGCCATGCTGGGCTGAGGCCACTTGGAGCTTCTTACCTTATTGGAGACAGGCTTAACTATAATGTTGACATCACAGGCAATCTTTCCCACGTTGCTGATCTTGAACCGAGCCCTGGCCTGATGGCCCACCAGGACGTTGCAGAAGATGAACTTATTCTCATCCTCCACGAACAGCCCCCCACTCTCTACGGTCTGCAGGATGTGTTGTAGGTTGGCGCTGGTACATAGCTGGTGCTCCTCGAATATTGAGGCATTGTTGTCAGTCACAAAGGCTGGGGAGTGAAGGGAAGACCGTGAGACGCTGCCCCATGGCCAGAGTCCTGGCTCTGTCATTCCTAATTTGGAGCTTTGGATTCTCACAAGGGAGAATCACAGAGAGGTAAGGGAATTCACACTAGGGAGTGTGAGTGATGGGACAAATTCTATCATGTCTTCCTCTTTTGTACTGTGCTTGCTGGCTGCCATATCTCAATTGGCCTTCTACTCCCAATGGTAAGATCTGAGGTCTGTGGTGGGCTTTGGGGAGAAGGAGGCATCTGGCCCACTTGGTGTTGTGTGCCACAGCCATGTCACCATGATTCTCAGAAAACACTATTCATCTGAGAATCTGGGCCCAGACTCGAGAGGGCCAGGGGTTTGAAGCTACATGTCCTCTCATAGGTATGTATGCCTTGGAAAAATATGGCTGAAGACACTAGAGGAAGTTCTAGGGTCCCAAGGAAGCAGCCCAGCCACATCTGCTAGACATCTTTGGAGAAACTGGCCTGCGGTTACAAATGAAAGTCTGGTGAGTGCTACTGTTCAAAGTGAGCGGCCAGTACCTGGCAGACAGGCCTCAGCCATCAGAGTGTAGGGAATGCCGGAAGGCTGGTCTCTCGGGTCTCGGTCGGAGATATCAATGGCTAGGAACTCCTCACACCTTCCCACGGGGTCAGCCACACAGTCGACGGTGACGACCTGCTGACTGCCAGAAGGGACGGAGCCAAAGCCGGGGTATATGGTGAACATGCCGTGGGAGAAGCGGGCCTGCAGGACAAGGGCGGGAAGGGAGAGGGATGGAGGCAGAGCGGGTGACAGAGTCTGAGAGCTTCCGCCAGGGCTGTGAGGTGCCGCGTAGAAGGGACAGGGGGACTTTCCCCGCAGGCACTCTCTGCCCCTGTACTTCTCCTCCTGGAGCGCCTCCTTCCATGCACTGTCCTTGTGATCCCAGGGTTGGTGGGGACAGATAGTATCCACATCATACAACACTGCTCCATCCCGGTGGGAATCTCAAGCAGAGGGGTGCAGAATGGAATAGTCGTTATGATTCTGGGCCATCCGAGTCAGCTACTCCTGCATTTGCAGCCCAGTCCTGCTATATATTAACTGGTTTATCTTGAACAATTTCCTTCTCTGAGTCTCAGTTTATTTATCTATAATGTGGGGCTAAAGCTCCTACCCCAGAGATTTCTGGATGTTTAAAGAATAGGTGTGAAGCAAGTAGCGCAACACCTGGCAAAGGATTAGTGCTAAAAACAAACAAACAAATAAAAACACAAAGGGATGTTGGTGTCCTTAGCTGACTAGCTCTTCCCCCTCCCACTTGTGGTTTTCAGGATAAGTGTAGGATGTGCCGAGACCTTAGACAAAGAGGAACTGTCTGGAATAGCCCCAGCTTCATCCTCATCTCTCCTAGAACGGGATGCCCTGAAATTAGCTCAGGGAGCCAAGTTTCTCTGTGGTATAAACCCAGGGCAGAATGCTTTTGGGGTGCTCCAGCTGTGGTGCAAAGTGGGGCATGCACAGAAAAGACTCCATCTGCCTGGAGCAGCTTTCTTGAGCCTTAAGGGACCAGCTCGCCATGAATCCTGGGCTTCTGTAGGTTCTTGCTGCCTGTCTGTGAGCGGTAAGTTGGCTTTGCATGACGCATGCCAGTGTTCTGTCTCACTGGATTCATGCTCTGGCAGTTGGGTTTGTGCAAAACCTCTGGCAGCCGGGATTTGTGCAGGGCCTCCTGCTAGATCTAGAAACCTTAGCAGAAATCAGTGAGGTGGTTAGAGTCCTCCCCTGGGAGCGATACAAGTGCAAGGTATCGGCAAGGTGTTCAGCATCCTCCCTGGGGACGGATCCCAGGCATGGCATTAGCGTGTGCTCCCCTGGTTGTTAGGGGCTTTCCTCCTCTCACCCGGTTTCAGAGCGCTGCCAAGGGGCAGTCTTAATTGGCATCTCCCTCCCTACCATCCTCGAAACCTACCACAGTGGTGGGGGTGGGTGGGAGGGGGACTTTTTTCTTGATAGACTTCCAATTGGATACTGTTCCTGTTCCCCTGAGAGACACACTCTCCCCACTGGCCTGTCCCCTGCCCCCCACCAAATCCCTTTAGGCATGTTCTACGGTGTCAGGAAGCAATTTACTCTGACGGTGCTCAGACTCAGACTCCGGATTCTTCAGGATATTAGGAACTTTCCTGAGCTCTTACCATGGCTGGGCAGGTTGTGCGCTGCACACCTCTAGGGGGCAGTCTTCACACAGGCATCTGTGTGGTTGGAGCCTCTAGTATTGTGTAGTGTGACCGCACAGCCATACGTGGACACCACCATTTATCTAACTCAGTCACTGTTTACTGAATACCTACTGTATGCCAGGAGCTGTCCTGGGCACTAGAGACTCCCAGATAAACCATTGTGACAAAGAAGGAGAACATGGATGAATGGTAAGAAAATGAAGAAAATGATAGGCTGCTGTTGCAATGGAGCAAGGTAGGTCATGGTGAGGGCAAAGAGCAGCTAAAATGGACTTGAGCTAGCAAACTGGGAAAAAGGGAAGGGGTGGTCAGACAAAGGGATCAAGAAAGCAAGAGTTCAGAAACCCCTAAGTTTCTTGCAATGCAAGATCCAGGGTGTGGCCATGAGAGTGAGTTGCAAAGGTGGAGGAGAGGACAAGGTCATTACAACTGAGAGGCAGGGTATTGGAGAGAGGCTGTGCCACTGAAGGCTGAGAAGTAGGTGAAGAAGGCAAAACATATTATAAATATCTATAGCAAAGATGAGAGTTATAGCAACATGTAAGAAATGATGTATATTAAATGAAAAGGCTTCTGTTGAGAAGAGGAAACCACTTGAAAAGACTTAAAAAGCAACATGTAGAAAACCCAATTCAAGGCTGTGTGCAGTGGCTCATGCCTGTAATCCTAGCATTCTGGGAGGCCGAGGCTGGAGGATCCCTTGAGGTCAGGAGTTCAAGACTAGCCTGAGCAAGAGCAAGATGCCGTCTCTACTAAAAATAGAAAGATTAGCCAGGTGCAGTGGCATATGCCTGTAGTCCCAGTGACTGAGGAGGCTGAGGCAAAAGGATTCCCTGAGCTCAGGAATCTGAGGTTGCAGTGAGCTACAATGACACCACTGCACTCTACCTGGGGCTATAGAATGAGACTCTGTCTCAAAAAAAAAAAAAGAAAACCCAATTTGATTCAATCAACAATTATTGGTGTTCATAGACTGCAGAGTACCTATTTCTCTTATTTTTGCCTTCAATGCAGATGTGGAAGCTGGAGCTGCAGCAGCCATCTTGGAACCATGAAGGAAAGGCCAAGAGAATCACAATATCAATAAACTATTAAACCAACACCAGCAACTGCCTACCCTATTTAAACATACATTATTTGTTTAAACCACTAATGTTGGATTTTCTGTTATTTGCAGCACACAAATCAAGCACCTCCTTCTCTGTGAAGCCTTCAGTGTGAACTCTTCACAGCTACCAAGAACAGTGGCTAGAGCCTATTTCTTTACACATACCTCAATTATTGTCTTTACCATCTTGCTTAACAATTGCTAATTAACTCTCCGCTTTTTTTAATTGTCTAAAATATTTCCTCTATAACCATTTAAAACCATATCAGACAGCATTATAATTTTGCTTCAATAGACAAACATAATTTAGAAAACCTAAGAAGAAATGGAAAGTCTATTGAATTTACATATTTTATTGCTTACTGTGTTTTTTCTTTGTTCTTGATGTTCCATGATTCCTTCTTTTATTATTTACTTTCTGTTTAGAGAACTTCCTTTAGCCATTCTTTTAGGGTAAGTCTGCTGGTGACAAATTCTTTCAGTTTTCCTATTTTTGAGAATGTTGATTTTCCATTTCTTCCAAGAGATATTTTTGCTGGATATAAGATTCTGGGTTCACAGTTATTGGTTTTCCACACTTGCAAAAATATTATGCTATTTCCTTCTGGGTCGCCATGGTTTTTGTAAAAAAATCTCTCTTGATGCATTCAAGATTTTTTTCCTTGTCTTTAATTTTCAGAAGTTTAACTATAATATACAGATTTCTTTAGGTTTGTCCTGTTTGGGGTTTGCTCAGATTCTTGAGTCTGTAGGTTTATATCTTTTGCCAAATTTGGAAAGTTTTCAGTCATTATTTCTTTAAGAACCTTTTTCAGCCCCACCCTCTTTCTTAACTCTTTCTGGAACTCCAATGACAGGGATATCAGATCTTTCGGTTATCGTTCCACAAGTCCCTGAGGGCCTATTCTTTTTTTTTTTCCCCATTAAAGTCAAATGGACTTTCAATGGACTCAAAACAGAGTCTATTTTCTCTCTGTTGTTTGGACTGGGCAGAATAATGGCCTCCCAAAGTGGCCATACCATCGTATTCCCTGGAACCTGTGAATATGTTACCTTACATGGCAAAGGGACTTTGTTGATTTGATTAAATTAAGAACCTTGCGATGGGGAGATTATCTTGGATTATCATGGGGCCAGTGTAATCACAAGGGTCCTTAAACATGGAAGCAAGTTAGAGGGAGATGTGACCATGAACAGGTTGGAGTAATGCAATGTGAGAAGGACCCGATCCACTACTGCTGGCTCTGGAGATGGTGGAAAGGGACCACGAGCCAAGGAATATGAGCAGCCTCAAAAAGTGGAAAAGGCAAGGAAAGGTATTCTTCCCTGAAGTTTCCAGAAAAGAAAATAGTCCTGCCAATACCTTGATTTTAGCACTTCTGATTCTACAAAATTGCAAGATAAAAAATTTGTATTTTTTTTAAGGGACTAGATTTGTGGTAATTTGTTAAGGGAGCAATAGGAAACAAATGCAGGAATTCCTGTCATCTGTCTTCAAAGTCACTGATTCTTTCTTCTGTCACCTCCATTCTGTTATTGAACCCAGCCACTGAATTTTAAATTTTGGTTATTTATTTTCCAATTTCCATTCTGTTCTTCTATCTTCTCTTTCTTTGCTGAGATTATTTTTAATTTTTTTTCCAAGCATGCTTATAATTGCTCATTGAAGCATTTTTATGTTGGTTTCTTTTTCAGATAATTCTAACACCTCTGTCAGCTCAACGTTGGCATCTAGTATTTGTCTGTTTTCCTCCTGTTTGATATCTTCCTGGTCCTTGGTATGAAGAGTGATTTTCAGTTGAAACCTGGACATTTTGTGTATTATGTTATGAGACACTGGGTCTTACTGAAGTCTTCTGTTTGAGCTGGCTTTCTGACACTTTCTGGCAGGGAAGGAGGACACTGGGGTAGCACCCCAGACTCCTCACTTGGACTCATGAGTGCTTGGCAGGGGTGGGTGTTCCAGTTCCCCACTAGACCTCAATGAATGCCTCTGCTGCCATGCAGGATGGAGAGGTCCTGTGACGCCATTCTAGCAGGGGAAGGGGAGGGACATCTCATTACCACTGGGGTGGGGTGGAAGCCAAGGCTGTCCATGTAGTGACTCTATAAACACAGTGGGGGGGGGCGCGGATGGACTCTTGCTCCTGGCTAATGGGAATGGAAATCTTGGTGTCCTATTTGACCTTTTCTGTCACCACCCTGGCAAGGGGGTTGGGGTACCTCATGACAGCCTGGAGAGGGTGGAATCTAGACTCCCTACTTGGCCTTTGTTAGCAGGGGTGGGGTGGGGCTAGAGCTTTTTCTTTGGTGTTTGGCTGGAGTAGGACAGTTATTGTCTAAAAGTTTTCTGTCTTTCTAGGCTGCCCCTTTCCTGGTCCTTAGACTAGTGGCTTGTGTTGGGGCTTTTTCTTTGTGTCTGTTGATCTTTCAGGATTGCACCCAGTCTGAAGGACACATGAAGCAAAAAGAAAGCTGAGAAACCAGACACCTTGATATTACTTGGGCTGCAAAGACCCTAGCTGATCTGGATTCTTCTCTCGTCTTTTCAGAGTCTGAAGTTTGTTTTATATACAATGTCCAGGGTTTTTAGTTGTACTTAGTTGGGAAGAATACAGAAAAGTATGTCTGTTTGATCTTACCAGAAGCTGAAGTCTTCAAATCTCCTTTTATTTAGGCCTGTTTGGGTAGGCTGTTTCTTAGAAACAAAAGGTTTTTTGATTAAAATATATATGAAGATTTGAAACAATTTTAAGGCAACAGGGAGCCAATGACAGTTTTAAAGCAAAAGAGGATATTCAAATGAAAAAGGTCATAACACCTTAGCTTACAAAGAACATGATCTTTCAAAATAATTTCTTAACATTCCTGCCACAGTAGATTCACATCTTGTGATCCTAGGGAGGTATTTGGTGGGGAGAGCTACTGGAGAGGTGGCCTCCCTGGGTTTCTGTGACAAGGAAAAGGGCACTCACCTGGCCTGTGAGGTTTACTTCTTTCTGAATCGAGTCAGAGAATTTGGCTGTTTTGGGAAGACCGCCCTTGTAGAAGGTCTCGCTTTCCCGGGATCTTGCATGTCGGACGTGGCTGGCTCTGATTGGAGAAGCAAGAGTATACCCTCAGGTGGGGTGGTGGCATTAGATACCATCTGTCTTTCTGCTTGCAAGGTCCTTTCCAGGAATGGGGGGAGAGGACCTTCTTTGCCCAAGAGGGCATCAGAGTGGCACAGTTCACTTGCTGATCACTGACCAAACTCATTTAATAATTGGAAAGAAACTATACAGTAATTATATTCACTATAATAACTACGATTTATAAAGACATTCAGTGAAAATTACTACAAGAAAATAATTTTTAAATGCCTACTTGAGTTCACCGGAAAGCAGTGTATGGAAAATTATTTGTGGACATCAAATCTTCTACTTAATCTCATTTTAAAAAATGAAATGGAAAATAGCTTAAACTCTGTTCTCTTTCTTCACATTTAGGGTCATGATGTCTTTAAGGCTCAGTATAAGCAATAGTTCAAATATAAGTTTTGGTAACTGTTCACTTCCCTTGAAGCCAGTTTACACAATAATTAGTTAGAGATCAATTCACCTAAAATATTCAAATGTATTTGAGGCAAATCTTAACCTTTTAAAATGTTCAACCATTCACTTTCTTAATGATCAGAACACCTGAAGTTCAAACCCCTTTTGCATATTTTACATGAAGTCATGCATGCTAAAATAAAAATAAATTAAAACGAAAAACAATTTAAAGCAAAACACAATTAAGTTACAATCATTAAAAACATTATAAAATTATTATAAAATAAATGTGAGAAACTAGGTTGCAATTAAATTTGAAAAAAAGAGACTTTAGACAATTTAACTCTAAATTTCCTAATATGTTCAAACTTTGTCAATACAGAGAGGGAGAGCCACAAAAATAGAAAAGACTACAAACAACGTAAAGCTGTACGTCTGGCTTAAAACAATTAATTAGAAAGTCCAAATTAAGTTAGAAGTGTCTTTGGAATTGGCAAAACCATTCCTAATTTTCCCAAAAAAGAATATGACAGCCCAGTGGGAGCCAAAAGCACTCAAAAGGTAAATTGTTTTTGGTGAATTGAGAGCCACCTTTGGAAGGATATAGAGTTTTGCTGTCAGAGCGACTATTAAGGTAGCTGTTGTCAAAGTGTCTTCATGGGAAGAAGGCAGTAACATTCCCTGGTAGACTGAGGCACGGCCCTACTTTATGGCCTCCACGTGTCCAGGGTAGCCTTTGCCATCCCCCATCATGAAGCACAGAGACAATTTCTTGCTGCTGTAACAGTCGCTAGACATCTTACAGAATGACAGGACGATGATTTTGTAAGTCTTTTAGCATACCAGAAGTGGAGAAAATCCTAAGCAGAAGACTTTTGCACTTGTTGAACTAAAATTTACCATGTATTTGACAGAAAATGTCAAATTTTGACACTTCTGGAGTCAGAAGATGTGGGTTCAGAACCAAGCTCCTGCATAATCCTGGACCAGCCATTTCTAAAATCTTAGTGACTTCACACATGAAAGAGGACTGGGTGAATTTAAATAAGACACAGGAAAGCTCTTTGTAAAACATAAAGCATGAATTAACTGGGGAATAGAATGAGTTAAGTATATGCTCATCTTACCCTTTCTTTTGATAAGCAGTGTTCTCCCCGGTCATCCTAAACAGGGCATACTTGAAGTCAGTAACGCCTTGATTTTCTATGGTGAAGCTGATGCTTTTACGAGTCCCACAGATCAAAGCCCCAAAGTTGATAACAGAGGAGGGGCTGATGTTGTACTTGGAGTACACAGCATTCGCAGAAATCTTGATTGGGATGCTGGCAATGATCTCACCTCCTTCTGTCATACTGGGTTCAATAATCTAGGAAGGGAAAAAGAATTGGGATGATGTCAGCCACCAGTATAGCTACAGAATTCCTGTGGTTGTCTACTTCATTCCCTATTTTCATCATTGACATGAAGCCAAGTTCTTGATTTCACGGTCTTTGTGTTATTGCATCAACAACAATACCAGCAAACACTAACACAGAGCCCACCATGTACCTGCCAAGGGTCACTGTGCACCAACTTTTCCTCCTGTTTTCAGTTCCCTACTCATCTCTTGTGTTGATGACTGAACTCATTTCTGATGACTTTGCACACCTTCCACGGGACCCACCAATGCTTGCCATTTGGTACCAAACCCCAGTGTACCCTATCTTATGCCACTCAGGCCAACCCTCCCTCCCCCCTCCCCAGCATGGATTAGATTAAGTATCCTTTTCAACAGGAGCCCCATGATCCTGCCACTAGGTCACCCTCTCCCTTTGAGCTCTCTTACCTGACAGCGCAGGATGGCCTGGTGCTCAATCTTCACTTCCCTTTTTGCACGAAAGTGTACTTGGACATTTGTAGCTTTTTCTGCTGTGGTCAGTGCACCTTTTTTGGGTTGTACTGCGATCATGGAACTGGCATTGGTTGTCAAAATCCCTATGGAGTCCACAGAAAAGCTGAAAGACAAGAATAAAGAGTCAGTTTAAGTCATTATGCAGGGAGCCCTAGACACCAGAGAGGAGGGCTGTTGAGTGCCTGCCACGTCTCCCGCCCTAGTTAACCACGATGCCCGGCAGTGTCCGCTGTGCTCTTTATTTTGTGACCTCCCCTCCTGAGCAGGAGTGACTGGGCCAGGGACTGATGCTTGAGGTGAAGATAGCTGTCCTCTACCCACAGTCAAGGGGCCCTCACAGGAGATCTGCATCCAACAGGGACACCTGATACTGAAAAAGGACCAACTAAAAACTCTCACTCTGTCTCCCTCTGTCTGAGACTGAAAGCAGTACACACAGATGGACAAGTGACACAGAAACCAGGGGATCTAAGGAGAGAAAGTGGAGGGTGGAGCAGGAGCCAAGCTATAGACGCACCAGGAAGGGGAGTCAGGGCCCTACAGGGGTGAAGCGAGAGCCACAGAGAGAAGCTGCCTCACAAGACTGGCAGAGGGACCAGAGTAGGCACAAGGACCTCAAGCAGAGGTGGGACACCTGGAATTTCTGTGGGGCTCTGAATGTTACACCCACGCTCTAGGAGACCTGGTGGCTCAACTGCTTGCATGCCTGTGCTTCCTCACTCCCCTGCGCATTCTTTCCATGAACCCCTGACCACCTGTTTCAACCTGAGGTGACTCCATTCCATGCAACTTAAAGAGCAGATTTTATGCCCCTGTCATAATCTAAAACAAAATTCACGAACAGGCAAGATTCCACTTAGTGCTAATTCCAAAGTGACAGTGGTCTTTTTTTCTGGTTTTTTTTTTTTTTTTTGACTTCTATTTATATTCATTTATTTCAATTTATAGTTTCAATGGTAGTATTGAGGTGGGACATCTTTAATTTTAGCATTCTTTTCTTCCGTTCATTTTTTTTAAGAGATGAGGTCTTGCTATGTTGTTCAGGTTTGACTTGAACGCCTGGCCTCAAGCAATCCTCCTGCCTCCGGAGTAGCTGGCACTATAGGTGTGCATTATCATATTATCATGAATACACTGAATTTCTTCCAGGTCTGCAGGGGGGAAGTCCTGTTGTCCAATGTGAATTCTTCTGGGGGAGGATGACCTTTCATAAACATGGACTAGGCCCGAGGGCTGGTGGGGCCACAGGGGGCCAGGCGGCCTTGCCTGAGGGACCTTCCCACACTTTCCCCTCTGAGGGGCCTCCCTGATTCCATGCTTCCTTTTTAATCTCAAGGGATGAGCACCAGCTGAAGCTGTATTCTGCCAAGACACTACTTGGATTCTATAATATAGTGGTTCTTCGAATTAAAAAAAAAAAGGAAAACCCTTTCTTCATATGAAATCTTATGTAGAAGAGCACCTTATAAAGCAGGTAAAAGCTAGCAGCTGGCAAGACAGATAGCTTAAGGCCAGGTCCCCTATCTCCAGTCTCTCCTCCCATGCCCTGGGCCTCCTCTCGCTCCTTGGATCCCCCTACTTCCTCCACCCCAGACCCCTGTGGCTCCAGCTGCATCCAGAAGGACCTGAAAGGTGTCTGGTGAGTTGCAGAGTTGGGAGCTCTTAGCAGCTGGAGTTCTATTCATTTGAAGCCAAGGGAGGCCAAAAGCAGAGATGGTTCTTATGATTTCCTTTAAAACATCTCCCAGATATTTCTCGGTTCTCCGCTCGAGTGGGGGGATGTGGGTTACCTGAACAGGATCTCGTATTTGCCACGGTTCTTCAGCTGCAGCGGCTGCTTCACCTCCTCCATGACCTTCACGGTCCCGAAGTCCAGGCCTCCTTCAGCTCCTGCAGAGGAGCGGGGAGTGGGCAGTGGATCGAGAAGCAGGGAGGGTCCCATTGAAGCGCATGTGGGAAACCCAAGTGACAAGCTCACAGGATTTGCTTTCTGGAAACACTGGCTAGAAAAGCCTCATGCCGTTGAGTTTTGGCAAACAAACGACAGACACTGCTCTTGTGCCCGGTTCCAAGAGGCGGCCCCCTCGGGACTCCATCTTAGGATTGTTGAACTTTCATGTGTACCATCAGCTAAACAGTCATATTTTAAAAACATTTGTTTAAAGTGTATAATTTACACAGTTAGGCTATTACACATACATTGGTGTTGTTTTACTTAGCATTACATCACGAACATTTCCCCAAATAATTAAAAACTCCTCATAAATGTGATACTAGCGGCTGCATAATATTCTATGATACGGTAGTTCTATAATTTATAATATTGGTCCCATAATACTATTATTCCCTTACTGGTAGACATTTAGGTTATTTCTGACTTTCATTATTATAATCAATGCTGCCATAAGGGATCTTTGTACATATGACTAATGACATCTCAGCGAAGATGTAGCTCTCATGTACTATGAATCTCGCTGAGAAGGGGGGGGCGGAGGGGCAGTGGAGAGCCGTGTGCTAGAGGGACAGCTGTGACTCCTCGGGTGTCAGGGCAAGTGTGGTGGACAGAACAATGGCTGTGCTCCCCAATTCCAGCCATCCTATTCTCCAGAATATGTGAATATGCTACCTTGCATGGCAGAGGGGAATTAAAGCAGCAGGTGGAATTACCCAACTGACCTTAAAATGCAGAGATTAATTTGGATTATCTGGGTGGGACCAATATAATCACAAGGGTCCTTAAGAGTGGAAAAGGAAGGCAGAAGGCGGGGAACCAGAGGTGGCGGCATGAGGAGGACTTGGCCCGGCCTGGCTGGCTCTGAAGACAGAGGAAGGGGATTGTGACCCAGAAAGGCTTGGATAGCCTCTAGAAGCTGGGGAGGGTAATGGATTCTCCCCCAGAGCTTCCAGAAAAGAGCACAGCCCTGCTGACACCTTGATTTTAGCCTAGTGAGACCTACAGAACTGTAAGAGAATAAATTGTTGTTGTTTTAAGCTAGAAAGTTTGTGGCAATTTGTTACGGCAGGGGCAGAAAACTAATACAGATAGGAAGGGGGGTGTTTACCATCAAGTGACTGCTCAGGAAAGAGCTCTGCAAATTTTATATTTATGGCCACCACCTTGCTATCTTCAGTTGGAGAAAGTATGGTTGTGTCGTAATTTGCTACCATTGCTCTGGGGCTCACGTTGCTGTTGTCCCGAAATTGTCTCCTCCCCCTCCCAACCACCACGATTCTAACCACACACTGGTCTTTCTCTACACAGAAATACACTACATGAAAAGAACACAACTTCTAAACACCCTTTCCTTGAAGGGCTCGACAGACCTTTGGGGAAGGTGATGTCCAAGGCAATGTCGTACGACTCTGCAAAGATCGGGATATTTTCAATCTGAACGATACCAACGAGATTGTCTGCATCTAAGACCTGTCAGGGTAAGAGAAATTCAGTAAAAGCAAGATCCACGAGGCGCTTGGAGTGTGAGGTATGTAACATGCAGTTGGTATAATGAAGGGGACAGGGTAGAGGGTATTTCTGAAATGTATTTAGCTGTAGGTCTTTTATTTTCGCCAAGTGTTTGGTGGGATCAGCACTTCCCCTAACACTCTTGGGGGGATGCTAGTGCAGAGTTGGGGTAAGAGACTGTTTTTCATTGTGTGCTTCTACTGGGTGTAAATTATTTGCGTGATTGTTGCTACATTATCCAAGTTTGGACTGTGAGTAGACATTGCAAAAAAGTGGTTTTTATTTTTGAACTTTTAAATCAAATAAATGTGAAGAGCATTGTTCTAACAGTTGAAATGGAAAAGTTTATACTCTAAGTTATCCTTGCTCTATTCATTTTATAAATCTGAATTGTCCTATTCTTTGTTTGTGACTTACCCTGTGGAAAAAGTGCTAGATTTTTCATATAAAATAAGTGTTTACTGTGTGGAAAATTCGAATGTTTTATTTACGTGAACATCGATGACTGCTGTTAAGACCCCTGGCTCCAGTTGCGCACAGACCTGTGGTCATGCCCTTGGGTGGTTCCCACCTCGCTGTCCTGAGCACTTCTGAACTGGCGCGGCTGTCAGCCCAACCCAACTGCTGGCTCTTGGGACCAATGAGGAGGTGAAAGAGGGTCCGTTTGTCAATGGAAAGTGCTGGCAGGCAGGGGCTCAGCTCTCCTGGGTCTGCATGGAGCCCACGTGCCATCTGCTGAGGCCCCCAGTTGAAAACCTATGTCACCGACTCCCTATTACTTGTGCTTTGGATGCGAAGGGGAGATCTGTGGCTGTCACCAAATTCAAATTTTAATTCAGAATTTCCATCTTGTCTTTCATTTGACTTTGATAGTGTCTCAAAGAACACACCAGGTCGACTTGGGTTTACCTTCCCTCTCTGGCTGCTCAGCCTGTGACAGAGATGACAGGCAGGGCTGAGTAGATTTATACACTACCTTTCTGCTGATGGATGCCAAGTCCCCAGAGCATTCTATTTCCTTTACTTCCCCACTGGGGGGAGGGGGAGATCAAATTTTGTAATTGAGGGAAATAGGAGGGACAATTAAAGAGGCATACAAATAAAATAACACCAGTTCAGTAGAATGCTTTCCAAAGGGACCCGGAAAGTAAGGCATTTCCTCCTGTGGACGTCGAAGGAATACGATGTGGGGGGCTTGAGGGAGACCCACTCTACTTTGTGCAGAGCCCCAGTCAGGCTGCTATTTGCCTGGGACACACAGAGATGGTCACAATAGTTGTTAAAATACAGAAATATTTCTGTACCAGTTCACAAACAGCTGTTACGATGATCTCTCCAAGTGTCCCCTTGCTGCCTGCCTCCTGAGCCCTGGACTCCCTGTGATCCAGCAACTGCAGGATGAAGCTGGCACAGCTAGGGGACCCCAAGCGCCTACACCAGCCATGGGCCTCAGTACCTTGTGCAGAGACCTGTGCCTGCGCAGAGACCAGTGGGCTTCATATGTATTTACAGATTAAATGAATCTATAAATATCTGTTTACAGTTATCTGAAGGGTTGCTGCAGCTAGGGGATTAGATCTACTGACTGGCCCCAGAAGGTAGAGACAGGATTAATGTATGTAAGTTATTAGGAAAAATCTGAACTCAACCAAAGGAAGAATTAACAGACCTATTTCAAGGGAGATAAAGCTGCTTGCAATGGTAGTAAGTTTTCTGTCCCTGGAGGTATTCAAAGAGAAGCTTGGATGACCCCTTGAATGTTGCAGAATAGAATCAAGTATTAAAAGTCCATGACGTGCATCCATACATTCATCAGATTCCACCAAGTGCCCACCACACCCAGGCCTGTGCCAGACACTGGGGAGGGGACGCTATAGTGGGTTGAATGGTGGTCCCCCCAAAAGCGTGTCCATTTCTTAACTCCTGGAACCTGTGAACGTGACCTGATTTGGGAAAAGGATATTTGCAGATGATGTAATTAAGATCTTGAGATGAGATCATCCTAGGTTTTCTGAGTGGGTTTTAAATCCAATGACAAGTGTCCTTATGAGAGACAGAAGAGGAAGAGGAACAGACAAGAGAAGGCATTGTGACGGTGGAGGCAGATTGGAGTGATGCATCCATAAGCCGCAGGACACTAGCAGCAGACACCGGAAGCTGAAAGAGGCAAGGAAGGTTCTTCTTCCAGAACGGTGAGAGGGGAATGTCTGTGGTTTGAGCAAATTGCCCAGCTGTGGTGATGTGTTACAGACGCTTCAGGAAACAAACAGAGACGGTGAGTAAGTAAGATCCTGCCTTGATGGAGCTCATTTAAGAAAGTAAAGAAAGAAACAGGATAATATCAGAAAGAGGAGGTGCCCTGAAGGCTGGAAGATGGGCTGAAGGAGTGCATGTAAGAGGGGCGCTCTCAATGAATGGGGTGATCAGGGAAGCCCAGTGGAAGGTGATTTTTGGGGCACCCTAAAGCAGGAGCCAGCTCCCCACAGAGCCTAGGAGCAGATTCCCAGCTGGGTTGCAGCAGAGTCAGGGCCTGAGGCAGAAGAGAACCAGTGAGTGACAGCGAGGGGTGAGGGCAGCGGGTGAGGACCCTGGGCTTTGTGCCTGTGGCAGTGGGAGGCCAGCAGAGTGCTACTTTAGGAAGGGGAGTGACCCGATCTGACTGACACTGTGCAGATCCCTCTGGGCACTTTGGGGAATGCCGAGAAGGAAACCAGTTAGAAAGCCCCTACCGAAGTCCAGGTGAGAGATGTTGCAGGTGGCCTGGACAAGGGTGGTCATGGCTGTGCGGACAAAGCAGTAGGTGTGAAGGAGACACACTGAGAGAAAGAATTAGCAAAGCTTGCTTGAAGACTGGGCTGGAAGGGAGGTCGTCAGGAAACGGGAGGAAGTCCAGGGTGATTCCCAGGTGTCTGCTGGGGGTAACAGGGTGAAGGATGACATTTGCCAAGATAGGAATCTGACAGGTGTCTAATGCTTACCTAGGTATAGAAATGTCATTTATTTCCTTTATCCATTCCACATTGATTGGGTGCTCTGTTCATGGCACTGGGAAATCAGCCATGAGCTCTACTGCCTGTATGGAGCTTGTAGTTGTGTGCACAGCGAGATAGTATGGGTTGGGGATATCAAATGGAGATCAGATGGGAGCATGTAACAGGGAGACCCGGCTGTGTGTGTGTGTGTGTGTGCATTAACCCAATGTGTTAACCAAGTGTGTAGACATGTGAAGCCACACCTCCAACCGCATTGCCTTCTTGATGTTGACAGGTTTGGTGGGCTGGAAGTACACGTGCAGGCTGTACTCAGCCTTGGAGGGGATGATGCCCTGCATCACGGACACGGTGAAGTCATCGCCCAGGTGCTCCAGGCTGGAGATTCGCCAGGCCACGGGCAGAACTGTGACATTGCGGAGAATAACTGTCTTGGATTCCTTTCTGTGAAGATAGAAGAAAATTTGAAATTTCTTTTCAAATTTTGTAGTTTCAAATGAGTTTTTAAAATCACAATTTTTCTTTTGTGTATGGATGTTTCAAAAATAATTTTTTTTTTTGAGACAGGGTCTTGCCCTGTCTTGAGGGCTAGAGTGCAGTGAGGTCATCACAACTCACTGCAACCTCAAACTCCTGGGCTCAAGCAATCCTTCTGCCTCAGCCTCCTGAGTAGCTGGGACTACTGGTGTGTCCCACCACACCTGGCTAAATTTTTCTATTATTTGTAGAGACGGGGTCTCACTCTTGTTCAGGATGGTCTCAGACCCTGGCCTCAAGTGATCCTCCCACCTTGGCTCTCCAAAGTTATAGGATTACAGGCTTGAAAATTTCTTAACTCTTCTCTTCTGCTTGTTTTATTTAGGTCTCTTAGCTTACAGGGCTGGGCTAATTTTTATGCTTCTTAATTTTTTCATATATAAGTTATCCCAAATTAAATGTTCTAATTTCAAATTCACAGAAAAGTTGTAAGAATTCCTATATACCCGTTATCCAGTTTTGCCACTTGTTTACATTTTGTTCTCTTGACTTTGCATTCACATTCTTCTCTCTCTTTCTCTCTCTCACACACACATCCATATTATTTTTTTCAGATCCATTCGAAATTAAATTGGAGATATTATGCTTCTTTACCTTTAAATATTTCAGTGTGTATTTCCTACAAACAAGAACACTTACTAAACTCAGGGGTTTTAACATTGATACAACCCAATTACCTAATCCATAATCCATATTCTAATTTCATCATTGTTCTACTGACTCTTTTTATAGCTATTTATTTTTTTCTCAGTCAAGGATTCAATCCAGGATTGTGCATTGCATTTAATTGTCATGTCTCTTTAATCTCATTTACTTTGGAAAATTTTTTCAGCCTTTTTTTGTGTTTCTTGATCTTGAAATTTTGAAGAGTACAGGCCAGTTAATTTGTAGAATGCTTCTTAATTTGGGTTTGTCTGATGCTTCTTCATGGTTAGATGCAGGATATGCATTTTGGGCAGGAGCACCACAGAGTTGCCAGTGTGTCCTCCTCACTGCATCATATCAGGAGTCCCATGATGTCACTTTGTCCCAATATTAGTGATGTTAGGTTTGATCTTACTTAGGTAAGATGATGCTCACCAGGTTTTTTCACTGTGGATATACTATTCTTTCCTTTATAAATAATATGTGGAGAGATACTTTGATACTACGTAAATATCCCATTCCTGATCAAACTTTCATCCGCTAGTTTTAGCATCCATTGATTATTATTTAACTCCATTAATCTTTCTGTATTTATTGCTTGGTAGTCTATTGTCAGGAAAAGCATTCCATTCTTCCTCATTTATTTATTTATGTATTTATTAATGTTTCTGTCAGTATGATTCATGGATTCTTGTCTTATTCAATAGGTTATAATCCATTACCATTATTATTTATTTTGACATTCACATTGTCCCAGATTTAGCCAGTGAGAGTCCCTTCAAATCGGCTCCTGTCACCTTTTGCTATGTCTCCATGATTCTTTAAGTTCTTCCTTACTTTCTGGTGCAGCACAAGTTTTCCAGCTCATCTGGAACTTCTTGTACTTTTTCTGCCCTAGACCTGAGAAAAGCATTGCACCACAGAGCCTTGCTTCTGTTTAGTAGAGAATGACATTTAGAAACCAAGATCTGGATGTTGGTGTGCTCACTGCTACTTGTGAGACATTATTTCCAGGCCTTCTCAGCTGACAGAGGTAGGAAATATGTGTGTGTATTTCTGCGTCTATCTATGTATTAAAAATCATGACTTCATACTGATACCTACAATTTTAATTCAATATCCCAAGATCTCCCTTTCCATAATTGTAACTCCCTTCTCGAACACTGAGAAACCTGGATATAATTTAAATAAAATATTGTGGTCAGAAAACATACTTTGTAAGATTTCAATCAGTTGAAATTTAATGAGACATGTTTTGTGGCTCAGCATTCTATTGTGAATGTTCTGTGTATACTTAAAATTAATATTTATTCTAAAATTGTTATTTAGATTTTAATTAGGTCAAAGTAGTTGATAGTGTTACTCAGATCCTCTTATCCACACTGATTTTTTGACTAGTTGTTTTAGCAATTATTCAGAAAAAGGTAATAATATTTCTATTCATGATTATCTATTTGTTCCTTTAGTTTTATTGGTTTTTTCTTCATGTATTTTGAAGCTCTGCTATTAGGCACACCTATATTTATGATAATTATGTCTTCCTTATGAATTGATAAAATTTCTTTTGTCATTATGAAATGTGTCCCTTTTTATCTTTGGCAATATTTCTTGTCTTAAAATCTCTTTTGTTTGGCATTTTCCTTTGTCCCATCTGCTTCCATTTCTCTCTTCCTTCTTTCCTGCCTTTCTTTGGTGTAATCAAATACTCCATAATATTCTCTTTTAATTATTATATTGGATTTTTAGCTATACTGCTGGGGTGGATGAGTTAAAGCATCTGGTTTGTGATCCATTTCTCTCCTAGTTCTGGGGAGGTGATCCTAGAAAAACAAACAAGGCAGCTGACCTGGTCTAATATCCTTATAAACATGATGTTAACAGGATCTGATGGTAAATAGATTAATGACATTTTCCAGAATAACCCTTATATTTGCAATGTTAGCACAATGTTCCTGATTTAGGATTCCTTATGTAAATAAACTTAGATTCTGGATTCTGGATGGGAATAGAATCCCTGGAAAATGTCACCCCTAAGCTATGTGACCATCTGGAATATAAAATCTACATGTTTCATAATCAATTCTCCTTTCTGAAGGAAGTGATCTGCAAACCTCATTTAGATGCTGTGCTATTAATTTGAGCCAGAAAGTACATTTCTGATGTGGAAAAGAAGGACCTAGGGAATCATAGAAGACATCCCAGACATCTTTCTTCTTCATCTGTGCCTTTTGATTGTTTGTGTCCTTGAAATTGTTAGCAAAGCTTGATATGAGATAAAGTATCTCATTTGCATGGATCTGATTTAATAATGTGATTCTTTGGGTTAGTTCAACTGCTTTGCATTATTTTTATTTTAGTGGTTGCTCTAGGGATCATAATATATATCCTTAATTTATCAGTCTACTTAGAATTAATATCATGCCATTTCATATAAAATCTTAGATCCTTGCAATAGCATTCATTCCTTTTATATTCCATTACCCACTGTATGTAGTATTATTGATATATGTATGTGTATATATCTATTTGTATCTACATATACATACCATATAAATCTCACTATATTAGTACTATTAGTACTAATACTTTTGTTTTAAATAGTTAATTGTCTTTTAACTAAATCAAGAAAAGAAAAAATGAAGTATTTTATATTTAGCCACATATTTAACATTTTCAATGTTCTTCATTACTTCCTGTAGCTCTGAATTTCCATCTGATGTCATTTTCCTTCACCTTGAAAATTTTCCTTTAGAATTTCTAGTAATCCAGGTATGCTGGTAATAAATTTTTGTGTACCTGGCAATGTATTTTCCCTTCGTTTTTGAGAGCTACTTCTGTTGATATAGAATTTTGGGTTGATAATATAGTCATCCTTCACTATACTTGGGGGATTGGTTTGAGGACCCCTGAGTATACCCAAATCTGCACATACTCAAGTCTTGCAGTTTGCCCTGGGGACCCTGCATCTACAAAAAGTTGGCCCTCTATATATGTGGGTTTTGCATCTCATGAATATTATACATTTGCATCTTGTTGAAAAAAAGCCATGTATAAGTGGACCCACATGGTTCAAACCCATGTAGTTCAAGGGTCAATTGTATTTTCTTTCAGCACATTAAAAATGCCATTCCATTGCCTTCTAGCTTCCAATGTTATTCATGAGAAGTCAGTCATAACGTATCTCCTTTTCTCCTGGCTGCTTTCAAGATTTTCTCTTCATTTGTGGTTTTAAATAGTTGGGCTTCATTTTGCCTTGGTGTGGTTTTCTTTCTTGGTTACTAATCTATCATACAAAATAGATGGAGTTGATATTATTAACCCCAGATCACCTATTAAAAAACTGAAGCTTAGAGAGGTTGATTGATATCAGATTTAGTGGCAAAATTTGGGATATAACCATATTTATCCAGTCTAGGGTTTGCTAAGCTTCTTGGGATTGTAAGTTTATAATTTTTAACCAAATCTGGGAGAGTTTCATCTACTCTTCCAATATTTTTTCTGCCCCATTCTCTCTTTCTCTTTTCCTTCTGAGACTCCAATTACAAATATGTTAGACTGCTTGATATTGTCCCACTGTTTACTGGAGTCCTGCTCATTTTCAGCAATATTTTCTTTCTATTCTTAAGATTGAATAATTTACATTAAATCTATCTTAAAATCCATTGGCCCTTTCTCTAACTGCTGCCTCCAATCAGCTGATTAGTTCACTCAGTAAAATTTTCATTTCAGATATTGTACTTTTCAATTCTAAAATAAATCACTTAGTACTTTTTAATAGTTTCTATTTATCTGATAAGATTCTCCATCTATTCATTTATCTTGATCATGTGTTTCATTATAATATTGATTTAATGTCCTTATGTTTGCTAATTCCAAATCTTGGTCATCTTGGGGTCAGTTTCTGTCAATCACTCAACATTAATTTGCCTAAGATGGTTTGCTTTGCATTATGTAATTAGTTGTTTTTAGTGGTTTACCTACTTATTTTCCCCATCAGACTTCAAACTCCTCAGTGTTTGGAATGGTCTCTTCAACACTGTGTGACCCAGTAGGTATGTAGCAAATAATCACAGAATAGGGTTGAATCAAAGCCAATTAATCCTGATCGTATGCAGAAAAAGTATCTTTCTCCTTCCTCACTCCCATCTTGAAGCAGGTGTCCTACCTTTCCCATCTGTCCTATTTCTTGCCTTTCTCTCAAAGCTTTGCCTTCAGGTAGCAGCCAAGTACTCCTGCTAAGTGTGAAATTTTAAGCTTTAAAGGGCAACATGCCTTTTAAAAAAGGGCTTTGCAACTTGAAATTAGAATCACTAACAGTGGAGGTTCAGAAAGGACGATGAACTAGGCTGGTCAGCAGTCTGGCAGATAACTAACTCTTATCCACTGACTCAGGAGTATCATCATTAAGATTGTCACTTGGTTTCTGAATATGACCTAATAATCATACTTTTAAAGATGGAGAAACTGAGGTAATCAGCTGCAATCACCTGACAATAGTATGTTATATCGGTAGAATGCGTTATACTTTTAGATGTGAAATAGATGAGTTGATATTCTTAATCTCAGGTGACTTATGAAGACACTGAAGTTTAGAGAGATTGATCAATGGCCCCAAAGTCACAGATTTAGTGGTAAGACTTGGGCTATAACTCAGACCACCTGCTTGATAGCCATTGTTACCTTTAATATGGACCTCTTTGTGGAGGTCAGAAAAAGCACTTCTGGTTATCTCCATTATTGCGTACTTCACTAACCAGTATTTATTGGGAAATGGGGCTTGCGGGTGGTGATCAAGGAAAGCAGGATACACATCATAATGATATTCTCTCCCAGCAGCCCCAGAGATAAATATTCTCTAGTTAAAAAAATACAATTCCAGGCCGGGCGCTGTGGCTCACACCTGTAATCCTAGCTCTTGGGAGGCCGAGGCGGGCGGATTGCTCAAGGTCAGGAGTTCAAAACCAGCCTGAGCAAGAGCGAGACCCCGTCTCTACTATAAATAGAAAGAAATTAATTGGCCAACTGATGTATATATAAAAAATTAGCTGGGCATGGTGGCGCATGCCTGTAGTCCCAGCTACTCGGGAGGCTGAGGCAGGAGGATCACTCGAGCCCAGGAGTTTGAGGTTGCTGTGAGCTAGGCTGATGCCACGGCACTCACTCTAGCCTGGACAACAAAGCGAGACTCTGTCTCAAAAAAAAAAAAATACAATTCCAATGAACACGCAAGTTCTAGGTTTTTCTAATATTTTCTGTTTGGGCTCTAACTTGTAGAGCAAAGACTCTTAATGTTTTAGGGTAATGGACTACTTTGAGAAGCTGAAGAAAGCTAGTCCTTCTTCTGAGAAAAATGCAAATATACACACATGGTGGCAGTTGATCTCAGGGGATCCTTGACCCTGTTGAAATCCATCCATTGAACCCAAGTTAACAATCCATTAACTATTAATAATTAGCACTAATAACCATCCTGGTTTGCATACGACTAAGGAGTTTCTCAAGATGCAGAACTTTCAGTACTAAATCAAGAAAGTCCAGAGTAAATCAGGATAAGCTGGTCACTCTAGAACCAAGTGTTCTTGAAATTCCATTCCAGCCCTGGCATCATCTAGAATGCTGACCTGTGTAGCAAGAGCCGGTCAAAATGTAATTGCCTGGGTTCCATCTCTAGTTCTGGGCGGATTCCTTGGCAGGTTAATTTGAAGACAGCTGGCTCTGGGTTCTCTTTGATGCAGCAGACAATGCTGTCTTCAAAGACACCAACTGCAGTAGGGTAGGCCCATACGTTTAGCAACTGATGGAAGAACCAAAAGAAAGTACATTTTACACTGAGGATGCCGAGGCTTCAAATTTCCCAAGAAAGCATTGCCCTGGTGACTTGTTTCCACGTGACTGTACCTGCTTCTCACTGGGTTTCAAGATCATGGTGATGGGCTCCAGGAAGTAGGTGTTCGCTTTAACATCATTCTGAAAACAGAAGAACACCTCTACCACCATTGGGGAACTGTTCAAGATTGTCAGCGTCTCCATGTTGCCCGGGAACAAGGACGACTTGTACCTGGGGATGAACAAGAATGGGGCTGTGGTTGCGAGGACTGAATGAGAATGCAGGTGGAAAAGGATGCTGTGATAGGCAATGTGATTCAAAGGACAATGTGGTTGCACTGAGGTGGTGGCATGGGGGTTGAGAACATGAGGTTTGTGTTTGTGCAGACTTGCCTATGAAAATAAATGCTATACTGTGACCTTACTCCCCTATGCCTTGGTCTTCTTATCTCTAAGATGGGATGATAGTACCTCTTGGGATTGCTGAGCATGGAGATCATGAAGCTCTTAGGACAGTTTCAGAGAGCAAATGTCCAATGAATGAGAGTTATTGTTATTGCAAAGAATTCTGAGAAATATGCAGATCTAGATTTCCATGTGCTTATACCCCCAAGAGAGATTATCACTTGATTATTTCACATCTGTCTTAGAGATGACCTCATTCACCACCTTCCACACCCTCACAGAATATTACTGTCCTGAAATGAATTTATTTGGCCTTGTTTGCTGTTACAAGGCTGTTTCTGTTTCCTAGTATCTTAGGGAGAGATCCGCAGGGTAGAGCACTGTGGACGTTGGAAGATGACCATTAATGGCAACTGAACAGAAAAGGAGCCACAGAGAAGGCACAAGGAGTAAAGATGTGCATTACCAGAGGCCAGGAAAGCATAACCAGTCTGAAAAGCCTTTTGGACAAGAAGGCTATGATGGCGGACAGAAGGAGAGAGAATGACAGAGACCAAATCAGAGTCAGAGGGACAGAGAACTCTCTGCCAAAGGGGAGGTCATCTAACCCATATCACCACCATCCAACACTGTGCTAGCAGCTTCATATGCAGTACCCAGGTCAGTCCTCACATATCTGTGAGGTGGTTGTTATCTTCCCATTTTGCAGATGATGCCACTGAGGCTAATCAAGGTTTAAAAGAATAAATGAATAATATCCAGTCGCACTGGGCCTTGTTTTGGATCGCTGTAGTCACCTTCTTCCCAGATCAGTGTTGTCTGGCCCCGCCTCCCGGTTAGTTCCAATGCTGCCCACACTCATGCCTCTCTGAATGACCATGTCTGCCCTGACTCCTGCCCCAGACTTCTTTGTATGTCATGTCCCTCAACCTGACCCTCACTCCTTCTCCTAGGCCCTTCTATTAGGCCTTGAAGACACTCTCCCTCATCGGCACACCCTCTTCACTGCTCTAGTCCAGCATCTCAGGAAGCAAAGTAGAGGTAATAAGGGGATGGGGGACAGAGATGGCCCATGAGTTGCACCAAGGAAGCATAGAAATAAACTCTGTCTACATATCACAGTAAATGCCGGATTGAATGAAGACATGGTAGAGACTATGGTGCTAGTTTTGGTCTTATTTCCAGCCTGGACAATAAGAAATTTGTGTATCACTGAAAAAAAAACTAGTATCATTAAAAATGTATGCCCATCAGTCTCACCTGGGACCCTAATTATACCTGATAATATTAACTATCTCTTTAATATGATCCCTTTTCAACTTTCCCCCCAAACTGTTTTGCATACCTTCTGTTTCTCCAACATTTTTAACTTCCTCCACTTCCCTCACTCTTAGGGGAAGCTCGCTCATCATTTGTCATGGAGGAAACAGACACAGTTGCATAGGAACCTCCTCACCATTCCAACCAAATCTCTAAGCCCACTTTCGCCTGGGGCCATCTTGCCTTTCACTCTCTTGATATGCAATGATGGCGCCTCCTCCTGGCAAAGGCTAGCATGCCTGCATCCAGTTGCACTGTCTCAGGGAGCTATGCCAGAGAAGGCCCTTACTTCCTCCTGAAACTCCAACCTTTTCCTTCTACTTGCCTTTGACACACAAACATCCTAAGATCAACCATGTATGAACAGCCTTCCCTGGACTCCATGTCTCCTTCCCATCTCTCTTCATAGTCAACCTTTCCAAAGAGTTATCTTCACACCCTGTTTCCTTTCTCTCATCTCCTAATGAGTCCTCAACTCACTTTGCCTGGGCAAAGGATTCTTGCTGAGGCCCCTAGCAACCTCCATGTTATTGAACCCTGTGGGTGTCTGTTCCCCCATCTTTCTGCTCTCTGCAGCATTCAATGTGGCAACCATGCCCTCTTCTCATAGCTCCATGACCCACCCTTTTCTGGTTTCCTCCAATAGCTCCAGCCCTCTTTCTCATTGCTTTTGCTGGCTCCTCCTCTTGTACACGGTGGAGTTCTCCAGGACTCCAACTTTGGTCCTTTTCTTCTTACTGCATTCAGTAGTCTTAGGCAATCTCATCCATGCCCACACTTTTATTGTCTTGAAGATGGACCTCTTCTTTGAGAACCAAAACCATTTAGCCTATTTCCCGCTTTATGGGGCTAATAGAGATATCTCCAAACATATCAAACTTAATACTTCCCTGAGTGAATGCTTGATGCTACCCTTCCTAAAACTGGTCTTCTCCTAGGCGTTCCCATTTGGGAAAATGGCATCCCTCTTCATATGGGTGCTTACCAGAAACTTGGAACACAACAATTCAGTTCTAATTTGTAGGTTGGGGCTGAGGATACTTCTATGTACATAGGAACCCTACTTGTACTGTTCATGACCCCAACCCAGGAGTATGAAATCTACTTTCAAATAATGGGACACTTACTTATCTCTTGATTTTCCACAAAGCAGTGGCCCGAAGTAATACCTCTCCATGCTTGTAATATACTTCTTAAAGATGACCTCATCCGCCTTCATGGACATCTTCCGCTGAGGGAATACCACTCTGAACATGGGGGAGGAAGAGATGAGGAGAGGCTGCCTAGATAGAAGTTCAATGCTGCCACATGGTGTGTACATTAACCCAACACTCCCTGTTCAGCAAAGGGTCAAGGTATCTGGAGATGGAATGACTCTTAATTTGAGGATCTCTGTTGAGACTTTATCCCAGCTCCCTGCCCCCTAACCCCTCAAAAAGCTAGCATGGTTTTAATTTGAGAAAAAAGATTCCTAATGGTGTCTTCCATAATAATCAGGACTGGTGAACTGGTGATGCAGCTGAGCTGGGTGTCCTGTCTTAGTGTGCCTGGCTAGGAAAATTCCTGAGAATCCCTATGAACAACCAACTCTGGCAGATATTAATGAACTTCTGAGTTCCTTGGTCCGATGTGGCCCTCTGGTGAGAATTATAAAAAAGCTGTTGGTGCTTTGTACAAGCTATGAAAGGCCCCTTTCTCCAGGGGGACCTACCCTGCTGGCTTGCTCAACCAGGTGCCCCTGTATGGTGCACAAGCTGCATTCTGGAATTCAACAGCTCAGAAAAACGTCTTCCCATGGACAGTCACACATATATTCATGTTATAAGATGCAATTTAAATGGGCTTAATAGTAAAGTGAGCAAACTAGCCAGACTAAGACCTTTTCCCTTCCTTCCACACCTATGATCATTCTCTCCAGTTCAGTCTGCCAATGCACCGTGAGCTGTCGTTATCCCTACAGCTCTTAGCCAATGTCCAAGACACTGACGCCAGATACAAGAGGGTCAGGGATGCTGTCTCGATTCCATGTTATTATTAAGAGCCTCCCCTCAAAGTACTTGGGGGAAAACTAAAATGTACCTGTCAACCTTTTCTTTAAAAATAAAACACACTTACTTTGGGTCCTGGCAAATGTATGGGTAAGTGCAAACACCTCGGCAATAAAGCTGGTACTGGCGGCGAGTTCCAAGGATCTCAAAAGTGAATGTTTGGTCAAAGTTCCCAATATCTTCGGAGGAGAAGTGCACTCGCAGTGTCACCTCACCGTTGGCCGGCACAATCCACCGGAAGTGACTCAGCCTGCAAATGACCACCGGGCTTTTAGAGTGCAAGTGCTTCCTTCTAGCTGAGAGAAGACAGGAGGGCTTCCTGGGAGCTCTGTCCTGCCGGGGTTAGGTGTGGTGGCCCACAGTCCCCGCAGCAGGACAGCCCTGGTCCCAAGTGGTGCTGGGATAGCCACACTCTCAATTTGGGGCTCCAGCATTCCCCCCTCTGGGTTGCTCAGAGGCCCACCTGGTGAACTTCTCCTGGGAATGCTGCCCATCCGGGCTGTTCTGGTCCACGTCTGACAGTGGGGCCATGGCTCCATCAGTTCCCCCAGAAAGGCCCTTCCGGTTGGCTGCCACTCGACGCTTGTCCTTTTGAGTCTCACGGGACTGATCCATTTTTTCTTTTAATTTCTGTTTGCTCCCTTTAAGTGTGGTGGTCTGATCCTCTTGAGCCTTCATTAGAAATGAGCACGAGGTCTTAAATATTCATCTTATGTACACACAAACAGAAGACAGAGGTCCTTAGGGCAGAGCAGGGCCCAGCCTCCCACTGTAGTGACCAGAAGGCCAAAACCCCAGAGAAAGCTTCAAACTGGCAGGACTCCCAGCAGTACTTACCTCCGCCAGCAGGGGCGTCTAGTTTTTTGGCATTGCTAGGCCAGTTACCCTGCTCGCTTGTTCTCTACTTTTCCAAAATTTTGTTGCCATATTCTGTTCATCATCGTCTCTATCCCTTCCTCTTTGTTCTTAGGATTTATACATTAAAAAGACTTACTGTTTTGGGAAGGAGTAGAGATAAACGTATGTGTTTGATCTGCCATGTTTACTAACAAGTTCCCATTTTCATGTTTCCTGATCAAAAAAAAAATTTTTTTTCCTTTTGTGCCTTTTAATTTATTTGTGATTTCAAACTTTTTATTTTGGAAAACTTTCAAAGCTGAAGACCTGGTACAGTAAGGACTAGTGCTAACAGTTGTTACCATTTAGCCTTATCTACGTATCACTTTTGTTTGGAGCCATTTGAAGATAAGTAGAGACATGACGATTCTTTGCCTCTATATACCTCATCTCATCGAGGCAGGGACTTTTCTTGCACTCCCACAATACTATTATCACTTAAGAAAATGAACAATAATTCCATAATATCATTCTAGCACACAGTCTGTATTAAAATTTTCCTATTTATCCCAGGGATGTCTTCCATAGCCATTTCCCCCCAGATAAGTGTCTGATCAAGGTTCCTATACTGTATTTTGTTGTCATATTTCTTTATTATCTTTCAATCTAGAGCCCCCCCCACTCCTTTCAGAGACTAGATCTGAGTTCCTGCAGAATATCCCATAGTCTGAATTTTTCTGACCATTCTCACAGTATCATTTAACTTATTCCTCTATTCCCTGTATTTCCTACAAACCAAAAATTAGGCTTAAAAGCTTGATTAGATTCACAGATGATGCCATGGGCTTCACACTCCATCACCACAAGGAACAAGGAATGTTAGGTTGAGCCGTGATGGCAAAGGCAAAGCATGTCCACGTGGCCAGGGTGGTGCCCAAACTGAACTGCTGCCCTACAGTTCATCCGTCACCTATGGGATGGTGTCCTGGCTAGGGCGAGGGGCTTTTCCCCCCAAAACCTTTTACCTAGTGTGTTTTGGGCATCCATTGGTGATCCTTAATCAATTGTTGAACTCGGGGTAACAAAATAGTGATTTTCTAACTTTACTATTGATTCTATAACTTTAAGCAGCCATTCTTCTAGAATGAAGAGCTTTCATTTGTCAGTTGGGGCAGAAGTAAAGTTCCTCCTGAAAGGATAGCTAAAGGATAGGTTAATTCTTTCTTTTTCATGGCCAATTTTCAGAATAATGGTGCAATAGTCACCTTCGATGACGGGGTCATTTTTTTCCTTTTATTGTTTTTATTTAAAATTTTGTCAGGGACTCTGCTCTGGTGAGGTATGCCCACCAGATGCTGATGACCTCAGATGGTGATTCCCTGTTTACATGTAAAGTGAAGTTTGGGGTAATCTCTGTCACCTAATTATGCTGTAGGCAGGTGATTTTCTTAGCTCTCTTTGCTGATGTGCATGATTTGTAGGGGCTGTGTTGAGAGACTCAGATTATAGTCCAACCAGTCTCCTCTGGGAATAAAAAGCCCCTCTCTATATAATTTTTACTATATATACTTTCTGCGTATTATTGGTCAAATGTATTCTCCCTTATGATTTATTCTATTAATTTATTTTCTTCTATTTCTACATGATATATTTTCTTCTATTTCTACATGATTGTATTTTGATTACTTATCCAGCTGGAATTATTATCCAGCTTTAATCCAGCTGGAATTTATTTTACAATATTGTATCAGGCAAGGAGATAAACAATGACGTTCCCCAACATATCCAATCTTTCCATCCTAATTCCTTTAGTAATCTATTCTTTCTCTTGTGGTATGTGTTCCCTTGTGTCTACTGATTCTTGTATTCTTACATACTGTTTGAATTGCCTTCGTTTCAAAATACATTTTAATATCTTTTTAAAAGAGCTAGTTTTCCTTATTTTTTCTTGTAGTTTCAGAGTAACTTGACAAGTTCCCTAAACCCTACCACAGGGACTGGAAAGTTTGGAAGGTGAGAATTGATTATTTCAGTTTCCTCTTGGGAAGTGGGATAAGTCAGACCCAGGGAAGTGCAGCTTAGGGAAGCACATGCAGGGGCTTCGGGCAGGATCTCCACCAAGTCAAGGGAAAACACACCCCAGTGAGCATAACACCTTGCACCACACTCAACGTGTGGCCATGTGGAAGGTGACCTTCTTCTCTTGCCCTCTGAAATTCTGCTAAGGTCAAGAACAAGCTGTTCATGCTTTACCTTCGTAGTGCCTGAGAAGGCCAAATAGTCTGAGTCCGATTCCAGATCTTTCTTTTCATCCAGCATGGAGAGCTCGTCAGATGGTGGGACCACAAACACAAAATGCTTCAGGACGTCTGTTGTGGCCAGAGGCAGCCGCTTTGCCGGGTAGGTGGCGATTGAGAATAAGGTGGGAGGTGGGATGGGTGGCCCGAAGGAACCCATACCCAAGATGTCTAGGATCTAAAGGAAAGGCTTATTGTTAATTACTTGTGCAAACCCCCCTGCCTCTCTTATTAAAGCCTTTGTCACACTTCATCATGATGGTTTAGTTTGTCTTTGCAACTGGACTGCAAACTCTGCTAGGACAAGAATCAGGTGCATACAGCACACAGCCTAGCAAATAGTAAGCACTCAATAAATCTGTTTAATTTAAAAAGACCACCTCTTAAGGTTCTGATATCTTCAGTATAGAGGTGTTCCATCTATTTTCAGATTCTATGTTAATTTTTCTTTTTGCTTTAAATGTTCTTTCCTTCCAAAGGTGAAAGAAAGGATGAGAGCAGGTCAAATATAGCAAAGAAAACAAAAATAAAGCCAAGGTTCTGGGAATGGGGTAGAGAATGGGAATGGGGAGAGAAGTCAAAAAGAAACTTGAGAGAAAGAAAATTTGTTTTGCAGCAATTCTCCCGTGCTGCTCTGATACACCCAGGCATGAGCAATTTCTGGAGAAAATGGGTTGAAAATTTAGTAGCACCTTCCTTCCCAGCATAAAGGTGCTCATAATAAACACATTATCCCTAGAGTAACAGCTGTTATCACAAGAGTAAATGGCAAAGCCCACGAGTGCCTGCTCTGTGGACTATGGAGTCTGTTTGGTTTAGCAAGTAACTACCTCCCTCCATGTCATCCTGTTTCTCAGCCTGTGGGTCAGGGAGCTAAAGGCGTTTCCCGACTAATATGTGGCTGGAATTAACTGTGTGAGGAGAGCCATGATGAATTTGTACCAATTATTGAATGACCAGAGCCAGAGAGTTCTTCAAGTGACAGTCTAACCTATGGCTCAGAAGGAAGAGAGTATAAAACAAAGCAAGAAGATATTTTTGCTCTAGTTCTTTTTCAAAAAACATGTCTCTGAAAAAGAAATCACAGTTCCTTAGCTAGGGCTGGCCTGAGATGAAATCACGAAATGAGTGGCTGTCAAAGCTTTCCTTCTTGAGGGATGACTCTCATCCTCCCATCAACTCAAATCTGCTCTGTATCCTTCCCAGGCTCTATTCTCTACTTTGTAAGGCTTTCTTTCTTTCTTTTTTAAATTTTATTTTAGAGACGGGGTCTTGCTTTGTCACCGCAGGCTTAAGTGCAGTGGCGCAATCATAGCTCATGGCAGCCTTGAACTCCTGGGCTCAAATGATCCTCCTGCCTCAGCCTCCCAAGGTACTGGGATTACAGGCATGCGCCACTGCGCCTGGCCTGCACTTAGTTTCTGACTGAACTAAACCAGAGGGCAGCAAACTCCGCTCCTTGCTTTTGTAAATAAACTTGCATGGGAACATAGCCATGCCCACTGGGTTACACATTGCTGGCGGATGCTTTCACCCTCCGAAGCCACAGTTGAGTAGTTGTGACAGCGACCATGTGACCTGCAGCCTAAAATACTTACTTTCAGGTCCTTTACAGAAAAGGTTTGTCTCGGACAGAAGACAATAATAACTGTCTCCTCCAAACTGCTACCAAAGGTGGCTTTTGGATATGCGACGCTTTTGTTCATAGGAATGTAAAGCTATGTAATAAGATAATTTCTGTCACTGTGGGAGGGAGGCTTGTGGCGTGCAGGAGCATCTTGATGCACCTGCCTTGCCATCCCGTAGCACCAGTATTTTCAATGTTTTTTTTTTTTTTTCAACACTAGAGTTTCAGAAACAATTATTGTCAATATTATAATAAAAATCAACTGTACTGGTGGCTTTCTATGAGGTTAGATGGGATAATTTAGATCTGTGGAACTGTCTATGGATTTTCTTTCACCAAGTAGAAAAAGGTCCTTTTAGCCATTATTGTCTCAATTCTAAGAGGGCATCAGAGATGAATGGAATTGGGGAGATATAGGTTCTAGGTGCAGAGAAACACTTATGACAATCAGCACTGCACCTGCTACCTGGTTTGTCCCTGCTGTTCTCTGGAGGGGGCTCTGTACCTGATCCACCTTGGGAAGCCTCTCACTGTCCAGGGCCTGCTTCCAGCCTGAGCCTTCCAAGTCGGGCGTTTGGATGTTGAGGAATGGCACGCCTAGGTCCTTCTTCCCTTCCTGGTCCTCCTCCCCTTCCCCCTCGCCGCCGCCCCCAACGCCGCTGGTGTCACTCCGCTCCTCCAGGGCGCGCAGCTTCTCCAGGCGCTCCCTCTCCGCCTTCTCCCTCTCCTGGCGCTCCTTCTCCGCCTTCTCCCTCTCCTGGCGCTCTCGCTCCCGGTCCTTGCGACCCCTGCGCCCGCCCGACGGGGCCTGGCGCTGGTCGTCAGGCTCGTGCGGCGTCTCCTCCGTCCCTCCGTGGGGCAGCTGAACACCCAGCTTCCGGTCCCAGTACATGAGCACGCTCTGGACGTCCTTCAGAGTCAACTCGTAGGCCTTGAACTTCTGGGCCAGTTGCTTGTCGCTGTCCTTTGGGAAGTCCCCTTCGCTATCCTCCTGTTGTTCCTGGCCCAGAGGAAGGCTGGACAAGTTGGTGTCGGCCAGGGTCTTCTTTTTCTTGTTTACTTCTTCCTTCTCAGACGTGCCTTGCTCCCTGACAGATACTTTCCTTTCCAATGCCTCCGTCTTGATATCTAGTCTGTTGAAACCGAGACCCTAGAAGGCAAAACACAGAAAATATGCTTAAAACAGTTTAAGGGGGAACAAAGTGCATAAGGAGCAGAAGGGAATGGTTTGTCTCAGGAGAAGGCCTCCTAGGATTTAGGCGCCTCTTAAGCTTGTGAGTGAGAATCACCTTGGCGGCTTTGATCTAAATATCCACTCCCTGGCCCTTCCCTGTCAGAGAGCTGCCCAGGTCCCGGCATTGTGCATTTTGAAAAAGGTGCTGGAGTGATATTGATGTGTACTCTTGGTTGAGCGGCTGCTTTCTAAAGGATCAAGGGGAAAAGGCCAGCAAACATGAGCCTTCTGCACCTGCTCTTGGGTGCCCTGGGTAGGCCATAGAGCGGAGGGGTCTAATCCTGGTTGCGCCACTTGTTAGCTGTTGACTCTGGGCGAGGACTTGGCCTCTCTCTGCCTCATCTGTATAATGGGGATAGTAATATTACTAATAATTGCCCCAGAGGACTGTTGAAGATTAAATGTGTGAATACATGTAAAAAGCTTACAACTCTGCCTGCTTTGGAGTAAGGGTTCTATTAGTGTGAAGTTATTAAAACCACATGGGTTTTGTGTATGACTGGCATTGTTGGGAACAAATGGGAGTTTAGAATCAATCTTCATCTCAGGCTTTTTAAAAATATGTATTTATTTAATCAACTGGGCAAAGAAAAACCAACTTTGTTCTTTTTCTTACTGCCCTTTTAAACTTGCTTTATGGGCTCTGATTTTCTCCTCCCCTGGATGAAATCCTAGTTTTTTTGGTCATTCTTTGATGACACAGAGTCCAGTTGAGTGCAGTGATCACTATCTGCAGTTCAGCTCAGTGACCTTCCTGAGCTCAGGCTTGCCTCAGGCTTGGAGGCATGAGTGACCAGGTGCTGGCTTTCCTCCTGTCTCACCGCACCTCCTGTGATTCCACTTCACCATCTCCACTGGAAAGGGAGCAGTACAAGAGGCTGTCACCACTGTCTCGTGGAGGAACTCTGACACTTCACTTCAGCTTGTGTGGGGAGGGAAGGGACTTGGCTCCTGTTTCACACTCAGTCTGGAGAGCCAGTGCCAAGGTACCAGGGTTTGCATGGAAGGTAGGGCCCAACAAGGGAAGGACTTGTACTTGGTGGATTGTGGGAGTCTAGCATAGAGCAGCTGCAGGCTGACTATAAATTGCTAAGAATACAGAAGATTTTAACAACATGGTTAATGACCTTAAGTGAATAGATGCAGAAAAAAATACACATACTATTCAAACACACGTGGAACATTTACAAAAACTAATCACATCCAAAGCCACACAGCAAGGCTTGACAGATGCGAAGGATCATTATGACATAGAACATATCCTGTGAAGACAATATGCTAAAATCAGAATTCAAAAAAAGAGAGCCAAAATGAAGCCATTCATTTGCAAATTAGAAGAAAATATACTTTGAAATAATTCCTGGGTTAAAGCAGCAGCCTAAAGGATAGTAGAAAATGTTTAGAATTGAACAACAATGAAAATATTGAATACCAGCAATCAGAAAATTTATCTAATGTTTGCAAATGTATTTATCTACAAATACTTTTATAACTTTTAATACATTGGAAAAGAAAAATGATTGACAATCAGATTAGCATCTACTTTAAGAAGTTAGAGAAAGAACAAAAGAAAAACACAAAGAAAGTAGAAAGAAGGAAATTAAAAAAGATAGGAACAGAAACTAATTAGATGGATGTAACAATAGATACAGAAGAGGTTAAAAAAGATGCTAAGACAATGCCATGAATTATGTTATGCCAATAAATCTGAAAATATTATAAAATGGATACTTTTTAAGAAAACTGAATGACTGAGTGACTCAGAAAGCAAAAGAAAGGCAAAATAAGCTTTTAATCCTAAAACAAATCAATTCAATAATATATTAATAATATGTAACATATCACATGATCTGATTGAAGAAGGAAAATAAACATAATCATATCAATGGATACAGAAAAGTCATTTGATATAATTCAGCACCCACAAGTAGGAAATCTGTATAAAAGATGTAAAAATCTCATGTGTCTGAAAGCACTGGACAGCCACAGAGGCAGCAGTGAGTTGCAGGGTGGGATCAGGAAGAGGAGGGAAATACAGGGAGATGGGCCCAGCATTTGGGGCTACTTTTCCTACAAGGGCACTTGTAGCTGAAAATGTGGCTGAGAAGCTAAGCAAAGCTTTTGGCAGACTCATGGGGCTGGGGTTCAAAAATCAGGCTTCAGGCCTGCACAGGAAAAGAGGTCCTGGTAAATTTCCTAGCCTTTGGGTTAGGACTCTGAAAGGCTCCATGTCAGTAGTGAGGGTCAACCTGACATTGCCTCACCCTCCCAGGGAATGAAGCTCAGTTTGAAATCATCCCAATCCCGACTGAATTAAGATTTCTAGTGCCCCTACCCTATCTGTCTGCCAGAATCAAACAGGGATTCTCTGAGGAGAGAGATAACATTATCTAGAGCCTCAAGTTATTTCTTTAGTTTTTCTTGTTCAATATCTGGCCCTTGATAAAAAGTAACCTGGCACCTAGGGAGACGAGACCACGTGACCATAAACCAAGAGTAGAAGACAGACCACGGACCAGACTGCCAGGGAGCCATGTATGGGTGCTATCAGACCAGGACTTTAAAAAGTCCTTGAAAAGGACTTGAAAGAGACAATTAAGATGTGAGAATTTTGAAGAATTAATGATTTTCTAATGCAATAACAAAACAACGCGCATGTCAGACCTGGAAAGGGATTTGAGGGCATGGTGGAGACAGAGGTGAGGTTGGAGAAGGGGAGGTGAGGAGGCAGAGCCAGCGAGTGGGCACGAGTGTGAAGGGGAGGAGAGAAGCAGGGTGCTGGTCAGGATAAAGGGTACAAGGTTAAAGGTGAGTGAGTGATTCTTGAGATCATCTTAAAAGTGACAAGCTTGAAGAAGAAAGATTGCAGCCAGTGCAGAGAGTGAGAAGGAGACGTAGGGCAACCCTTTTGATGAAGAAGCAGCAAAGTCTTCAGTCTTTCCCTTAGACCTTGGCTCTCCCCTGGAATTTTCTTTCACTTCCTGAGATCATATCTAGACCAGCAGTTCTTCTTGAGCCAGCGAGCTTTCAGCCTAGGCGACTGCATTAGAACAAGAAGAGTCTCAAGAAATCCTCCCCTCGCCCAGGGAACATGACTGATTGTGTTTTGTGCTAAGCTCAAGTGATACATAAGCTTGTCCCCAAATGGACGATGTGATACTGCCCCTATTGCCCTGCTCAAGGTCAATAAAGCATACACAAAGGTACTTGCCCTGTGCCTGGTAATGGGGACAGGGACTTGGCGGTGCTGCTCAAGTCACAGCAATTTGAGCTGAGGGTAAAAGAGGGGAAATCCACAAACTTCACTTAAACGTTCCTACAGATTCTGGCTAGAGACTCCGACAATGAAGTCATTCATTGGGCATAATCTGAGGTCAACTGTGCTCTAAATAGTCTTTCTTTCAAAGATGAATGAAGTGTTATCTTTTAAAAGCAAGTCTGGGGAGATAACTTCTGCATAGATTATTCTGAAGTTGTTCTAAATAAGCATTTGACTTTTTTAATTGCAAAAAGAATGGCTGAAACACACAGTTACTCAAATTTTCCCGCCTGGTCTCAGGAACAAAATCACCCAGGACAGGTGGAGAGATAGGGTCAGTCCTTGTAGTTCGGTCCTGGGGACTCCCTTTTGTTCTCAGCCTGAAATGTCACATACTGCCTTCAGGTAAGCAGCATCAGCGTCCTGAATGTGCGCCCAGCTCTGTAAGCTCATCCTCCCTGAGCTCTCCCCGACTGACACCCCTGCACGCTGATTCCTCTGCCCTTATGTGGGCCCAGCCACTGTCGCTGTCTCTCACTCACCTACTTGGACCCGTCTGCACCTTTTTTGGGAGTCTGGCTTTGGCTTCACCCTCAGGACTCGTGGTGCTGAAACAGCAACTGTCCACGCCAATTAGGCACACCCCTCAGCCACGATCACCACTATGAGGGCTCCTCTAGCCATTCTGCCCTTCCCTTATCCCAGTGGGCAGGGAGGTGACTGCTAAGCACGGCAGGCTGATAAACTATTGGCACTTGTCTGCAAAGATAAGCTCATGCTGGTACATCTTTCTTGACGGTTGTCAAGGGTATTCTCTGGATTGGACACGGGGGCTCACCGACTTTGTGCCCTCCTGGAGGCAAATCTCTAGCATGAGCCTGTTCAGCACCATCCAGGGGCCTGCAGGTGCTGTGGGAGCAGCAAGGGCTGTGGTCACATATAACTGGAACTGCGACATTGTCTCTGAACCCCGCAGGGTGGAAGATGCCAGAATGGCATGATTATGTGTAGCACGAGCACAGTGCTTGGCATATAATCCACGTTCAACAAATGTTGGTCCCTTTCCTCCTCCCTTCTGCCCTACCACAAAATCCCAACAGGTGATTTTCTGGAAGGGGGACATGCCCGGCTAGCTGGCTGGTTATGACAGCTGCCTTCTGCTTGTCTCCTGGGGAGGGGCAAGTGAGAGTTGTTACCTGCTTGCTTGCTACTTGAGGTTTCTTCAGGAGGGATTCCTCCTTTGCGGGTGCCTGCTTTGGCTTTTTATTCTTCCGTTTCAGCTCATCTTCCTCCTTTTGTCGCTCAAGCTCCTGCTGTAGCTTCTTTTCATGCATCTCCTTGGCCAGCCTCTCCAGCTCCCTTCAGCAAAGCAGGCAGAGAGGAGAGATGTCAGGGACCTGTGTCTGAGCCCTTCCTCTGCTAGGCATTGCCAGTTGGAGGGACAACGGGCAGAGCTTTCTTGGGTATAAAAAGAAAGAACAAAAGCAAGCCAGGTAAATAGGATGGAAAGAAGGAAAGAAAGAGAGAAAAATGTCTCCCATCTCTCTTCAAGTGATTATGCAGCAAAACTCTGGTTAAGTGGAAACTCATCTAGGAGGAATGCTCAGTTGATCTGTATTCCTATCCCACTGTCCTTTCATATGAGAGTGAGAAAGGGCTAAAAATAAACTCGACATTAGCACTTAACAAAAAACAACTTTCAAAGATTGTTTTGGTATCAGTGCAGAAGAGACCGAGCCCCCTATACTGCCATGTCTGATGTTCAGACGATGCGAAATGGTGTTTGTAACAGTGGCCCCCACTGTGGCTGGCTCTGGAGCCATGGCACTGGGTCCGAATCCATGCTCCTCTCCTGCTCCCTCTTTCCCTTTCTGCTGACAGCAGAGGGGGCATGAAAGGCAGGCACCATGCACGAAGGAGGGACTAGCACTTCTGAAAATAGTTAACCCATCTACCCTCATCTCTAGGGTCCCTAATTGTTCCCAGTTGCTGTGGCTCTCTGCCCACTGAGGCCAACTCATCATACATCATGGAGTGTGTGTGTGCGCACACGTGCGTGCGTGTGTTTGCGTGACACAGACAAGTCACTGCTGCTCTCTGAGGATTGAATTTGCATTTTCCAAGTCCACTGTGAGATGAATGCCTGAAAGGCAACAGCCTTGGTGAGAAAGAAGAGTTTCCTTTGGAATCCCAAAGTCAGGCTCTTCCTAACTCTGGGGGCTGGACATGTCTATAATGGACCATGTGGGAGAAAGGATGAGGGCACGCTGTAAGGACAGGGAGGACAGTAAAGCTCTTTTGGGGCCAGTGGGAGGAGTCTGGAGGTGGAGGGAGAGGCGAGAAGGGGGTTAAACTGTAGGTGAGTACCTTGGCTCTGCTCCTCCCCTGTCTGAAATCCTAGGGAGGGGTGGGCAACAGAACCCCTGTCCCCTTGCCCCACAATGACTGAAGGTCTCAGGGCAGAGAGGAAATATGTCCCACTGCCCACCTGTACCCCTGAGATCACCTGAGATGGCAGCCCTAGTCTCCTGAGCTCTGCGTGGTGTGGAGGGATCTAGGCGTTTCTGCGGGGTTCCCAGCAAGGGGCACAGAAAGTGGCCGAGACATTGGCTTCTGAGCATGCCTGGGCCGAGGATGCCATGGGAGAGGCAGCCAGACCTCAAAGGATGGGCAGCACCACAAAAGGCCAAGATGGGGACCCAGGAAGGAGGAGAAATGGATGAGGTCCAGGGGGCAACCCGCATACCCATGTCGAGAGAGTGGACTCTAGGTCACCGGCTGTGGACACCTAAGCGCAAAGGCACACGAGCCACACCTTGGGTGCACTTGTCAGGGAGCCTCCAGGACAGCACAGGAGCCAGAGGACCCTCTTCCAGGGCAAGCCATGACTTTATAGAGGCTTCCCCTGGTCCCACATGCCCCCCAGGGAGAAGGAAGGAGAGTTGAAGAAACTCTGAAAAGTACAGCACCCAGTGCGCTGGATGGGCGAGATGTGTCTTTCTGCTCTCAGCAGGTCATCTTCCAGGGCCTTCTGCGGCTACTGCTACCCTCCTGGAAGATGACCTGGCCCCACCATGCCAATCCTGGGTTCCCTCCTGGGTTCCCCCCACCCTGGGAAATGGCTTCTGTTCTGGCCAGTCCTTGGCCCCAACCTCTTCTTCCTTTCCCGCATCGCCCGCTGAACCTCTCGGTCAAATATGATTTTTTCCTCCTCTGTCAAGGCATCATATTCTTCCTCATCCATATTTTGGAGACGATCCTTCTCTTTCTGCAGAGCTTCCCTGCGTTTGAATTCTGTAGGGGGGGGGTGCAGAGACAGGCAGGTGAGGAAAAGTCCTTGGGCTACTTAGCTCTTGGCTAACTGGGCTGAGGAGGGTCTGCTGGGAGAGGCGGCTGGCCTGCCTAATCCTGGGGGGGATCTCCTTCATTTACACAGCCCCATGCTTGGACTCCATCTGCAGAGTGGTCCCCGAAGGCGTCCTTGCCCCAATCTGTGGAACCTGTGACTATGGTGCCTTCTACAACAGAGGGATTTTGCAGATGTGATTGCATGAGGGATATTGACGAGGGAGATTATTTGGATTACCTAGGTGGGCCCAATATAATCACAAGCGTCCTTCGGAGCAAAGCAGGAGAGTTAGAGTCGGGGAAGGTGATGTGACAGTGGAAGCAGAGGCTGGAGCCAAGGAAGGCAGGTGGTATCTGCATGCTGGAAAAGCAAGGAACGGACTCTCCCCCACAGCCTCCAAGGAACACAGCCCTGCTAACACCTTGATTTTGGGGACTTCCGACCGACCCCAAAACTGTGAGACAATAAGTCTATGCTGTTTTAAGTCACCAAGTTGGTAGTTGCTATGGTCTGAATGTTTGCGTCCCGCCTCCCCATTCATATGTTGAAACTGAATCTTCAGTGTAGTATTAAGAGGCAGGGCCTGTAGGAGGTGATTAGGTCATTAGGACAGAGCCACCATGAATGGGATTAGTGTCCTTATAAAAGAGGCTTGAGGAAGCCTGTTTGCCCCATCCTTCAGGTGAGGGCTCAGTGAGAAGACACTTTTTATGGCCAGAAGGTGGCCCTCAGCAGACATGGAATCTGTCAGCACCTTGGACTTCCTAGCCTCCAGAACTGGGAGAAGTACATTTCTTTTGTTTATAAGCTCCCTAGCCTCTGATATTTTGTTATAGCAGCCTGAATGGACTGAGACAGTGGTCAGTTGTCACAGCAGTGATAGGAAACTAATATACCACCCACTGACTTTAGTCATTATAAACAAATGCCACTAAAGTGCTCACAGTGACAGAGCCATATGCAAACCAAGGGGAATCCCCCTCCACACCCTAGGATTCCAGGTCCAGGCATGCGGCTCACATTCAGGACAAAGGCATGTGGCTTCCACATCATGCTCCCTGGTATAGCATCTCCCCATACATGCCTGCAGGTTTGAGCTGTGGATTCAGACACCTACATTGGAGGCCTTTCTCTGCCACTCATCAAGAGATAATAACAGAAAAGAATAACAATTCCTCATGCTGTTTTAGGACTTTTCTAGATGTAGATGATTTAGGAGAGAAGAGCACACAATTCAACCATGAGAAACTTTAATCCAAAGATAGGTGTGAAAATGAAAAGTGATAATTTCTTTCCAGTTGATCGTTATAGAGAAATGAGCTTTCTGGAAAATAGGAAGCTGGAGGTTTAAACACTGCCGAGGAGAACTTCTCATAGTTCCTGGGTTTTCTCTGGATGAGAGTATAAGGAAGCAGACTGAGTTCTGTTCAAGAACCGAGAGAGCCCAGTGTCTATAACTATTTCCTTCATTGGGAAAACATTATGATTTGTGTAGATTGTGCTAGAAGAGAGGCAAGCCCAAGTGAGGAAGGACAGGAGTATGGCCAGAGCTAAGGCTCCTTGGAGCCAGGGCTGTGCGTTCCAGAGACAGGGTTACTGGCAGCTGTCCCTCAGTCCTTGCTCCCAAGGGCTGAGATTTGCTGGGGCTGCTTCTGACTACATTGGGAACTTCAGCTAACATTACTCATGTGTGTGTATCTAATGTCAATCACATCTTTCAATTATTGAAATTTTTCTCCAGGCCATTGTTGTAATGACAGAGCAGCACAGTTTCAGAGTTACTCAGAACTAGTTCTGCTACTAACTTGCAACACCATCTTACACAAGACTGTTGTTCTCTCTGAACTTCATTTTCCTCATCCGTAAAATGGGGACGATAATCTTCACAGGGTTATGGTAAGGACTGAATGACCCAAGGTGTACAAAACGTCTGCTATAGTGCCTGCAGCGCAGCAGGCTAAGATGTAGAAGTTGCTTTGGAAAATGTATCAGCATCTCTAGTTTTGCAGGAAATGCACAGTGGGCTTAAACAAAACCAACAAGCAAATCGGTCACCTGAGTCAGAGTGGGACCTGTGACAATTGTGATTACAGAGAGGAGGAAGGGGTGCAATGTGATGTTAAGGAAGGAAGAATGCACCCACTGCCAGAAGAGCTGGGTGCAGCCTTTATCATATAACCTCTCAACAGGCCGCCTGTGGCCCCGTTCCCTCGCAGCAAAGTAGAAATACGAACTTCTGGCCACTGCACAGGGCAGAGGTGAGGCGCCCATGAAACCGCAAATGTCAAGGTTTCATTTAAGCCCAATGAAAAGCCAAATGCCCTGTGTGGCATGGGAGGGACAGCTCAGGAAGGAGTGGGGCCTTGCCTTCTCGTTCCTTTTTGGCTTTCTCCTGGGCCTTCATGGCGGCATAATCTTGGGCCATGTTGAGGACATATATGTGCTCCCGGCTGCCAAAGGCCTTCAGCAGGCTGAGAAGGGCGGCCGGCACGTTCCGAGCAAAGAGTGTGTCGAGGCCATCAAACACCACTCCTCGGTAGCAGTCACTCAGCTGAAAGCAGAGAGAGCAAAGACAGTTACCATGAGCACGAGATCATTCACTCTTTCCGGAGAAAGCTGTTCAGTTGGCGCTTTTACTGGGGCTGCAGTGGGTTCTGCAGACCTACTGGGTCCCGACGAAAACACCATTACACTGTCCTTCTCCTTGCTAAATTCGTAGTGCTGTGATACTATTCCTCTATTTCGGGAAACCTCAAAATATAACCTAATTTTGTTATATTTAAACTGATAAGAACAGATACCACACTTGATCTTAGCCAAAAGGCCAAGAAGCGATAATTTTGTTATTTTTAAATGTGCAATTAATATTGTGGCCTGGTTTGAAAAACCAAAGCAAACACAAAACTCCAGGACCTGGTGAGCAATTTAGCTCCATCTGTAACCCGTGAGCAGCAAACAGGTTTAAGTGATACCCTCTCAAATCCTGATCATCTCTCTTTTCTTTAACTGTAGAACATTTGGGGTGCGGGGCAGGGAGGAAAGGAAACAGTATTATTTTTCTGACTTTAAAATCAGTATGTTTTTGGAAAACAATTCAGAAGTGCATAAAGAAAACTAAAAATCTGTAAACCTGCTAACCAAAGATAACCATATTTAACATGTACTTCAAGAGTTTTTTATTATGTGATATACATTTACAAATATATATAGAAATATTATTGTACTTTACCTACTATTTCCTAATCTACTTTTTTTTTTTTTTTACTTAATAACATATTGAAAACTTTTTTTTTTGGAGACAGGCCTCGCCCATCGCTCAGGCTGGAGTGCAGCTGCAGCCTTGAACACCAGGCTCAGATGATCCTCCTGCCTCGGTCTCTTGAGTAGCCAGGATTATAGGCACGTGCCACAACACCTGACTAATTTTTAAATTTGTTTTAGAGACAGGGTCTCGCTATGTTGCCCAGGCTGATCTAGAACTCCTGGCCTTAAGGCAACTCCTGTGCCTCAGCCTCCCAAAGTGCTGGGATTACAGGTGTGAGCCACCGTGCCTGGCCTGAAAACATATTTTTACGGCAAATAACATAGCTCCAAATTCTAACTTTAATGTCTCCACATTATAAATTTTAACATACCACTCTGTTTTTTATTTTTTTTTATTTTTGTGTAGTCTTCTATTCTCTGGTCCTTTAAGGTTATAGACTAGGCCAGGATCAGGGACTGACAAGAGCTGTCAAAAAGACAAGTAAATGACTGTTGGGGGTGAAGACACCCATGTCTCTTCAAGACCCTGGGTTCTGAGCTGCCGTGGGTGGTCCAATGGCCCAGAACCTCTCACAGAATGGGGACAGCGTGTGAGTGCTGCCTGCAACAGTGTGCAGGTGGCGTTGACGCACCTGTATCCGGTCGGCCAGGATCTGTACAAAAAGTTCATCGGGCAGCACACAGCTCATGAGCCCGGTCTCCCCTCCGATGCTGGCGCTGACACTGAGCCGGCGCTGGGCGGGCCCCGAGGGGAGGGGGCTGGAGGAAACCTGCCAAGGGGGAGAAGGATCCGTGGGTCAGAATCCAGCTGTGTCTCAACAGCTCCTCCACCTATCCGCCAGGTGGGGACCTGGGATCATCATACAATCTCTCCGGGGCCTCCTTGCCTCACCTGTGGAGTGGGGATTGCACTGTTAAATGGAAGAAAGAAGGTACTTTGTGTAGGTCCTGAACTGCACACAGCTTTTCATTCATTCGACAAACATAATTTTGATAGTGATGACTGCTAGGGAAGAAATGACTAGGTAAGGGAATGAAGAACAATGACTGGGTCAGGCAGTGGCTCTGCAGAGGACGATCACGTCACCTGGGTAAGGTGAAAGAACGAGACGAGACCTTGGGAGAAGAGCTTCTCAGAAAGGACAGCAGGCCCCCTCAGCACGAGTGTGCCTGGGTATTGGGAGAGCGCACGGGAGCCCAGTGTGGCTGGAACTGAGTGGGCAATGGACAGGCAGGACGGGCAGGCTGAAAGTCTGAGACACAGTCAGGGCCAGAAAATGCAGGGCCTTGTAGGCCATGGTAAGGAATTTGTATTTTATCCCAAATATTATGGGAAGTTGCTGGTGTGTTTTGGGCACACAAATGATATGATTTTTATTGTGAAAAGACCACTGTGCCTGCTCTATGAGGTAACAAGAGTGGGAGCAGGAAGACTAGTTAGAAGTGGTCAAGGCAAGAGAGGATGGCTGCAGGGATGAGGGTGGTGGTGGGGAGCAGTGGCTGGTGCCAGATATATTTCAAAAGTAGGACCAGTAGGACTTGGGACGGAATGTACAGAAAGAGGCATCAAAAGTGACTCCTTGAGTTTTGACCTGAGCAACTTGGAAAATGCAGTCATTATTTACTAAGAAAGGAAAGACTGAGGGAAGAACACTTTTTCTTATGGGGAGAAGCAAGAATCATTTTTTTGATATATAAATTTTGAGATGTCTCTTAGCCATTCAAAAAAGACATTGAGAATGAATTTGGATATAGGAATCTGTGCTTGGGAAGAACTAGGGCTGGAGTTAGAAATGCGAGGGTCATAAGTATGTTGAAAGTATTTAAGTTTTGAGGTATTTAAGCAACGCAACTGGGTGAGATCACCTAGGAAGAAAATATAGATAATAAAAAGAAGATACGGTAGTAGTATAAGACTTCATTCTGGGGTACTCAACCATCAGGAATTCAGAGGAGATGGAGAAACTGGAAAAGTAGAGGAAGGAGTTGCTAATGGGGTGGAAGGGAAAGCAAAAGGGTGTGGTGTCTGACAGCCACATGAAGAAAGCATTTCCAGGTTGTGTGAGATGAGGACAGAAAACTGACCCCTGGGTTTGGCAAGATGAAGGTGGCCGATGACCTTGAGAAGAGCAGCCAGCTTAGAGGCGAGGACAAAGGCCCCCTGCAATTGGTGGGAGGGAGCATGGGGAGGACGAGGAGGCAGTCACCACAGCAATTCTTTGGGGGAACAGCAAGGAAGGGGAGCTGAGAGAGGAGCTAATAGCTGGAGGGGGCGGTGGGTCACAGGAAAATGTTTTTAACATACTACAGCATGTATAGATGCCCACAGGAAGGATACATCTGATGGGGGGAAATGGGAGACAAGGGACAATTGCAGGAATTTAGCCCTTGAGTAAGAAAAAGGGTGGGGCTCAGTGCCCACATGGGGTGGGCTCAGCCCTGGGTGAGGGCAGGGGCAGCACTCAGCGCTGGCTGGGAGATCTGGTGGTGGGAGGACGAGCTGGTTGTCTTCTGACACTGCTTTCTCCATGAAATCAGAAGAGAGAGAATGAAGAAGAGAAAAGTGTCTTAGAGATCAGGAGAGTGATGAGAGCAATTAAACTGTCATCTTGCCTAAATGGCGGGCAAACTTACTGGGGCCTACCAAGGGTCTGCTTCAGATTTGTGGTCTTAAATTTAAATTAAGACCATACAGGAGAGATGAGTATCTTCTCCAGTTGTATCCAGCTGTTCTGTACAGAGTAGGTGGGAAATTGTGTTTACCAGAGCTGAAGCTCTGCTTGGAGAATCTGAAGAAGGGGCAGGTAGTGAGAATGAGGATTGTAAGTTTTGACGTGGTGGATCACTTACCAGAGTAAGTCATCTGGAAAGTTAGAAGATGAATGTCAGAAAGCAGGATGTGTGATAGAGAGAATATGGAATTCATGAGTAATGATGAACAATCTAGGACATGGTCATAGTAGTGAGTAGTTAAAGAGGCCATGGATTGAAAACAAAAGTGTTGAATTAAATATTATTCAAAAGGGCAGGATTTCTAACTGGTACTTTCTTGGAAAGAGGTAATTTATAAGTAAAAGACCTTATATTACAGGCCATATCTTCATTATATAACTATCATGCTTCTATATAACTAACATGCTTCTTCCTGTTTGCAACATAACTAAATTTTCAGCCATTGGAGAGTTCATACATTAGGAGAGCTTCAAGAAGATCAAACATCTGTCTGGGGAACACTAAAGACAGGGGGCTGTGTTGTCCAGACCACTTGTGTCCTGTCCCACTGGGGCAGGCAGCCATACATGGGGTCTGTCAGCTCTGATTTCTACTGGGATCTTTAAGTAGATTCCTATTTATTGAAAGGAGTTTAGAGTCAGAATTGAGATATTATGCTGCATTTGAAGAGTTCTAAAAAACCTTGCTTCACTGTCCAAATGGACAGAACAAAACCAAAGGAAATGACTCCCCATAACACCCTATTTGGGTGTGACCCTGTATGAGTTTTAGTTCATCCATAAACATCTATGTAAAGGGGAGTGTATTAGATCCTGGAATAAAGGGGTAAAAGGCTGGTACTCCAAAATAAAATGAGTCAATGGTTTCCGTTTTCAAGCTGTTAGAAGAATGTAAGACTGAAATGAGATAAGAGACACCATGTGGCATGAATTCAGCCCTGGTAGATGTTCCATCTAACCTACAGTTCTCCTCTCCTGTGAAGACCTTCACCTCTGCACCATCCACGTGCCCCATCTAACATGGGGGCTTCCTCTCCCATGAGGGTCTAAATATTCCACCTACCTGCCCCATCCAATTCACAGGTCTCCTTTCCTGTGAAGACCTATGGCTCCACTCTATCCATCTGCCCCATCCAATGCACAGGCCTCCTCTCCTTCAAGGACCTTCACTTCTACTCCATCCACCTCTGCCATTGTCCCTTGAGCACTCTTCTTGTTTCTCCCATTCTATGTCCTCTTTTTAATTCCTTCTCTGCTTAGGGTGGGCTTCCCGTACTGATGCCACCCTCACTCTCTTGCCCCTAGTTCTGGGCATATCCCTTCCACCACAGTGACAATGACTTCTCCCTTCACCTCTGAATGAGAGCTGCCATGGGCCGCTTCGAGAAATCTTAGTTTTCCGGTTTCCAGTCTTAGTTGGGCCATCACCATTCTCAACTATTTTTTCTTTGTCCATCACTAATTTCTGGTTCTATTCATTACAGTGGAGACATGAGTGCTTTGCCACTCTCCTCAAGTACGCTCTGCAATTGCAGCCTCCTTATTGCTTCCCACAAAAGACCATGCCTCCGGCACATATCATAGAGCCAGGGAACAAGGTCTTCTCCAACCTCCATTCTCCACCCTGCTTCTCCTACCTTTAGCTGTATCTGTTTTTACCTTGACCAAAGGAAGCTGTCTCCCTTCTCCTTTGACTGTGCTTAATCCTGCCCTGCCTACCTCTTCCCAGAATCTCATTAACTGCTGGGTGCTCATCACCTTACATTCCTCCAGGAGTTCCATTCTTTATAGACCTGCTTGTGCCTCTACCTCTTTTCTAAGAATGGACTCTCTTGATGCTGGGGTTTCCCCTCTCACTACCACTGTTTTTTTGTTTTTTTTTTTCCTTCTCCTTCAAATATCTTAAAAGCTTACACTAACTTGACTCCACTTTTCCAGCTACAATTCATTACTCACCTTACCCCATTGTCTCTGGTTTCAGCACCTGCTAGTCTGCTGGGATTTCTAAGTCCCTTCACACTCTGCTTAAGCTCTGTGACTTCCAACTTTCCCAGACTCCCTGGGTAGCCCTCCCACAACTTATGTCAATGATTCCATCCTTAACATTCCTTTAGTGTTAGGTTGAGCTATATAGGAAATTACTGCTATGGAGTTCTAAAATGGTTGAATTTTGGCAATTTTCTATGGCTCGATCTAAATTCCTTTTACACACCTCCTTTGTCACTCATTTCATTTTATTGCAAATATTTGTAAGTGTGGTTATGCCCTTCATCAGACTCTTAGTGCAGCTTGAGTGCAGGAATTTTACTTTTTTTTATCTTCGCTTTGAAAGCACCCAACCCAGTGCCTAGAACAGGAAAGGTGCTTGCTGAGCACCTGCTGAGTAAACGCTCCTGTCAGGAGTGGTGCAGGGACAGTGCTCAGGCCCTCCTGGCAAGGGCACCTGTAGGAATGAAGGGCGCTGACCTGGCTGCAGGATGCTGAGAAGGAAGAAGGATCCCACCCCTCCTGCTGGAGAGCCCTGATTTGTACCTGTGACGTTTCAGACTGGTGCTGGTGATGCTGCTTCTGTGACCCGGAGGCGTGGCTGTCCGCTTTGCTTTTGTTGACCAACATGCTCCCACGAACGCTCTTTCCAGGTTTACCGTCTGGGACCACCAAAGTCATTTCTGAGGCTAACTTGCCCAGGGTCTCAGTGCTCAGTCGTATTGGTCCTATGGCACTTGGGCCCCCAGAAGCCTCCTGGGCTACAAGGAGAGGGTGAGTTTTTACTAAAAGTCACCTAAGGATAATAAAGAAATGACAGTGGGGATGGCACACTGCAGCCCCATGGGATTCTCTTTAGGAACACAAAGCCATCCCCCTCTGCACCTGACTGAGGGGGGTTGGGGCAGAGGCTCTGCCCCCTAGGATGGGGTGAAGGGTCAGTGGAGGACGTGGCCTGGAGTCCTGGGCTTTTTGATGCTCATCTTGCCAGGAGATCCCAGGCTAGTCTGTGCCCACTTCCTCTTCTAGCCCAGTGGGTAACACTTTTTGAACTTGAGGGGATATGACAGCCCTGCCTTGGGAACCTATCACCTGACCTTTTGTGGTTTTGGGCATTGGTGAGGCCAACGAGTAGCTTGGGTAGGGCATTCTTTGCCCCCTAAGCAGAGCCGCCTAAGTGAACAAATCAGCCAAGTGATAACAGTGCTCCTGTTGGCAAACATGGCTTCAAGGTTGATTTCTTCTTATCATCCCCGATCCTCACCCTAAGAACTTCCACTGACCAGCTCCCTTTAAAAGGGTTTCTATGACAACTGTTCAGAAAAACCCTTACTAGAGTGCCTTTGAGCTTTATGATGAATTCCTGCCATGTCCCAGCCTCCTAGTCCCACCCCACAGCAAGTCCTGTGTCTTATCCTGTCCCTAGGGCTCCAATTCTTCAAGGATGGACCATGTGGCCGTGGAGGAGAACACGGGTATAGCAGATGCTCATGGCACCCTGAGATGGGGTGATGGGGTTGTGCGCTAAGTAGCTCCCATGTTTTTCTGGCTGTCAGTGAGACTCGCTAAGACTCATTACTTGCTGTCTATCACCCTTTTCACCAAATCAGCCCACAGGTCTCTGTACCTGCCCACTGCACGGCTCATCCTGCTCTGCTCCGTCACCCTCGCTTGTCACCGAGTGCTGCGGAATCTCTTGGTCTCCATGTGCCTTGCCCTTTCCCTGTCCACAGCATCATTCCTCCTTATCCAAAAAACCATGTCTTTCAGATCCAATACTAATCAAAGTTTCCATTTGACCCTCCATTTATTTCAAGATACCACCATTTCACCTCTTCTTTCTCCTTCACTGCCCAATTTCTTAACACAATGGTCTAGACCAGCTCTGGCCAACAGACATATAATGCAAGCCACATATGTATTAATATATAATTTAAAAATTTCTAGTAGCTGCATTATTAAAAAAGGAAAAGTTAATTATTATTATTATTATTTTTGAGACACAGTCTCACTCTGTTGCCTGGGCTAGAGTGTTGTGGCGTCAGCCTAGCTCATAGCAACCTCAAACTCCTGGGCTCAGGCGAGCCTCCTGCCTCAACCTCCCAAGTAGCTGGAGATTACAGGTATGTGCCACCATGCTTGGGTAATTTTTTCTATATATTTTAAGTTGTCCAGCTAATTTCTTTCTATTTTTAGTAGAGACAGGGTCTCGCTCTTGCTCAGGCTGGTCTCGAACTCTTGAGCTCAAACGATTTGCCCATCTCGGCCTCCCAGAGTGCTAGGATTAGAGGCATGAGCCACCACTGTGCCCAGCCTGGAAAAGTTAATTTTGATAATATATTTTATTGAATATAATATATCCAAAATGTAATCATTTCAACATGTAAACTTAGTGTAAAAATTATAACTGGGTTATTTTAGTCTGATATTCATATTGCATCTTCCAGATTCCACTTATGGCACATCTCTTTGGACTAGACACAGTTCCGGTGCTCAGCAGCCCCGTGCCTGGCGGCTGCTGTAGGACACAGGCAAATCTGGATTTATCGCTTCCGGGTCATTACATCCTGTTGACTCCACAGCATGGAGCAAAAGTAGGTTAAGGCCTGCCCAATGAACTGACAGGGCTCCCTCCAAAAGTGCCGGGGATCTCCAGACTAAGAAACACAGCGGTGCTCTACTAGGGGCTCATTCTATCTGAGTTTTCAGCAGTCTCAGATTCTGTGTATTTATTGATTTAGTACATTCCTATAAATCTTCATTATGTGTCGGCTATGTTCCAACCATTGTTCCAGGTGCTGGGTGGGGTACAGTGGTCAGGAAAAGGCACACAAATCCCTGCCCCCAGAAGCTTACATTCTGCTGGGGGTGGTGTGCACGTGGAACAGACAGTGAGGTAAGCAGGATAAATACGGTGTTAACTGGAGATCAGGGCTGTGAGAATAGCAGAACAGGAAGGCTGGGCAGGGCGCTGGGAGACGCAGCCCCTGAGCCCCCCTCCCTTCCCTGAGGCTTGGAGGCTCTTGCCTTGACTTCCCAGACTACTCCTCTGCCCACGTGACCCTCGCATAGCTGTCTCAGCCTCTCCTGGCTTCTCCGCCACCATCTCCACCTAACATGTAAGTGTTCCCCAAGGTCCCATCCTGCCTCGTCCATCCTTCCCAACTCTGGAACTTTCTGGGCTGGCTCATCCACCCCAGCGGTGGCCCCTCTCTGTTTGCTGAGGACAACTCCCCCAACTCTGTCTGTAGCTTGAGTTACTTTCTCAGACCAGGGTCACAGATTTACCATTTGGCACAGGGCATGAACACAGCTCAGAAGATCACTATGAAATGTTCATTTCACAGAAGAGGAAACAAAACTCTTAAGGGAACCAGAATTATGACATAGCTGGGGATTCCCACTGAAGAGCTTTTTCTCTTATCTTCCTAGCTAAGAGTCTTCCGTTCCCTAAGCATCCCATGCAGGGGTCTTGTGGGGAGGGGACAACCCTGAAAGCCACAGCCAGTTTTGTCAACTAGTAGATGGAACATGCTCTTAGGATCATCCTCCCTACCATAAGATACAAAAACTCAATTCATTTTCCTCTCTAGGAACCTTTCGCTGCCTCCTGTGTTCCCTATCTTGGTAAGTGGCATCACTCTCCTCCTGGTTTCTGTGGCTAGAAATCTCGGATGCCTCCCACCCCTTCCGTTCTCCGCTGTGCAGGTGAACACCAGATCAGCCGGCCCAGGCCACTTCACCTGCAGCTTCACTGTGGCTTCCTTGACAAGACATTACAAAGGTATGTGTGACAAGACATCACACACCCATAGTGTGAAACTGCCCAACTTCTCTTTCCCTTCAACATAAAATCCAAATTCGTAATCTTGGCATTCGACACTCAACCTGCCTTCCTACCCCTGATTTACTGTCAGCTTCCCTGCTTTCTTGGTCTGGACTGTCCTTAGCCCCATTTTTGCCCATTAACATCCTCCTGCTCCTTCAAAGCCCGAAGTTTTCCATGAAAACTTCCCCAAATCGCACTGGTTGGAACCCACTCATCCCAATCTTGCTTTCACAGAAGCGAGAACTGCCGTGGCAACGTGATTTTCCTCTGCTCTGCACGAGCCTGTGTCTGCTTCCCCTCCCTGTGTCAGCCCCTATAGATGTGGGCTTGGTCCTATCCATTGTCCAGCTCCCTGCAGTGCCAGGAGTACACCTGCACTGGGTAGGGCAGGAGTCCTGGACATGCTTGAGGAGAATTCTTTTCTGGCTGCTAAGTTGGCAGCATCGGTCAGTCAGCCTCCAGTGTGTGTGTGGGGGCACAGAGAAGGTGGGCGTTACCAGTGGGGGTGCCAGTGACCTGATCACAGAAAGCCAGGGAAAAATGGGCTCTTACCAGACTCCTCTCCCTCCCTGATGGACTGCTCTATGGCAGCCTTGATGCAGAGCTCGCGGGCACGGATGCCTGGGATGTTGTTGCTGTCAGACACGGCCTCCAGCACGATGGAGTCGATGTTCAAGCAGGCAGCATTGTAGTACTTGGCTATGCTCATGGCGGTGGCCGACTTTCCTAGAAAGAAGGCCAGGGGGTTGAATTTCGTGGTTCTCCTTTGCTTAGTGTCCTAGATAGAAGTTTCTAGAACACAGGTCCCTGTACCAGGGATCTCTCTGAGTGCTCTGCCACCAGGCCTTTTGTGTAGCCAGAGGTGGCAGCAGCAAGGAGAAGGAAAACCCCAGCCAGGAGCCAGGGCTGTGGGTCTGGTCCCAGTCCCACCGCTGATGCACGTGTGCCGTGGCAACCGCGTCCTCACTGGGTTTTCTCCTGAGTTTAAATAACAGATTCTATCAGATGATCTTTAAAATACCTTGTCACTCCTACTGTCTCTGATTTTGTTTGTTTGTTTATTTGTTTTTTGAGACATAGTCTTACTCTGTTGCCCTGAGTAGAGTGCCATGGTGTCAGCCTAGCTCACAGCAACCTCAAACTCCTGGGCTCAAGCAATCCTCCTGCCTCAGCCTCCCAAGTAGCTGGGACTACAGGCATGTGCCACTATGCCTGGCTAATTTTTCTACTTTTAGTAGAGAAGGGGTCTCCCTCTTGCTTAGGCTGGTCCTGAACTCCTGACCTCAAGTGATCCTCCTGCCTGGGCCTCCCACAGCATTAGGATTACAGGTGTGAGCCACCGCACCCGGCCCTACTGTCTCTAATTCTAATGGGAAGAGTTTTTTGGTTTAAAGAATGACTTGTGTTAATTTTTTTTTCTCATTTCAAAATACTGTCATTAAAAAGAAAGCAGAAAATTCAGAAATAACAAGCAAGAGAAAAGGAAAGAAGATCCACAGTCTTCTCACCTAGAGATACTATATCTAGCCTGTGGATGTTAAGTGTGCATCTATAACTATGGTAGTTACATTTCCTATAAAAAAGAAATCGATTATGTGGTAGGCAGAACAATGGGTCCCCTGAAGATGTCCATGTCCCAAACTGCATATGTTACCTTATGTGGTAAAAGAGACTTTGCAGATGTGATTAATTTATGGATCTTGATATGGGAGATCATCTTGGATGATCCAGGTGGGCATAATCTAATGGCAAGTATCCTTGTAAGAGAGAAGCAGGAGCGTCAGAGTCAGGGCAGGTGATGTGACAGCAGATGTAGAAAGAGAGACTGGGAGGTGCCACACTGCTGGCTCGAAAGAAGGAGGAAGAAGCCATGAGTCAAGGGATGCAGATGACATTTTAGAAGCCGAAAAAGATAAAGAAATGGACTGCCCCTAGAAACTCCAGAAGAAAAGCAGTTCTGCTCACTCATTTTAGAGTTCTGAGCACGGGTCTCATAAGGGTGTAAATTTGTGTTGTTTGTAGCCACTAAGCCTGTGGTCATTTGTTACAACAGAAATAGGGAAACTAATACAAGTTATTAACACAAATCACAGGTATGGCATTTTTCCCTCATGTAAAATGATATATCATGAACATCTTTTTATGCATTCAATACACTTGTATGATACTGTTGTTTTTAACTGTGGTAAAATATACACACTCATTGCCATTTAACCATTTGTAAGTGTTCAGTTCAGTGGTGCTAAGTACATTCGAATTGTTGTGCCTCCATCAGCACCGTCCATTTCCAGAACTCTTTTCGTCGTGTCAAACTGAAACTCTACCCATTAAACACTTCCCAGTCCCCTCTCCTACCAACCCCTGGCAACTGTCATTCTATCTTCCTTTCTTCCTGTCTCTATGAATGTGAATACTCTAGCACCTCACATAAGTGGAATCATGCAATATTTGTCCTTCTGTGACTGTCTTATTTCACTTAGCATGATGTCTTTGAGGTTCATCCAGGTTGTAACATGTGTCAGAATGTCTTCCTTTTAAAGGCTGAATAAACATCCCATTGTGCTATATTTTGTTTACCTAGTCATCCACTGATGGCCATTTGGGTCATTTCTGTATTTTGGCTATTGTGAATAAATGCTGTTATGAACATGGGTGTACAAGATAATGTTTTCATGGCAATATAATTCACTACAGGAATAGAATGTATAGTGATCAAGTCAGGGTATTTGGGGTATCTATCACCTCCAGTATTTATCATTTCTACATGTTGGGAACATCCCAAGTCCTTTCTTCTAGCTGCTTTGAAATATATGGTACACTGTTGTTTACGACAGTCACCCTACTCTGCTATTGAACATGAGAACTCATTCCTTCTATCTAACTGCATGTCTGTTCCCATTAACTAATCTTTACCTTCTCCACCCTTCCCAGTCCATAAAAATATATAAATATTATGTATAGATTAAAAATTTAAAAATATTCACTACATGAATGTACCATGTCTTAATTAACCAGCCCCTATACTGAATGTTTCAATTGCTCTTAATTTTTAAATTTTGGTAAACAGTGCTGCAGTTAATCTTTGTCCACATCATTAATTATTTTCCTAAGAAATTTTTAGAAGTAACATTGCCAGGCCAAAGGGTTTGCACATATTTTTTCCTCTCTTTTAAAATAATAATTTAATGTCTTGGATTTTTATCTAATATTTTAATGTTTTAAATTATGAAAAGAATACAAGCTTGAACAACTCAGAAATGTAAAAGTTCAAAATGAAGTGTCTTCCTTCTCCTTCTTAACTCTGTGAGGCCAGCAATTTAACAGTTTGGGGATAATCTTTTGGTATGTAAATTATAAACAAAAGGGTCTTTTATTGTCTTCAAAAATTACATGTGCTAACTTTACCATAAACAAAAAGGGCAAAATAACTTACATTGAGCAGTCTTTGATACACACTATTAAACTGTTCTTCATGAACATTCCTAGAAAACTGTAAGGCTCCATGAAAATGCCAGGGTTGTTACTGCCGTCATCCACACTGCACTATGCTTTTTGTCTCCAGATGAAAATGTGAATGAACCCTCCCCTAGAATGGGGCTAGTAGCTCCTTCCAGGTCAGTGCATTTTCAGGGCTAACTCTCTGGCTGTCTTCGATCTCTCCTGGCCTATCCACCATCTCTCTGATATTCCTTTTGGTGCAATGCAAAACTGGCAGGAGCTGCTGCATGCGGTGGGGTCTTCAAAACATTTTCAATTACATTCTTATTTGCCTTGTTTGATTTTTACCTATTGCCTCCAGATCTGGCCTTCCACCTTTTAGGTTCTGGTTTATGACTTCTCAAGAAAAGATTCTTCAAAGTAAGGGGTAATGTATTGGGACATTTTTAGATTCCTGGAGCCTCTCAGAGATTAGAACATTGAATATGTCCCATGTTGTCTGTGTGAGTGACAGTAATCTGATCAGAAGAAGGTTTCATTGACCTTCAAGTAAGCTGAAGCTAAGAGACGTTGCAGGGCATCCTCCCAAGGTCCCTCTGCTCTGTCACTAGCTGGGTGACCTTGGCAGGATGTTCCTGAATTTCTGTGAACCTTAACTTCCTGTGAGGTGGGCCAATCAAACTCTCTCCTCTGGGGGGTTGTGAAGTTTAAAGAGAGAAATGGATGGGCAGGAGCTCTATAAACTGTTCATCACTATACAAGTTGAAGATCTTGTTCAATGTAGGTGATTTTGTTCCTTTAGGTTTATGGCAAAGCTAGCACATGTAATTTTGGAGGCAGTAAGGATTCTTGTTAAAGGATGGCTCACTCTTTGACTGGGTTATAGTTAGCAAGATATTCCTTGAGAATATGTAGCATGTGATTGGAGTTTTTTTCCAATGGGGATTCAAACTCCAGAAGTATAATTATGAATGGTAATCATCATTGTGGTAATAATGACGATATCAAAAGACTTTTGTTTGAGTATTTATTAGGTGTCAAGTACCGGGATAAGCATTTTATACAAATGTCCTCATTTAATTCTCATGACTACCGTATAAAATAGATAATGTTAATACCATTTTAAAGACAAAGAAATTGAGCACAGAGAACTTAAGCAACTTTCCCAATTGCACTCATCTATAAATGGCATCATAGGGTAAGATCTGACACAGGGTTGGTTGGCTCTGGGGTTCATGCTTGTAATCACTCTGCTAAGCTGTTCCCCAGATAAAATCATTAGTATCTGTCATGACCGCACAGCTGATGTTGCCACCATGGAAGTCATGGAGTTAATGGAGGACATGTGGCACCCTTGGCTTGACCTTCCCTCAGAATAGTCACATACCTGACAAGGGTGTCCCATGGATGATGATGGCGATGCCTTTCCGGTTCTTGGACAAGCGGCCTTCTGCAGAAATGTCAATGCCCAGGTGGCGAGCGATCGCTTTGCTCACTGGGTTGCTTTCTACCTCTCCAACTTCGTCTGTGGAGTGGCTATCAATGCTCTGAACCTTGTCAGCTGCAAATTAAAAATACATGTGTATGCACATGTGCATGCATGTGTATACAGCCAGAATTTACATGGGTACTGGCGGAAATGGGAACTAATTTCTCTTTTTAAATGTTGTTATTTTAAAATTGCAAACGTTGCAGCAGTCCTTTCCTGGAGTGTATGAGAATGCCCTTTTTTGCTAATAATTTGTCTGTAGCTACTAAAAGATATCATAGGCTGGTAAACTAGAGCCCACAGGCCAGATCTGTCCTGCTATGTGTTTTTATAAATAAAGTTTTATTGGAACACAGCCACAGCCCTTTGATTACATATTGTCTTTGGTTGTTTCCATGCTACGAAGGCCAAGTTGAGTAGCTGCAGCAGAGACAAGATGGCCTGCAAAGTCTAAAATATGTACTGTCTGGTCTTTTATGGTCTTTTATGCCATACCTTGATTTAGATAAAAAATATTGCCCTGGAGAAATGTTTATAATAGAAACAAGCAAGCTGCAGAATAATACATATAGAATACAGAGTAAGTATGCAGCCAAATACCCACAGTGATCCCAAACTTGCAGTGTTTTAATAACAAAACTAGGCTCATACTCTAAATTTTGTTCTGTAACTTGCTTTTTTCATATAATATATCTTGGACATCTTTTTATTTACTGAAACATAGACCTTGCTCATTCTTTTGAAATAGCTGCTAAATACCTCCTACTGTGTGGATTTATAATAATTTAACTAGTCCCCTACTGACAGGTATTGAGATAGTTTCCAGGTTTTCCCATTCTCAGCACTGTGGTTTGCTTCCTTCTTCCTAGGATGTCTGTGGTCGGCTCTGGGAGAGCCCAGGCGTGGGGGACAGAGCTGGGCTCTGTGGGATTGGGAAGGTGGCCATGAGAGACCAGGAGCCTCTTGGGTCAGTACAGCCAGGGTGGATTAAACACAAGGCATGGAGCCAGGAATTTCTGTCTTTAATCCCAGTTTTGCCATCGTGTTCTCCTGCCTTAATTTGCTCACCTGGTTGATGAGGGCTAAGAATAATGACTTAACCAAACTCTTTAAAGATCTCATTAGTCTTGGCCATCATTCCTATTTCCTGAGATGAGCATGTGACAAGGCCACTTATGCTTTATTATGGTTTACTGACTGGCACACAAATGGCCCCTGTGAACCAAGTCTGGTGGAATCTAATCTTCTAAATATAGTTTCAACATCTTGTATGACTTGGGAAAAATAAATGCTAGAAAATGGGCCCACAGTGCTGGGAGGTCAAGAGGAGGTTTTCCTAATGGTCCAGGTGGGGGCACACCAGAAAGAATGCCTCCCACCCCCTGAAATGTTTTCCTAAACACCTCCAGCCTGCTGGAATGTTAGCACTGACGGTTTAGGCCTTCAGATTCATACTCGGTCTAGCCAAAATGCAGACAGCGGTGGCAAGAATAAGTCTTATGCTGAGCTCATCAGCAGGCTTCCATGCTTGTATCCTAGTGCGAATGGGGAGACCAGCGCTCCTCCAGGGGACAGTGTGGGGACAGGGCCGGAAGGGGTGGGGGTGGGCCTCAGAGGAGGCACTTTATGGAGAAAGGCAACAGGGTACTGAAGAGATTTCCCACTTATGCTTAGACAGAACTGGTACCAAAACATTAAATTGCTTGGTTACTTTGAAACATTATTTTTTCCAGGCTTTCCTCGTCGTCATCATCATCTGAGAAGGTTTTAGAGTCAACCATAGGGACATGCCGCTCTTCCAGGTTGGATGTGACAGAGATCCCTCGGCTAAGTGACGTCCTCTTTGTGCTATTGGAGGTTCCCTGATCTGACGTGATCATATCTTCCTCTTCTGCTGGGATCCAAGGGTGGGAACACAGGGAGAAGGGAAGAGTTGGGGAGGGCACAAGGGAGATGGAGACAGAAAAGGAAAAGAGGACAAAGAGGAGAATCACTATACTGGCCCTGTCGCCCTGCACCACCCAACCCAAATGTACAAGAACTGCAGTCTGTTGGCTGTTATGTAAGTTCTTCTGTGCATGGGGTTTCTTCATTTTAACATTTGTTTAAATACCCAAATTATGCATGTGCTCAGAAAATTTGGAAAATTCAAAACAGCCTAAAAATGATAAAATTCAGCTGTAAAAAAAGATAGAGCTAGACAAAGGAATGGTAACAGAGGAGTAGCACTGAATTTTATACCAGTACAAGAGAGCTGCAACCTCTCCGATTTAGTTTTAATTATTCACAACCACGCTTAAGGTCATATTGTATATACTGAATTGCAGTCTGCTCTCCCCCTTAATTTATCATGAACATTCCCCATGTCCTTGTCAGGCACATCTAACAGTTTGTTGGCCCAGCACCTCCTCATTGTCCCCTAGTCCAGAGTATTTCAGGGGATGCAGTGGGCTGTGACTATACAAGGTGACTCCCTTGTACTGCAGGGCAAGATGTCCTTTCTGTTGAGAATTTGGATTTCAGCCTGAGACATTGCAGCTCTCTTGTGAATGGTAACAGCGTGCTTGGGGCTGTGGGCCTTTGCTGGATGTGGTCAGGGGAGCGGAGAAGGACCGTCTACTCTGAGAGCAGAGTGAGGAGATGTTCAGCGAAGTGCTGGTGAGAAGCAGAGTGTGATCCTTCCTGGGTTCCTTCTGGAATGACTGCTCCTGGCTCTAGGCCATCTTCCATTGGGACAAAAGGAAAAGTGAACCCACAACCATGGTGTTTAAGGACATAAAAGCAACAAGGCTCTTCTCTGGCCTCATGAGGTCCTTTGTACGTTGAAGCCCCTTGCAGCCCCCTCCCTCAGGCCACTGGAAAGTCCCTCCGAGATATTTAAACTATCTCTCCCCTTACCTCCTTCCTGAATCAAAGGCCTTGTGTCATTGACTTTCCCCCCAGCATTTTAGCTCAGTGCTTGCAACACAGTGGATACTTGTTATGGACTTCTTTGTACCCCCTAGCCCCAAAATTCAGAAGTTGAAGTTCTAACCCTCCAGTATCTCTGAAAGTGACTGTATTTGGAGACAGAGCCTTAAAAAAGTAATTAAGGTAAAATGAGGTCAAATGGGTGGGTCCTAATCCAATAGGACTGGTGTCTTTATAAGAAGAGATTAGGACACAGACACGCACACAGGGAAGACCAGGTGAATGCATAGGGAGAAGCCAGCCATCTACAAGAAGAAGAGTTTCAGAAGAAAGAAATTCTGCTAATACCTTGATCTTGGATTTCCAGCTTCCAGAATTGTGAGAAAAGAAATTTCTATTGGTTAAACCACCCAATCTGTGATATTTGTTATGGCAGCCCTAGCAAACTAATACAGTGCTCAAGGCACAATACAGGGGAGATTGGTGAGAGGCAGCCTTAATTTATCTTTTCCTTTTAGGGCACTGAGAGACAATGAAACTCCCCTGAGCAGGAAAAAAGGACCCCATTCAATCATGAATGTACTTACTCCTCTAGCACCCAATTATTGGGCTCTGTCACATATCAGCTGCTGTTCCAAGCCCTAGGTTTACAAGTGGATAATATGTGATCACTGCCTTTCTGGGGAGGTTCTTGGGTAGTGGGGGAGGCAGGTATAAAGAAAATAATTAGCCATATGATGACTGTCCCACAGATGTGAGCGAGTAAGAACAGGCAAGGTACAGGTCCAGGAAGAGGACACAGAAAAGCAAGAAAAGCCACCAGTCCCACAAGTCAGCCAAGAACCTTCATGCTCAAGCATACAAGAGAGCCCCTGGGCAGATGATGGGATAACTTGGAGCTGCTGGGACAGAAAGGGTGTGATTATGAGAGCTCAGTGCAGCTCTGTGATTGAACTGTGGCCTTGAGGCCTATGGAGGGGCTGGCCTTTTATTGTGTGTGTCAACTCCCACTCCCTATCTCTTTTAGGGCACCCACTTCTACCTTGCATTATGCATTACTTTACATTACCCCGGTACTCCTATGGGAGGCAGTGGAGTATAATGGTTACCCACAGGGACTTTGGACAGAGAGCCCTGGGCTGGAATCCTGATTCGGCCACTTAAAACTGTGCATCAAGCCTCTTTGCACTTCCGTTTCTTATCTGTATGTGCAAAGCCTAGCGTAGCATAGCGTCCAGCAAGTATTCTTCCATCTGTATTCGGTGTTTTTAAGACTTAATACCCTACTGGATTCTACTGAGAACAGAATGTGTTCCAGCCTCTGCATCCACAAAATGGGGATAACAGGACCTATTTTGTAGGGATCCTATTTTGTAAGGATTAGAAGTCAAATATGTAAGGTGCCTAGTACACAGCAGGGGGAATTTAAAGGGGCCAGGGCAGTGCTAGCGCCAGGGGTTTTCCATCTTGAGTTCTCACCGTTCTCCTGCACCAGACTCTCCAGAAATTTTGCCTTCATCTGTTCCTCTCTTGACTTCTTCATCTCCCTGAAGTACTCATACACCTCTGGAGGCAGCCTCTCCCCTGGGTTGCGGGGAGGTAGCAGTAGGCTGTTGTAGGAGTCATAGCCCTTCAGCTTTCGCAAGATCTGCTCAAGGGAAAAACAGGAACTGCTGTTGGTCTCATCAGAAGTTTCCTCCCTGTAGCTCTAGGTGGGTTTGCTCATTGATCTTACAAAACTCCTACCTGAGGCTGAGACTTGTAGAAATACTTTCTGGATTTCACAGGGTGGGACCTTTTGGAGATGCCTAAGAAATAGGGCTGAGCTCTGAACTTGTAGGGCTACAGGCTCTTTATTTTGCTCTATTTCAGCCTGGGCATTTCACATGTAGAAAAGAATTTTCTTCTTGTTTTAAAAATAACACAAACTGTTTCTCTTTTTCATTTTTCCCCATGACAAAAGAACTCCATTATCCACTTTGAATGACACATTTTTAAAAAATATTGTGGTTAGCAATATTACACTAAGCAAGGTTGTTATCTCATAAATAGAGGATCCAGGGAAAAAACAAGTAAAATAGTTTTAAGTGTGTGTGTGTGTGTTTGTGTGTACATGTTTGTGGATGTATGTTAGAGCTACAAGATAAAATACAGGATGCCTAGTTAAATTTGAATTTCAGGTAAACAACAAATATTTCTTTTAGTATAAATATGTCCCTGTAATATTTGGGACATATTTGGGCTACAGATTCAAGAAACTGAGCAAGTCCCAAACCAAATAAACCAAAAGAAATCTATGCCAAACATATTATAGTCAAACTTCTATGAACTAAGGCAGCACAGAAAGATTCTTAAAAGCAGTGAGAGAGAAATGAAACCTTACCTATAGAGAAAAAGGAATTCAAGTAACACTGGATTTCTCATCAGACAACCGAGGCAGGGCTGAAAGAACTGTCAGGCCAGAATTCTATATCCAGTGGAAAAAAATAGATATAGAATGTTTTTCAAGATCAAAGAGGAAATTAAGACATTCTCAGATGAAGAAACACTAAAAAATTTTCATCAGCAGACCTACACTAAAAGAATAGTTAAAGGTAACTCTCTAAACAGAAAGGAAATAATAAAAGAAGAAACCTTGGAATATCACAAAGGAAGAAAGAACAGAAAGAGTAAAAAGATAGATACATATAATACATTTTCCTTCTCTGGAGTTTTCTAACTTATGTTTGACAGTTAAAATGACAATTATAAGGCAAAAATATTTAAGATAGTTATATTAAAAAGTAGGAAGGGTAAAGGGAGGAAAGGTTTCTAAATTACACTAGAACTGGTAAAATGTCAATACCAGTTGATTATAATGTTATGTATATATAATGTAATACCCATAGCAATAACTAAAGAAATTATACAAAGAGATACACTCAAGAACTACTCTAGGTAAATCAAAATGGAATTCTAAATAATGTTGAAGCAACTGACAGGAAGGCAGGAAAAAGTAAACAGAACAAAAAAATAATAATACAATAAAATGGCAGACTCAAGCCCTAACATATTAATAATTACATTAAATGTAAATGGTCTAAATACATCAACTAAAGACAGAGCTTCGCAGAGCATAGTTCAAAAAATAATCCAATTACATGCTGTTTACAAGTAACTCAACTTCAAATATAATGATATAGGCGGATTGGTGCATACAATTCTTTACTGTCTGAATTTTAACCTTGAATGTGCATTAGTTTTTCAATTAGTTCCTTAAAATATATAATGGAATCACGAAGAAGCAATGAATTCTGCTCACGTCAAGAGAGGTAGGTCAGAAAAGCCTACAGAGAAGTGATTGTTGGAATTGGAATTGACATTGGAATTAGAAATGATCATTGGAATTGACAAGGAAAGGCCAGCAAGAAATTATGGCCTGAAGAGAGAAGAGCATGAGTAGCACATGGCAGGACCCAGCATGTGTCGGGAAATGGGGTTTGGCTTTGGTCTCTGCTCACCTTTTCTTCTGTGAGATATTGCTGGTCAAATTCTAAGGAGTAAAACTCAATGGGAAAGTCGCAGGGATTCTTCACTATCACCTCAGCCTCGTCTCCAGGCGCAAAAGGCAGCAGCGGCCCCAGCTCCAAAACTGAAGGACTAAATTCCAGGCGTGGCTCCAGACCTTGTCCGAATACCATCAGTGTAAGCTTTTCAGCACTCTGGGCAACATGGAACACCAGGTTTTGGCTGTAGAATCTCTGGAAAACATAAAAACAAAAAAAGCATCTGATTTTTTTTTTTTTCTATTACATGCCATGTAAAACTGTACACCACTGATGGGAAAAACTTATCTATTTAGATTAAGAGAGAAATTTTCTTATAAAGTTGCACAGGAATAATTTATATTATGCCGATATACAGTATACAGCATGCCAGGCACCGTACCAAGTGCTTCATCACTTATAGCAGGCTCTCTGAGTGTCACCTCCATATCCCTCAGACCTTCCAGTGTGCTCAGATTTCCAATTGCCACTATCTGTACCTCTGGGCCTGAAGGCTCTCATATCATGGGCCCTGCTGTCCATGGGCAGGGGGAGGGCAGGACAGAAGTGCCAAGGAAGTAACACTTTTTAGGAGCAGTCCTCAAGCAATGATTCGTGGGAGTTACTGTATAAATACCCCACAGCTCCCTTGCTCCTGGGGAGGCATGATTCTGAAGTGTGTACTTTGTATATTTATTTACTCTGAGTTTAGCAGAAAGCCAGAGCTAGGGTGTTCAATTCATTGGATGCAATTATAATCAGATACCAGTTGATAATGATACTATAACTACTTACAGGTTTTCTCAAAATGGTACAAAAATCCACTTTCCATTCAGTGGTTCCTATGCTCATTTCACTGGGGAACCTGTTAAACATACAGATCCACGGATCCCATCCCTAAAGATCCTGACTCAGTAGGGGCAGAGTAAGGCTGGGGATTCTGCATTTTTAACCAGATGCCCAGGGCATTCTCATCCAGTTAGACTCATGGCTTGGGTTTGGGGGCCATGAGTGGCATCACAATTTGAAGAACTCCTGTCTTAGCTCAAAGGTAAAAAATTCTGATGGATGGAATGTAGGCAGGCATACATACACACACAGAGAAATATCTATTGTTGGACACAATAAGAGAATAAATTATTGACTAAGGGGGCTTTTTATATAGTTATGGGCTTAGCACTTTAGGACCTAACCTTCTATATTTTAATTGCTTTCTAAAACATTTCATTCATTTCTTTGTTTTCTAACACAGTATTGTGAACACATTATAATGTCTAACAACGGTTGGTGTGGATGTCAGTGATTTTTCTGTGCTGCTAGTATCAATGGAGATGTAGGTATGGATTGTATGGATTGCAGAGCTAACCGATTTCTTGCATACAGCCAAAAAGTTCCTCTTCTAATTGATAGAAACTTTTTTATTTTTTAACTTTGACCAATGTGAACTCAACATTTACGGAACTGTCTGAACAAATCTATTTTTTAAAAGTATACTTACTGGTATTTCCCTTATTCAGTAATGGAAAAAAAATCCAAAATCTTAAGTAAATCTTTGACAATCTTAAGACTCTTTAAGAATGACAAATATAGTATTAATTTTCTTTTAAAAGGGTTGGAGAGATGTTGATAATGATAGAAACATGGGCTTTAATTTAGAGTGCGATATGAAGTCATTCATTTTTCCTCTTTCTCACTGCAGATTCTTAAGCATTTTCCTCAAAGCCATTACCAGGAAGATGGGAGTTAACCACAGGTGTTCTATAAAACTTACATCAATTTTTCTTTCAAAATAATAGAAAAGAGGAAAACATATCCCAAAAGGCATAGGCTTTGAACAACCAGAGATCCTCTCTGGTTCTAGCATTTTATTAATTTTACTATGTTCTTGGTTAGCAGTAGCTTTGCGCTGGTGATGGTCACAAAAGAAATGTTTGTGAGGCTCAGGGAGGCTGTCCACCAGGGAGTGCTTATCACAACTACTGATGATAACAGTTAATAGTTATTAAGACACGTAGTATACATAGAGCAGTATGCTGTGTGTATTTTATTCCATGCTCTGCATTTAATCATCGAAATGATCCTAGGGGGTAGTTATTGTAGGTAACTGAAATAACTGAAACCCAGGGGTCAGATACTTTCAAATTTACATTTTTATAAAGGTAAAAATAGTGCATATACACTGTGTTACCTAATACTCTCAGTAGGGTTGGGGCAGGGCCCCAGTAATCAAACACGTTAGTGTTTCTGCAGTTGCAATGTTTCATTCTGAAAACTAAGGAGTGTGACACTTATGAAATCTCCCCAACCCCAATTTTGGAAGCTTACTGGATCTGAGAATTGCAAAAGGGATTTCTGATATGCAATATTATTCTTTTCAATTTTATCAATGAGAAAACTGAGGCTTAATGAGGCTAAGGGATTTGTTCGGGGACACAGCCTGTGGGTGCAGAGGCAGAAGCTTTCTAACCCAGGCCTGCTGATAAAAATCAACATGTTAGATTGTTCTGCTGCTTCCAGACCACCAGGCCACGCAGCTCCTATGTGAACCAGCAAGCACTTGAGGTGCCATATGCAGAACAGTGAGGCACGAGTCACTCAAAGTTTCCCTGAGACCCAAACAAGCATGAACTTTGAGTAAAGAGAATCTAAATGAGGCCACATTTCATTAAAGCTCACCTCTTCTTTTGGCATGAATTTCACTTGCACGTTGGACCTCTCACCAGGATCCAAGACTCCAGAAGTGGGCTGGGTGTCAAAGATCCGTGTCTTTGGTATTAATTCAGCACGTAGTTTCTGTCTTAAGTACTTTGGCATGTGTTTGTCCACCTGATTTATAAATATCAGATAATTAGATCATCTTCCATGGAAAATGGACTCATTTCATCTTCCACTCACACAACCTACATTTACCAAGTATTTCTCAGGTATCGAGGAATATATAGATACCAGGGGTACAAAGACAAATAAGACATGTGAGCTGATAGTATGGGTTGAGAGGGCCTCGAGTGCTCGGCTAAGGGCCCAGATTTTATTCAGGAGGCAATGGTTGCCACTGAAGAGTCTTTGAGCAGGAGATGGAAATGATGAGAATGAAGGCCTAGGTTTACAAATCTGGCTGAAATGGAGATGGGGATAAGGCAACCAAGGGGACCAAGGGGCCACAACTCATTTACCTTGCTAATAGGCTTTGGGCAATGGACAAACCATTCACAAGGGACTTGGAGATGATTGGAAAGCTGAACGGTTTCCACCATGCACTGTCCACACTGAATTGCAGCAAACTCCACTTTTGTACATGACAGCGTCATAGCTGGAATGGTCACCTTGGCTTGGAGACAGATGTGAACTGTTGGCCCTCCAACCACCTACAGCAGGCATAAAATTGCTGTTACCATGTGGCATGGGGGGCAGGGAGGGGGAAGACTCACAGCTCTGACATAATAATTGGATCATCCTGGGGCAATCAGCAAACAGAGCTGGGAACCTGGAGCCTCAGGTGGGCCCAGTGATACGACATACCTTGATGGGCAGAATGACTTCTTTGTTTCCAACAGGAAGATTGGCCCCTTGTGGGTCAAATCTCACTTCAAATGTTTCTGTTTCACAGTAAGGCAGATTCTTTACACGATCTAGCTCAGTACTGAATCCTAGAGCAAGACAGACAAAATTTCTTCATGGGAAAGAGAAATAGCAAATAAGAGCTGCTCTGGATAGAGCCCCCTCTGGGGCAGGATCATCACTCAGAGTATCAGCAACTCTTTCAGGCGATCCCTGAAGAAACACAAATGCTATTCCAGAAGGAAAGTACAGATGGGGTCCTTGTTAGATGTGACAAAGTACAATAGGAAAGCATCTCCCCAGCCTGGTTACCTGTGTCATGAAGGACATGCTTTTCTGCATGGAAGGACACTGGAAAGTGACCAGCATTGGTGATCTTGATGATATGGGTTCGTACTTCACCAAGGACAATGTAGCCAAAGTCCAGGGTGTACTGGGGCAGCTGGATTCTGAAACAGAAACAGGCTCTCCTTACCAGTCACTTTCAAACACGGAAGACTACTTTCCCCACAGTGAGAGAGTGTGAGGTTTTTTTCTATCTCCTGTGCACAATTTTATTCTGCAGAGTGGAGAACAATTAATGGTCACTTGGATGGAGACTAGAAACAATATAACTTCCTTGGAAGTTCACACCGATTCAGCCATCATCTCAGAACATGTTCAGCATGGGCCCTCATGGACCCGAAATGAGGCTTGTCCATTAGACAAAGCTAGAGTTTACTGACTTTAAGAGGCAGAAACCTGCCTGGCTGGCTTGATGCTGGGGGAGGGAAGATCAGATGAGGAGAGTGGATTTCATTCCCAGATGATCAACCACTGTTTCAGGAAATACTCAGCACAAGGCAGCAGGGCTTGCTCTGCTATACTCTGAAACAAATGCAACACATATGGGCACTTACTTGGCCATTTTGCAGCAACTCCAATGGCTGAAGCTAGTGCTGTCGGTGACATCAGGGATAACTGATTTCTGGTGTTCTAGGGCATACCCTTGGACTATCAGTCGCTCTACTTCCATCTGGAGATAAGCACTTAACTGGAACAAGAGAGATGAGCAAGTCAGCAAATTCTTCTAGAACATGCATTCTCAATAGGGACAATATCACTCCTAAAGAGGTGAAAATTGGTTCTTGTGGGGGGAGGTGGAAAATATATATACAGTATATTTGTGGTATTAAAATGTTCATGGGAATGGGGTGGAGGGCAAACAAACTACTACTAATACATCTGCCCCATGGAATACTACTTAGCGGTAAAAAGGAATGAACTGCTGATGTGCACAATTTGAATGGATCTCAAGGGCATTATGCTGAACGAAAAAAGCTAATCTCCAAGGCTACATGCTGTATGATTCAATTTACATAACGCTCTTGAAATAACAAAAGTAGCGAGATGGAGAACAGATTAGTGGTTGCCTTGGGTAAGGGATAGAGAGAAAGAGGGAGATGGGTGTGGCTCCAAAGGGCACAGGCAAAGGCAAACACAAATTAAAAATGAGCCTTAATTCTCCCTGTTGAAAATAAGGGACAAGACCTCTCCCTTCCTTTTCTTAGAGCACTTACTTTAGAAAACTTGTGATTTTAAATACTTTGAAATGTTATCTTTTTGAAATGTATATAAATCTTCTTAAAATCTAAATAAGTCTCTTGCTGGCTTCAAAATCCATCCATTGAGGAATGTCTTTCTCAAGGACCTGGGAACCATCTCTTTGAAATGTAATCACCAAGAAGGTATGTCCCTATATTTTTTGTGGGAGGATAAGAGCCCAACTTCAGCGGGGCCCTGTCATAAAGACAAGGGCAGTTTATTTTTTCCTTTGAATAAAGCCAATTAGCTAACTCAGACGGTCACCCCAATTACCCTGTAAATTTAGGGTAAACTATGTGACAAATGATGCCGTCAAGTCTTCTCACTGGAGGACTAGCTATTATTTACTTTGAGAATAGGCATGGAATGGGCTGTATCTGGTTGGCTGTATGAAAGGGTTGGACTTTTTCCTGTCTTTGCCATCTCTCAGCAGATGGCGTGTGATACGAGTCACATTCCAGTTTAATGCTTATTCAATAATAAAATTGTTTTCTTTCTTTTCTACCTTTGTGGAGAGATTTTTCTGGGTTGAAAGCTTGTGTTTTTCATCTTATTTACCCATGAAGCACAAGGAATCCTTTTGGTGATGGAACAGTTCAGTTCTGTATCTTAATTGTGGTAGTGGTGCCACAAATCTACCAATGTGACAAAATTGCATAGACCCTCCCACACATGTAAAACTGGTGAAAACAGAATAAGCTCTGTGGATTGTGTCAATGTCAGCTTCCTGGTTTTGATATTGTATTATATTAATAATTATATAAGATGTTACTGCTGGGAAAAAAATTTTTTTTTGCAAACCCCTGTGAATCTATAATTATTTCAAAATAAAAAGTTTAAAAAATTAAATATCAAACTCTTCAAAGACATTCCATTTAATACGTAATAAAAATATTTCATGGGGTTATTAGGAAGAAATGATTTTGGGGAAGGTGACAGTGAAACAATCTGATAAACACTGTTTGAGAAGGGCCAAACGTTAAGCCTGCCCAGGGTGCAGCAGGAATGTGAATGTGTTCCACAGCCCGCAGTGAGACAACAGGGAAGACAACAGTGGGAACTGTGACAGACTGGGAGAGGAATACGCCACACCAACAGCCATCCCAGTCACCCGGATTCTACAACAGCAAAGCCAACCCTGTGCTTGGCTCCTGAGCTGTGAGCGGCAGCCCCTGCCTTACTTGGGGACCGGCTCAGCTCTGCATGTACCATCACATCCACAGAGGCCCCAGTTCAGATCTGCAGTGACCGCCAGGGACAGCTGTCCTGACGCTCTGACGAGGAGCAGCCTGGGGAGGTGGTGAGCAGGTGGAGGCGCACTGCAATCCCTTCTGTACAGCTGATGATCCGTCAGGAGAGGGCAGAGTCTATCAGTGTCATTTCGGCAGCTGGCAGGCCTGGGTTCAAATCCTAGCCCTGGGCCTGCCTTGGGACATAAGCATCACTGCTGTGAGTTCTGTGAAACTGTAAAATTTAGATGATAATGGCACCAAACTCCCATGACCCTCATTGTGGGGATTTAATGAGATGATAACACAGGGTAATAGTGTGGCAGAGGCCTAGTCTGAGAGTCCAACAAGGGGTAGCTGGCGTTATTAACTATGATCATTCTTGGTGCTATGGTTCACTTTTAGCATCTGTGCCTGAACAAGGCTTCTGCAAGACAAATCATTGCTGGTGGCCTTTGGGGAACCCTTAATAGGTTCACCAGGTGGCTGCCCACCTCTTTGGACCCATCTTGCCTGTCCTACCTCCCCACTTCTTTGCCTTACCTGTATCTTTCTCCTTTCTGTGCCTCAGTGAGACCATGCCCTTCCTGCCCCTGGGCCTTTGCACATACTGTCCTTCTGCGCACACATTCTGCACAGGGTGGAGCTAGTCTTACCTCAGTAGATTCATCCTCAGGTATTTCCTCGGTTATTATCTCAAAGCGATCGAGAGTTTCGTATCTGTTGTACTCTTTCTCTATGTTTTCTCTGGCCTGATTCAATAAGGTTTCATACTTTTCATTTCCTGTGGGGGATTGGAAGAAAAGGGGAGTCAAGTAGGTCAGAAAAATATGAGTTATGTTCAAAACACAGGCTCTCCACTCAGGGTAAAGTGGGAAGGGGAGTGAATTTCTTTAACAGTTTGGAAGTTCCTCTCTTTCTTTTGTTTTATTAACTTTTTAAAAATTTTAATAAATCTAGGGGTAGAAGTTGCATTCCAGTACATGTATGTAACAGCTTTGGTGTTCCCATCACCTGAGCTTGTCCTTTGTACCCTAGAGGAAGTTTTTCATCCCTCACCCCTCCCTCCCTTCCCCATCTTGAGTCTCTAGTATCCATTATGCCACTCTGTGTGCCCGTGTGTCCATTATAAGTAAGAACACACAGCATTTATTTTCTGTTCCTGAGTTACGTCACTTAGGATGATAGCTTCCAGTGCCATCGGGAAGTGAACTTTTTGATACCTCACTTGCCATGTTTCTTTGCTTCAGAGGAAGGGCCAATCTGTGAGCGAGTTGAACTGGTATCAGAGTTTAATGAGATTATGCTTTAGTGAGCTACTATCTGGTTCTCAAGAATTTGAAGGCACTCATATTCGAAGTCACTCATGGGGTGACCCACTGGATCCTGGCTCACTTAGGACTTTCTTGGTTCTAGTACTTAAATCCCTACCCCCTGGATCTCCCTCGGTGCCAGACAAACCAGGACAGCTGGTCCCCCTTTAAGTCAGTTTTTATGCTTATGAAATGTCAATGAACAAAAATGATATATATTTGGGTCAAGTTGCTTTAACTAAAACTAAATAAGCCACAATATCCTGAATTAGAGCAGGCAGGCAATTGGTGGAGAGATATTGGACCACTAAATTCACTATTAAGCCAGTGCAAATTCAAATGCTTTAAGGGAGCAATGTAGGCAAAGTCATTAAAATGTCTACTATAAAACAATAGGACATGCTACAACTGTAGTGAATGGAGTGCAGAAGACCAAAGTAATGCTATTCAAATTTAAATTACCTTAAAGCCTTTACAGGCCAAGCCATGTCTACTGCCCTGGTAAGGCCATGTGGCAAAGGCTTTCCTCCCTAACAATTATATGCAGAGCTGGAGTGACCCTCATCTGGCTAGAATTCTGGATACTAGACTGTCATGTGGTCTAAGCTTTACTAATGTTTCTGTTCAGATTTCCAGGGAGCAGAAGATTATTAATAGAATTCAATGGATCATCACCAACAGGTGAGTTAGTTAATTAGGGAATGGGTAGGAGGAAAGATGGGGTGGGAGGGCTTAGTCTGAAGCTTTTTAGGGAAAGCGGATTTCAAGGAGCTCACAGAGGTTTCCCTGACCCTTTGCCCTTTACCTGATGTTGGGAAGAAAGAGCCAGAGAGAGTCTATGGTGAAAAGAGCTGTTCTTTGGGAACTGCCAAGACAGAAACATTACTCTGGTGCAGGAGGATGGCCCAGGGGGCCAGGTATGACCAGAAAAGTCTGGGCCAGGCACGTGGGCAGATAGCTATTAAAGCCGAATTTAGTGCTCAAGCTGGGGTAATGGCAAAAATAAGGGGTGAGAATCTGAGTTTGCCTTCCTGTGCAGTTTATGTTTGCAGAATTCTACTCCCGGAAGTCCATCAGCCTTCGCTTTCTCAGTGGTCATCTGTGAGTGCGTTACTGGGAAGGGCAACTCAGGAGGCGGCTGTGGCTGGAAGGAACATGCGCTGGCCTTTGGAGGTGGGGTTTCCCCATCCCTTGTAAATAATTCAATAAGGGCAAGGTTAGCCATCAAAGGCTCTATCTTGTCTCACACTAAGCTCTCAGGTCACCAAGCCAAAATCAACTTTTGCCTTTTTTTTTTTAATCTTTTTTTTTTTTTTTGCCTTTTTTTTTTTTTTTTGTGGTTGAGGATTAACACTGAAGGGAATAAGAGGGGGTTGCCAAGCAAATAAAGCACGTAGCCATTGACCTTTAAACAAGCAATGCTAAAATATATCTTTTATCTTCCAGTGGGGAAATCCTATAAGGGGTAGTAGTACCTCTCAGGTTCCTGGGGAGATCAAGGCAGATTCTGGGAAAGATTCCCTCTCCACTTAGAGTGATCTTTTCAGGGTCCAGGTGGGCAATCTGTATCTGGAAACTTCTCTGAAAGAGCTCAGGTACTCCAGGTAAGTAGTAAACCTTTAACACCTGTTCGTTGTGTGCGCTGATAAAACCCTAAGCAGTGGAAAGACCAGAGAGAACTTTAAAATTTACAAATGGGCTTCTGCTTTTGGGAGTTGGGTGGACTAGATAATCCCAAAGGCTGATTGTGCTGATGAGTCTCCACTCACACACCTCCCCCAGGACCCATTCCTGTGAAGCAATAAGAAACTGACAAGAAATTGACCAAAAAAATAGGCAATACATACAAGCAGACATTTCACAAAAGAGGAAAAAGAAAGAGCAGATAGTAAAAAACGCTCACCCTTTCTAAGTCACCAGGGACATGAAAACTAAGATCATGATAATTTTTTTAAAAAACCACAAGATTGGTAAAATTTACTAAATTTTGGTGAGAATGTGCATCAAAGGGAACTCAAACACATCTGGTGGAGATGCCAATGGGAATAAGCACTGAGAAAAATGCTTTAGCACTCTTATAAAGTTGAACACACACATAGTCTGTGATCCCTGATTCCGCCCCTGGGAAAGCTCCCTAGAAAACTCTTCCACCTGTGGCCCAGGAGTCATGTACTAGACTAGTCATGGGAGGATTGTTTCCAATAGCAAACTGTTGGGAAAAAATGCAAATGTGCTTTGACAGGAAAATGGAAATTTACTTTCTGTGTACAGTAGTTAGAAGAGGAAATTATTCAGTAGCGAAAATAAATGAACTACGCTACATACAACAATCTGGATGAGTATTAGAAACACAATATTGGGTGAAAAAAGCTAATCGTACAAGATTACATTTAGTGATGCTGTTTTCAGAAAGGTCAAGATAGAGCAAAACCTCATGGAACAAAAATTCCACTAGGGCAAGTGTTTTTGTCTGTCTTGTTTACCTCCCTATCCTCAGTACTAGAAAAAAATAGCAGATGTTTAAACGTTTTGATAAATCAATAAACTAAAGTACTTTGTTTAAGAAGTACTGTTGTTAAGAATAAAATTATCTTAGAAAGGAAATAATCAACACAAAATTCAGACTGGTGGTTAATGGTTGAGGTGTAGCGGCCAGCAAGCAGGGGCATGAGATGGGGAAGGCGCCCAGGTGGGTTTCAGTATATTAGAGTATGTGCACTGCAATACATGAGTGGATGCGAATATATTAGTCACATTCTGGATTTAAACATGGGTGGTACATTCACGTTGTTCATTTTATAATTGTGCTTTCTAAGTCAAACACATGTTACCGAGATTTCTTTTATATACATAAAATACCATGCAATAAAACTCTTAAAAAATTGTAAGTTCAAAATGTAACCTCTAGATAAGTTATTAGCAAATGAAAGCTGGGAGAATCGCATGGTTATAAATTGTTAGAAAGGCAAATCAGACTGGAATCTGAACTGGGGAAATAAATACCAGTATAAGTTCGAGTTATTTAGAAGTGTTTTCAAAGTCAGTTTTGAATGAATCCTTATACTTTTTGAACATATTTTATTATTTTTTTATGTCATAAGTAATGCCTATTCTTTGAAGAAAAATTAGAGAATAAGATAGGAAAAATACTTAATAAAGATCACTAGCATTTGTGCCACACACATAATGGTAATATACTGGTATATATCCAGATTTCATCCAAATACACACACACACACACACACATGCTGGGGGTTCACTAGCCCTAGGAGAGTCAATAAAGTAGCTGTGACAGTTAAACATCCCTGCCACAGTTCCTAAGAGAGCCATTCCTTTCCCCCTTGCTTTTCTGTCCCCTCTCTCTGGCTGCCTCATATGTTGCCTGTTTTACTGCACAGAACCGAGCCTTGTCGCCAAGTTTTACAGGCATTCACTCACAGGAAGCATTTTATGAAATCTCACATATTTTATGGAACGTGTGTGTATAAGGGATCACAACATGGAGTCAGATTGCTAAGTGTGCAATGTTTTGTCATCTCCACGATTCATCTTCTCATTCTCTCTTTTTTCCACCCCTTCTTGAACAATCCACAAAATTCTCTTGTTTTCCACATAGCAGTTCTTCTTGTGCTCAGTGTCTGCAGGGATGGTGGTGGTGTGTGTCTTAGCTTTTAACTCAAGCGCTTATCAATGTATATTTCCAACAACAGTAGTTCTCTCGCAGAATTCTGGTGGGGAAATTTTTCTCTATTAAACACACCAAACCTTAAATAAGACAGCTAATGTGTTATGAGAAGGACATTTATAGGTACATTTATATGAAAAAGAGTGAAAAATAATGTGCTGCAAACTCAACTTATTAGTTAAAACAACAAAATAAACCTGAAAATAAAAAGGAAAGAAATAGATATTTAATGAAATAGACTACAAAGAAACAAAAGAGGTTCAAAAAGCCAAACACTGGTTCTTTGAAAAAAGACTAATAAAATGTACAAAATTCTGGCAAGATTGATTAAGAAAATAAGGAGAAATGTCGCCAGAAAAAGTAAAAATAAAAATAGTTCATAAATATAGATATACCAAAATATTTTATAAATCATGTGTGATTATGAGAAAACTTTATGACAATATATTAAAAACATTTTGACATTAACAATTTTCTAGAAAATATGAATAACTAAACTAACCCCTCCCAAATGATCTCTATCTTACACAGAAGGTGATTAAGTCAAGAAAATTACCCTGAAAAAGGAATATATGGCATTAGAAGCAAGTTCTGACAATCCTTCAAAAAACAGATAATCACTTTAGTTTACAAACCATTCCAGAAAATAAAAAAGAGAGAAATACACATTCTTCTTATGATATCCAAATTAGTCAAGAACAGCATGAACAAGGAAATTTATGAACCAATTATCACTTACTAACAGAGATGCAAAAAATAGTAAATAAAATATTCGCTAATGGAATCCAGCAATATACAGATATTTTAAAATGCAGATGGTAGCAGACATAGTGTTTTTCAGCTTTCTCTTCTTTTTACCTAACAATGGGCTTTAGAATAAACTCAATATTAGCACATTTAGAGCTGCCTCATCCTTTTCAACTGCTGTATATTATATCAGTACATAATTTTAATATATTTTAAAAAACTAGTTTCCTACTGATAGACGGTTTTTGGTCATTTGCTATTACCATTACAAATTACATAGAAAATATTCTTATATATATGTCATTTTGCAATTATGGGAACATGTTTATAGGATAAATTCTTAAAAAGAAATTTCTGGGTCAAAGGTAATTTTGATAGATATTGCCAAATTATTCTCTTTAGAGTTGTATCAATTTATACTAACAACAGCAATGTAAATTCAAATGCTTAAAAAAAACCTAGAAAAAGGGCAAAGTAAACAGTAATTGTGATATAAAGATAGAAAGCAAACATTAAGGAAACTTTAAAAATAGATAAAATACAATGAAAGAAATTACACCGATCATTTCAATTATACTAATGATAAGAATGTGTTAATCTCCTTATTGAAACCTAAGACTTTAAGAGAAGATTAAAAAAATAAAATCCAATCATATATATTTTGTGAGTGATAAACCTAAAACAAAATGGAATAATCTATGAACAAATGATGTAAGAGAAAAAGAAAACAGGAGTCATAATGTTAAGACCAAAGTGGAATGCAAAGCAAAAAGCATTAGAAGGGAACAAGAAGGCAATTTAAAATAGGTAAAATAGGTAAAATACTATTAAGTGTCCATGAAGAACACTTAATAGTCATGAAATCCTATGTGTAAACACAGAAATGGAAACGTCTAAAACAATATATGCATTCATCTATGTATAGAAAATAAGAGAAATGAACAGAACTTTTTATATATCATTCTTAGTCTTAGAAAAATTATATAGGAAAAGATATAGAAGATTTGAATGCTATAATTATTTAGGTTAATTTAATAGAGACACATTATAACGTGCATTCTATAGCCCAGGTAATATATTTTCAAACATTTATTTGTATTAAAAATCAATTTAGGTCACTAAAATATGTTAATAAATTCACTAAGTAGGAATTTAGAGGGCATATTATCTGACCATGATATAAAAAACCCTCAACATTAAGAAGAGTTTAAATAACAAAAACAAAAATCTTAGTCATTTGAAAATTTAAAAAAGAAAAATATATTTTAAAATTACACTTGTAAATAAAACTATACTTGTAGATAACTTAGAAAATAATAAAAATTATAATAGCAATAGTAAATATTAACATGTATAAAATATACACAAGTGACTTCCACTTTTTTTATCTGTAAATTTCTAAAATTCATGGGATGAGACTAAAGATATAATCAGGCAAATGAATAATCTTACATTTTTTTCATTATTAACTAAGAAAAAATAAAAGCAGGCATTAAACTTCGGATGTTTGAGAAATAAAAGTTAAAAGTAAATTGAAAAGAATAGCTAAGACAAATTGGAGAAAGAAGAACAAAAGGGAGTTGACCTATCTGATATTAAGATGTATTTTAAAGCTATAGCAATTTCAATAGTATAGCATTAATGTGGACACAGACAAACAGATCAATGAAGAGAGACTAACAATAAACCCAGATATGTGTAATGATTTAGGGGAAGAACCTACCATGAAGGCACTCATTATCTTTGGACTGTAAGATTAAGAATAATGATAACTTTATTCTTTGTCCATTTTATATTTTCTAATTTTTCTATAACAATTATGTGGTGTTTTCATAATGAGAAAAATTCAACACAAATTCCTTAAAACTGGTGGATCAACATAACCACCTCCACCGTTTGCTCCTAAAGCCAATTTGGCTCACTACAGTCTACTGGTGTTTTCACACCTGCTAATAAAACGTTGCTTTGCTTTGATTTGGTGTAGTCAGTGGAAAGGATGCCCTCAGGAATTGCAAGGGATGTGTGAAGACATCAGTGAAAATAAATTAGTCTTATTATCATGAAAAAACCCCCACGGGTTGTGTCGGGCCTGGAAACAGACTAATGCAGGACTCAGTAAATATTTGTTTAATGAATGAGAGAAGTTGCCTGGATTTATTTATTTTTCTTGCTTCTGAGAGTTCTTCAGTTTTAATTAAAAGAAAAAGTCATACTGGTAATTCTAGCAGTGAACGCCCGCCCATGTCTGGGGCGTGGCTGACAGATTGGAACTGGGCCCTGCTGCCGGTTACTTACAGAGTGAGGCAGGATCAGCGGCACTCCGGGGACCAGGCTCTCCGGGGAAGACTCGTGGTCATTCAGAACCTTGAAGTCAAAGCCAACTTTCCCAGTGTTCTTCAGTGTGATGTCCCTCTCCGTGACATGGTCAAACAGCTTGAGAGGAGAAGGACAAGAATGACTCCTCTGTCTACCACCCTTTGGACGCTGCTGTCATCCTGACAACGGTGAACAAACAAACCTGCCTCACAGACACCGGTTTGATTGTTCCTGACACAGACACTGGTCAAGCCACATTTCAGTGTCACAAAAAGGTGCTAGAGGGGCAGGAGGACCAGTGGGGTCTGCAGACCTGGCTCCTGTCTTTATTCTCCTAGCTGATTCAGAGTAGGTGTGGCTGTGCTGGGAGCATCTAACTGCTCTGGTTAGATCTTTAATCTATAAACACACACGTACATGCACTGTTTGGTAATTAGATAATGGGGATCCAATCGTCATAGAAATTTGGTAGGAGATATGGTCTCTGCGTTCACAACACAAAATCTAATCGGAAAGAGAGGGTGTACAGGCAGAATTAACCAACAATTATTCTAAAACAGAAACGACAAAGCAAGTTATATTATGGCAAAGAGTATCCTAATTGCCAAGGGCATGTCAAGTAAGAGAAAGATAAGTGGATGGAGCTGAGCTGGGTCTTCCAGGATGCAGAGGTTTGGGGGTCGCAGAGTGGAACTATGAGGGGGTAACGTAAGAGAAAGTATAGAGGCAGGAAGGGCTGGGTGCATCAGGCCAGTGGGTGAACCAGCTTGGCCACAATTAAATAAATGGGCTATAATGGGGGAATTATGGGAAACGAAGTTTACTGTGTAAAGAGCATCAGTTAATAGGGGAGCTTAGGATATATCCTCTCCCAGGCGGAGGGACAGGCTGTGACCCACTGGGGGACAGAAAAAGAACTGAGGATGATTGAAGGCTGACTGAGGCACAGTGTTGACCAGACACTTACGCAACTACAACCTCCTGGGGAGACAAGCATTGGCACCCCATGCCACCCTTATAGATGAGGGAGACTGAGGCTTGGAGAGGTCAGGTGATGTGCCCAAGGTCATACAGTCAGTAGGTAGTAAAACCAGACGACAAAACCATGCTCTTTTTCCCAACACTGCATTGCTTTTCCAAATGCTGCTGGGATTAATTGGTCAGGGACTGATGGAATGAAAATACAAGTTGGGGAAAATGTCTCTGGCATTTAGCGGTAGAAGCTATGAAGGCACTGTAACCCCTTGCTGGCAGTGGTTCGATGGACCAGCAGCATTGACGTCACCTGGGAGCTTGTTAGAAATGCAAATTCTCAGGCCCCACCCTGGACCTCCTGAATCAAAATCTGCACTTGGACAAGATTCTCATGCGAACTGTATACATATTAGAGTGCGGGAAGCACTACGGTAGTAATGGAGGCCCGGCTTGATGAGCCCCTGCAGTGTGATAATGGTGAGGACAGGAAGGGAAAACTGACTCAGAGAGGGATCCTGGCGGATGACGTAGCAAATCCTGGGTGCTGTAAGGACATGGGGAGGTGAAGGAGACAGTGCAGCAGAAAAGCCCTGGAGATCTTAAACCCGGGGTTGTGAGAAAATGGCAGTGCTACTGAAAAAATTGGAGAGGCTGGGACGGGCTTCTGGATTGAAAAGGAAGATGCAAACTTGAGCATCTAACATGCTGAGTTTCAGGAGTTGGTGAGAAAGGGAAGATAAGGTATCTGGCAAACAGTTGGCAGAGGACGGTGATCGGGTTAGGGAGGCAGATTAGGGATCAAGGACAGGGGTGATGGTGAGACTGTGGTGATTAGGGGCACAGGAGAGATTCTTTTGTTTAAGTCAAACCCAGAAAATCTCTGCCCGATGGTTTGCAATACCTGTAATCCATAGTTAATATCCGTGGTGTCAAAGAAATAGTTGATCAGGGATGCCTCTCCCTTTAGTAATATTTCATAGGTGGGCCCTCCTTCCACTTCGCACAGAGCTTTAGCCTGTGCGATGATGTTACTGTGCCCATAGAAGGTGAATGACATCTGCTGGCTACTGTGTGGCTCCAACATTCCATAGAGGGGCAAAATATCGAATACCTGCAGAGAAAGTCATTCTACATGAGAGCAGCTGTCAGGATGAAGGGCCTGTGAAGGGTAAGTTGAAGTTATGTCAATTTACAGATTAATTCCTGACTTGAACTTGTTTGACTCCATAGGAGGTGACTAGCCCAGCGCCCAAAACATATGACGGCAATGGCAGTAGCAGTGCTCTGGTGAGGTTTATGTCTCTGACTTGGAGCAAGTGCTCAGTTAGAAAAATTTGTATCAGATCAGGACATCAGGACCCACGGTGTGTTACTTACTTCTTCTATCCCGATGGAAAGCATATCATCCGGTCCAAAGATCCATAGGGGGTCCTGAGCCTCCTCTTGGCTGTGGATTGAGTGTATTCTTTCTGTTCCCGCAGAGCTAACTTTTAATCCCTAGAAATTAAAGATGTGGGGAAAAGCTAGCAAGCATTCATACTGGATCATCAGCGTGCTTCTCCTCACCCAAAATGAAGCATGTTGTATATGGTTATAAAAATAGTACCTTTTTCCCTAGGCAGATAACTGGGCAAGTGACCAAAATGTATGTATAAGGATATTTACTGCACTGTTATTTATAATAGCAAAATTTTGGAAGCAAACTAAATGCCCATCAATGGAGGGACGTGTGCATGGGAACTCCATCCATGGAGGATGATGCAATGTGTATTTATGGACTGGGAATGATGTGCAAACGTATTGAGTGAAAAAGCAGACATTCATGTAAAATCACATATACCTCATATGTCTGAAGGTGCGAGTATGTATACATTCATTTAGAGATTTGCATATGCAAACAGAGATACATGGAGATTGTTTCTTAAAAATTTCAGTAGCATTTTCCTATAGTGGGATTGTGAGGGTGTTTGCTTTAATTTTTCTGTATTCTTGAGTTTACTATGACAAACATCATCTTTGAAAACAGAAAAAAGAATTAACATACTAACATTTACAAGACAAATGTTTTATATACTCACACATATTCATTCTAAGAAAATTGAAAAATATGGAAATATCCAAAGAAAGAATAAAAATAAATCATTAGGTTATGCTATATATAAATGTATCCATATATATGTGTGTGTACGTGTGTTTATATACTGAGTAGATACATTTGTATTCTGCTTTTCCAGTTGACAAATTATGAGTGCTGCCTGCCTATGTGACTGAATATTCTTCACAAGCATCATTTCAAATATTTTTTAAAGATAGATGATCATACATGATACTAATTTAAAATATTCAAAAAGGTATATGATAAAAAAAGGATTTCCTCCCCTACTCCCCAGTCCTCCAGTTCCCCCCTTCCCCTCTATTTAGTTATTCTCTTTATTCTACTAATATTTATTGAGCACTTACTATGAACCAGTTCTAGGTCATGGGGATATAATAGTGAACAAAATAGAAAAACCCTTGCCCTCATAAAGTTGATATTCCAGAGATATTCCGTGCACGAGCAAATACATTAATATCTACTTAACTACTTGAGAGAGAATATAGTGGTTAGGAGCAGGCCAGACTGCCCAGTCTTCCAGATCTACTGCCTGATGAATGTGTCCCCTCACTGGTAAATGGGGAGATATAATATCACCCACTTCACAGGGTTGTAGGGAGAAATAAACAAGTTAATGTAAAAAAAAATGCTCAGAACAGTGCAAAGCACATAATAAGTACTCAATAAATGTTAGTCGTTGCTTTTATACACCTTTTTCTTTACACAAATGGTAGCACACTATGCTACCTATTTGGCATTTAGTACTTTTTACTTACTATATCAGAGATTGTACCAAATTAACATACAAACTTTCTCATTTTTTAAAAAGGATGTCATAGTATTGCCTTGTGCAGATGTAATTTAGTTTATTCAAGCAGTCTCCTATTGGTGGAATTAAGTTGTTTCCAATTTTTCTCACTTTTACAAACAAAGCTGCAGTGTACTAGGATAGTCACATGTCTTTATGTAAATGCCCAGGGGTATCTGGAGAATAATTTTTTAGAAGGGAAACTATGTATTATAAATTTTGATACACTTGCCAAGTCATAGAGGTTACGCCAATTCATGTTCCTACCCATACATCTCCACTCTTGCCACAACTGACACAAACACTATTTTAAAAGATTATATATCTAATGAACATACAGTAATGTAGCTTTCATAATTTTTTTCAATTTTTTGTTATCCCTAGAGTGTGGTAACAGACATCTTTATAGGCAAATCTTTGTATCTCCAATGGTTTCCTCAGGTCATTGTTCTAGAAGAATTTAAGGGTAGTAGTTTTTAAACTCTCTTGGTCTTCCCTTTGATTCAGCTATGGAGTTATCATGGAAACTATTTCTGCCTTAGTAGCCTCTATTTAGGGAGTGGGAAGTACACACGTTTGCAACACTTAGAGATAGCTAGTTTTTCTGTTGTAGAGAAGACCAGTGTATTGAGCTGTCCTGGACTCCCACTGAGGTGTTGTCTCTGGGGGTATTTGGTTGGGAAGTGACGAGGATAAAGTCATGTGGCTGCATCCCAGCTAAATCCCAGCATTGCGCTTGCCACTCTGCCTTTGTTTTACAGAGAGGACCCTCAACTTGCCAACCCTCCCGAGGGCAAGGAAACCGTACATCTGAGATCACGGTGGAGGCTTCTTTGTCTATTCCGAGTTCTATGTCTTCAGGCCTGGCATCTTCGTTCAGGAGGATGGTCCTGGGAGTTCAATGAAACACAGAGAATCACTCACTGGGCAGCTGTCACCACACAGTCTCACCTGCGTGACAGCCCTGACTTTCTCTTCTACCACACCCCAAAGAGTAACAGGAAATTCTCACTCTGGGGACACCTTCCTGAAGAGGCCAGCTGCTCAGGGCTCTATTGCTCTTTGTCCCCAAGTTGTGGCGTAGGCTGGCCAGTGACCTGGTTGATTTTCCATAGGGCCCGACACTTCTTTCCTGGCCCATTGAGCCCATGTCTGGCTTACAAAAAGTCCTAGGAATCTCTAGCCATTCTTCAGACCATTTGGATGTGTCCTAAGTGCTCAGTGGTTGGTTTCATCCTTTACTGGAGCATTTTATTGTGAGGCCATAATATTTGGTGAAGTGTCACGTCCTTTCCTGCTTGCTGCTCTGGACCTAATCCAGGATGCAGACCTTAGACACGTGGAGAGGACCGATAGGAAGGGCTCCATCCTTCAGGGCTTGGGACGCTGCGCCCCCCTGAGAGCAGAGATGACTTCCAGCTCTCTATCCCACGTTACCTCGTCCAGGGCCCGCAAATAGAAGATACTCACTCAACTGTTAACCGGTGAGTGGTTGAATGAACAAATGAGGGATGACAATTGAGAATGTAAGTCAATGTGAAGAAAAGAACACTATTAAAAAAAAATCCATGCTGACTTTGCATTTGCACTTACTTAACAAAATTTAAATCCATCTCCTGGGACTCTCTTGTCACTACGACTATTGGGGTGCTGGCAGTCGCTGGGCTTGCTGGGTTGGACTCCATCTGGGACAGGAGGGTGCTGTAGGGCTTCTGAGGCAATGTCACAAACCTACAAAGGCATGAGAGGTGGAGGGGACAGGAGACACCAGCTTTTGCAGATCAGTGCCCAGTGGGCTCTCTGTTTCTAAGGCTAAACGCCAAATTCTAGACCAGGCAGGTCTAGAAGGGACCTCCCTTCCGCCTCCCTTGGACTTCCCTTCTTCAGATCTTAGCTAAGGTTGGAAAAAACTGTTCTGACCACCCCCTTCTGGTTTAGGCCCCACATCTCTCCTCTGAGTAGCCACATGCCCCTGGGCTACCCTCTCACACATACTGTTTTCATCCCTGCCAGACTGTGAACTTGCTAAGGACTTGTAGCTAATAAGGTGTCTGAGACAGTGTCTGGCCTGGTGTCAGCAGTCAGACATGGCCACGAATGAATGAGTTACCAGGAACCCTGCTCCCAGCTAACCAGAACTCAGGGCCAGGGCTAGCGTGAGGCATGTGAGGCACTCCCTGGCAGAGTCCTAGAAGTGCAGGCTCGGCTTTTTTGTGTGACCTTGCTTCCCTATAGCGTGTGACCTGGTGGCTTTCTTGCCACACCCTAGTTCTGGTCCCTCTGGTGAGCTTTGCTACCACTTAAGTTCTCTGAGCAGGCGACCCCAGGGGAAAATGGTACGGTACCAGCTGGTGCTGAAGCCGGTATGTGTGGGCTTCACTGATGAGAAAGGACGTTGGGTGTCACAAAGGCCAAGATGGTGGGGTGGCCCCCATTCTTCCTGTTCCCCTCATGGTACGGGACTTTTTCTGGACTCCTCCCCAGCCCACCCCTATCCATCTCAAGTTCTTGAATATTAATTTCAACCCTTTTCACTTATATATTCATTCTGGCGCCATATGCACTCAGAGGCTCAGCAGAAATGCCATCTATTAGATAAAGCTCCCACCATGGTCCTATCTTCCCACTGGAAGAAATTCTCCCTCTGCTGGAAGTTTCACAGCATTTCATCTGTACTTCTTTCAGGACACAGTCACTTTCTACCACATGCTGGAATACCATCTCCTAAACTTCAGGTGTCCCACTACCACCTTCGTGATTTCTGCCATCTTCTCTATCACCTAATAAAGCAACTTTATTGGGGAATAATTTCCATACAAAAAGCATATAGTTGTAAGCATAGAGTCTGATGAGTTTTAACCTGTGTAAAGTTTCATACCTGTGTAACTACCGTCACGTTAACATAATGTTTCCATCATCCTACAAAGTTCCCTTGTGCAAACACTCATCTGCTTTCTATCACTAGAGACTGGATTTGCCTCTGTTTTATAGAAATGGAATCAGAAATATGTATTCTTTCGTGTCTGATTTATTATGTTCTGCATGTTTCTGAGATTCATCCATGTTCTTCCTGTTGCTGGACACGTTTCCAGCTTTTGGATACTATGAATAAAGTTGCTGTGAACATTTGTGTTCAAGTTTTTGTGTGGACATTTGTTTTCATTCTTCTTCAGTAAATCCCTAGGAAGGGAATTGTGGGGCTGTGTGGTATATGTATGTTTAGTATTATAGGAAACTGCTGAACAATTTTCCTAAGTAGTTGTACCATTTTACACTACCACCCACACTGTATAAGGGGTCTGGTTGGTCCACATTCTCATCTACACTTGGTATTCAGTCTTTAATTTTAGCCATTCAAATGAGGATATAGCAATATCACATTGTGGTGTTCATTAATAGGCTTATTATTTTTTTCATTATTATTGTTTTATACTGAGACCAAGTCTCAATCTGTCACCTAGGCTGGAGTGTAGTGGCATCATCACAGCTCACTGCAACCTCAAACTCCTGAGCTCAAGCAATCTTCCTGCCCTGGCCCCTCAAGTAGCTAGGACTACAAGCATATCCCATCATGCCTGGCTAATTTTTCTAATAGGCTTAAAGGAAAATTTCATAATCATTACTATAAATGAAAACCTGTATTACCTATCATATTTAGAAAATTCAACACAATGGAAAAAAAATCCATGTTGTTATTTTCCTGCCTGGTGAAGGCTCTGAGCTGGGGTCTGCTTTTTAAGAAGGAAGATCTGTTCACTTTCTCTATAAGAAATCACTGGGCTAGCACCATCTGTGGCTGGGCTTATTACTCTACAGAACTGTGAGCTCTTGGAGGGTGGGATACAGGTTTTTCCCTCTTTACAGCCCCCAGAACGCAGAGTCTTCTACATAGAGCCCGAGCTTAACAGGTGTTTGACTAAATGAATGATGGATGGGGAGATGGCTGAATGAGAACAAACGCATGGAGGGTAATCTGACTATTCTGTATACCCACTTCACCTGGGACGAAGAGTGGGGGTGGGAAGGCATGGAGAAGCCACAAAGTGTGGAAAAGCTCTTTTCATCGTCTTTCATGAGCTTTCCATTTGGCTTGTTCCAGACCAGTCGTCCCTAGTTGACTTTACTTTGGGCAGAAACTATGCCATTCCGGGCAGGGCACACATGTTGGGCTGGGTGCTGAAAAATCTCCTGGGAAGCTCGTTAAAAGAAAGATCCCTCAACCTCATCCTTGGGTAGATTCTGATTCGGCAGGTCTCAGGTAGCACCTGGGAGGTATATTTTTTAACAGTCTTCCCAGGTGATTCTAATGGACAGCGAGATTTAGGAGCCATCGTGGGCAGGAATGGCACCATGACACTAAGGATGGAGCTGATAATTAGTATGGGCTTATTGCTGTGGCCTCCCCAGCTAGAGACAGTGAAACTCAGCACAGGACAATGCTGAATACTTATTAAATCCCCCCAGGTCAGCGGAGATGCCCAGGGAGACTTTGCCGGATCGCTGCCCCACGTAATAGCATTCTGCCAGCCAACATTCGCACCCCTCTGGGATGTTGTGCTGAATGAAGAAAATGTATACAGGAATATCTGTAAAGGAAAAACACAAAGCTGCAGAGGGGGCGGAACAGCTGAAGAAAAACAACACCTCAGTTGACAATGCTACCTGGACAACTGGGAGTGAGAGATCTCTTTGGAAACAAACTGAGGTGAGGGCAGATGGAGACCCCGCTGCTAACAGCCTGAGACAGTGAAACCTTTACCGTAATGAAGGTTTTCAGTTATCATAAAAATTGGAAAACCTGCTTAAAAAAAAATTGAAATAGAATGTTGGTAGAGTTTTTTTTTTGGATCAGATGTATTTTACCCTCAAGAACAGATGATTACTTTCCTGTTATGCTGACCCAAACTGGATTAGATTCAGTTATTTTTTAAAGAGAGTGCATCGCAAACAAGGAAAATCAATATTGTTCCAATTCCAGAGCTGCCTATATCAGAGTCACTGGAGGAGCCAGGGAAGAAACACCTTCTTTAACAGTGACAGAGTCATCTGTGTGTGTGTGTGTGTGTGTGTGTGTGTGTGTGTGTGCGCGTGTGACACACACTGATTTGCGACACTGGCTTGGGCCCAGTGGTGTCTCTCTTCATGTTTTATTTTCGACTCTTGAGCGAGGAGCAACACAATCTTTTGAGCTACGAGTTAAAAAACCCCATCATATTTATTTCCTGTTCTCGCTTCACTGGAAGCAGTGTTGTGCCAAAATGAAACCCTAAGCACAAGCTTGTGTGTTTCAGTGCAGCATATTCTGCATCACAGTTCCCATAGGATTTGCGGATGGAATGGCGGATGTTGAACCTCCACTGAAGTCTGTGTGGCCACAGACTTTTCTCTTGGGGGGAGAAAAAGGTAGCAGGAGTGGGCAGCCTTGCTGTAGACACAATGACTTCTGATTTACTGATTCAGTAGATGTGGATTCTGGGAGAGTCCACCACTGAGGGTGACATCAGCCACTGGCTGGATAAAAAGGGCCTGCACACGCTGTTTGATATTTTTGCAAATTAACGACTGCAGCAGATGCTGTTGGTGCACTTTAGTAGGATGATGCACCCAATCCCCCAGGTGCCATGAATGTTGGCTGTACCTTTTCTCTGGGGGATTGACGGGGCGGGATAGGAGCTGCCTGGGAGGTTATGCCCTCCCTCCTGTTAGGGTGTGACTTGTAGGCAAAGGACTCATTGATGGAGGTGACAGTTATGAGAGCCCAGTCTCCTTGTCTGAGTGGGACAAACTGTGCTGCATGGTGCACTCTAGGGCTCCCCATGGCATCAGGCAAAGGTTGGAATTCTTCTCAAATCACCTCTTCCTTAGTTTCCTGCCTGCCCTGTCTTGCTTCCCTTACTCTCTTGCAGCTTCTCCCAAGGGCGCTCTCTCAATAAACCACCTCAAGAACCACCAGCTTAGGCTCTGCTTCTAGAAAACCTGCTATAGCACTGTGTGATTCCAGAGGTGAAAAGCCCAATCCTTGCTTGGAAGAACCGAGGCCAGTGGGTCGGAGTCAGAGACACAGAGATGGCACACTTCAGGGCAGAAGTGCTCCAGCAGGTGGACATACAGGGTGCATGGTGCTCAGAGCAAGGCCGTGGGGTCATGGGGCCTGGGTTTGAATTCCGGCTTCCCTACTCATGCGCTATGCAGCCTGGGTACTGTGTTAGGGATAGAACCCCTCTCATCTGGCTGTGAGGCTTGGTTCACATAAAGAACCCCATGGTGCCTGGGTCGAGTGGGGAATTCAGATGAAGGGATACACTGACTCCTCCTGGATGCATGGGGATGTCTTCATGAAGGAGGATGCAGTCTGGCTGTGTTTGGAAGAAAGGATGGGACTTTTCAGGTAAAGAGTGGAAAGGACACATAGGTGGAGGGAAAGGTTTCTCTAAAGGAAAAAGGATGGAGAGAAATTGGACTCTCCAGGGACAAGGCAGAGCTTGCAGTGGGAGCAGGGTGTGTGTAGGTGTCAAACGGAAGCAGGTGATGATGACAACAATGACGATAAAGAATGTAGAAGCAATGAGGTAGTAGTCAGTGATGGCCAGCACTGGGGTTAGGCATGACAGAAAGGGGGTACAGTGGCCATGAAGACAGGGGAGGTGTCCCACTTCATTTTGGCGGCTCTCATGTGCCTTTCCCCTTGGCACTGTGCAGAGGAGGCTGCCGAGCACACACAGCAAATATGGGGGCACAGCGTGATCAAGGATCTCTGAGTGGGGTGGCCTCCACCGTCTCTTCCTCTATTCTTCTTTTTCCACCCTTTTTTTCTAACAATCCACTAAGCCTTGTTCAGGGGCTGGCCAGGGGGCAGGTAGTGGGAAGAGAGTCTTGGGCCGTGGAGTATCGGGGGCTCCTCACCTGGGCCATGGTCCCGCCATGCCGCTTGCTAATGTGCTTTGGAACCTTCCATTCTTCTCCATCCTCAACTATTGCTTCTCACTGCCCCATCCTAGACTAAACTTCTCCAAGTCCCAAGAAGGCTCTTTCTCATCCACGGGCCTTGGAATATGCCTGCTCCTCTGTCTAAAATTCTCTCCATCCTCTTTGCCCAGCTAAGGTCTACTTAACCTTTAAGCCTTAGCTTAGATGTTACTTTCACTGGGACTTCGTCCCTGACTCCCAAGTCTAGGACAATCCCCAAGCAGGGGCAGGAGCCATGTCTGTCTCACCCAACACAGCCCACAACTCTTGGCATTGACTGTACCAAGCTTAGAGTAATGCCCAATAACCACTGAATGAATAATTCTAATCAATAGTCCTGTAGTTAACTTCCTGTATGCTAAAAAGGGTTATAAAGGTCTTGTTTTGCCCAAATGTTACAACAGAGGGTGTGGTCTATTATTTGTAAAAATGGCCCCTTTGCAATGCAACAACTTTTCCTGTCCTCCCACCAAGAGCTGGAGTCTATTTTCTTCAGGCCTTGCACCTGGGCTTGGGTTGACTTCTTTGGCCAATGAGGCATTCAAAAATGTGATGCAAGAAGCAGCTTGAAAATCACCCAGCCCATTCATAGATCCATGAGAACTTACAAATATTTGTTGTTTAAGCTGTTGTGTTTTGGGCACTTTGTGTGTGGTGAGAGCTAACATGTACAGATTGGTTTTGTTTCTCCCTAGCACACGGCCCTGCACAAATATACTCAATGAACAACTACACAATGAGCATGTGAATGCAAACATTTCAAGTATGGAAAGAAAATGTCAATGTTCTTTGTAGTGTAAGTTGGTCATCATCCTTATAATTATTGATGTCAAAATGTGGCTAGCAGGATTCACGGTAGCCACTGGTGCCTGGCATGGTTCAGGGGTCCTTGTCATTAGTGTTTTTCAACAATCCAAGGCTCTGAGTGTGTGCTGTTTGCCACAGGGCAACTGATTTCATTGTTGAGATCATTTTCTCCTCCAGTTATATCTCTTATTTTTGTTGCTCTTAATTTATAATCTGGTGCTATGGTGAGCAAACCACTCATCTTTACTTGTTAGGTCTTATCAGGTGGGTTTTTACATTCCCATTCTTGCTCTCAGTGATCTAACTTTTGCTTCGCTATTTTGTAAAGACCCCCTCCCTCCCAGCCTTACTTCTTTGCTCTGACTCTACACATCACAAATCTGCTCCAGATTAGGAGCCCCCCCCCCGCCTGACTGCTGTTTCTAAAGGGAACAGATTATAATCATCGCTTTAAATCATATTAAAAGTGGTCAAATTCCTTAGCCCCTCTGGGCGCAAACACAAAGTCCCTGCCATGTTTCCATATTTTTTGCCTGGATTTGTGGTCTTATACTTGCTGATCTTCCCACATTGGAAAGCGAATGACAGATAGAAACAGATGGGCTGGCCGAGTGCCTTCCCTACCAGCACATTCTAGCTCTGCCACGTGAGAAGGGGAAGACAACTTCAGACATGTGCCCATTATGGAAAACAGCCTGCCCTAGCCCTCTGACACTAGTATGTTCCAGAATGCCTCTAAGTGGCCACCTGTGCTGAGGTGGAAATTGATGAGAGGTAACTGAGTAGCAGAAACTCAAGTTACTGAGACCTTAGGGGATGAAAGCTATCTTTCTAAAGGTTCTCAAAAGGAGTTGCATTTGGAGCTTCTAGAACAGTGGTTCTCACTGTTGGCTGGCTATTGAGACCATCTGTGGACCCTTAAGAAAGACTGATGCCTGATTGAACATGGCTAAGGGCCACTGACCCAGAAGACGGTGGTGAGAAGGTCACAGAGAAAATGGTGGTACAGCAAGTGCATCAGTGAGAGCCCTAGTTAAGTGACTGCAGCTGCCCTTACTCGTCTCTCACCCTCTACCAGGTACTATTAAAAGCACGTAATAAGCACTGCCTAATTTAATCTTCCCAACAGCTCCATGAGGTAGGTACTATGATTTTTCTCAGTCTTCAGATGACAAAACTGAGGCTCAGAGAGCAGGTAAGTGGCTGAGTGAAGTTAGACCAACACCAAAGCTCATGCTGTTAGTGACTTTGGTGGAGAATCTACCTGATAAACAGGTGAGGGTGTCTCCTGGGTCACTTCATGCCATGTCACGTGCCTGGCAGTGACTCACAAAGCAGACAGACCTTTTCATTTCAAAAACTGTATGTGCCACAACACAGGTACATACAATGTGATGCCTAGAACCTTGTTTTTAAAAAAGAGGGACCTGTCCTGATTATAATATGGATGAGAAAAGGCCCTTGAAGTCACCTCCCAGAGAGTTCTGCTGTGAGGTAAATAGTAGAGGAATGTGCCCAGAATCTACCTTGAAGCTCGCTCGAGGGATGTCTGTGTGCAATGGCCACTTCTACAAAGCTCCAGAAGGTGTCCCCACTGCTACATGCTCTTAGAAAGGCTGCCAAACAGGTAGGCTGCGAAATCTCCTTTATCATCAGCTTCAAAGCTCTTTAGAAATACTTTCAAAACAGGATAGTTTTTTAAAGCCGATTTCTTTTCATGTCTGGCCTTCAGTAGATGTAGCTAGCTTTGGGGGGATTTTAATTAATAGGAACACATAGATCAATCAAATGAACCCCTTTTTATGAATCACATCACTAAGTGAAGCAAGCAGATGCAACCCTAATGCAGGTTCAGATATGCACCGATACTTTCCACTGATTTCTTTAGAAGTCAGCTTAGCTCACACTGAATCTCTAAAAGGCTGATGCCCTCCATGGATACTGCAGACATTGGGAAAATGCCTTAAAAAGAATGAATCTGTAATAAGGTGACTAGAGTTCTTCTATGCAAACATAAAAGCAGGACAAAAAGTTTTATAACACTTAAAATGAAAAACAGCCCAATTCATTTATCTATGGGGTAATAGATATGGTATCTCAGGAAATTGGACTAAACTGAATTGCAAACAGAAGCAGACTGTATAGGTCCCAACGTGTGGCTAACTTTCAAGCTAAACATGAAGAGAGCTAAAGGCCTACCTCCCTCCATAGGTCTCCCTCTGCTTGGCCTTGAGTCATTTGCAGGTTGACTACAAAGGCAGGAAAATTGTTTCTGGAAGCTCAGATTTGATAGAAGGCTTACAGCCCTCTCATTAGCCTCAGAGGCTAATCGGATCCCCTGGTCAGATAAATTAGCTGACGCATCACAGCAGAAGCGAAGATTCTAGATGAACGGCCTACAGGAGGCCTGGATGATGAAGGTCCTGGGAGGGTTCTGGGGACATCAGGGACGGAGTATAAGGTGGCCTACTGTTCTCTTTCATGGACTTCACATTTACTAATAATGTCCTATTTGTAGTGGGGATGATGAGACGTGGACATTTCATTATTATTCTTAAAGTGTATATAAGTGTTACACAACACTTTTGCATTTATGATGGACTTTCACAATCCAAAGAGAGTGGATGTCAGGGAACGTATGGAGTAAGAAAGGCCTCTGCTGGGTAAGGAAGCCATTATGACCTTCCACAGAGGCAGTTTCAGTTAAGTGAGGGGGTCAAAAGCCAGTTGAAATTGGGTTGGGGAGTGAACAGAGGCCACTGGTGTATTCTGTTTTCTTACGTTGCCTGGTATAGAGTTGGTGATGAATACAACAAGAGGATTAAAGGCTTTCTAAGATGGGGAGCACTTGTACTGAGGGCAAAGGAACAGGGAGCTTGAAGATACTGAGAGCGAGAGGAGATTATTGACAGAGAGGAGTACAGACAGAAAGTTTGGCCTGGAAAAGCAATGGATGCTATTTCAGTACAGTCGCCCTTTGCATCTGTGGGTTCTACATTGGGGGAATTCAACCAACGAGGGATCGAAAAAAATTGGATGACAGGAAAACAATAAAAAATAACAAAAAAAATTATACAAATAGCGATACAGTACAATATAGCAATAATTTCATTTTTTTTCTTTTTTGGAGATGGGGTCTTGCTATGTTGCCCAGGCTGGTCTCCAACTCCTGGGCTCAAGGAACGCTCCCATCTCAGTCTTCTGTGGCTGAGATGACAGGCGTTAGCCACTGCACCCAGCCAATATAGCAACTGTTTACATAGCATTTGCGTTGTATTAGGAATTGTAAATAATCTAGAGATGATTTAAAGTCTTGGGGAGAATATTCAAAGGTTATATGCAAATGCTATGCCATTTTATATTAGGGACTTGAACATCTGCAGATTTGGGCATCTGCAGGGGTCCTGGAACTAATCTCCTGTGGATACTCAAGGGACACGGATGATGATATATTTGAAAACACAAATTTAAACAAAAGTAAAGGGCTCATCTTCCTCTTGATTGGGGAGAAGGAAATGGGATGATGAAAGTGGCAGCCTGAAGAAAAGAAATCTCTGGTGTGGGCTGTAGCCAGTGGGGACCAGAGGGAAGAAAGCCACCCCCAGAGGGTGAGAGGGATCCTGGAGGGAGGGTTTGTGGGCAAGATGGCAGAAGGAGGAGCCCATCCAGGAAACACTGCTAAGGAAAAACTGATGGAATGTACTGACCAGTTGGGTACTAGCGGAGAGAAAGAACCAAGGAAAAATGACACAAAACCAGACAGGCTAGGAGCTGGGCATGGCTTTGAGAATGTTCATGATCAATTTTACTAGCAAATAATAAATTGCTTTCCAAAGTGATTTTATCAATTTACACTTCCATCAGCAATGTCTGGGCTTCTATTCCTCCACGCCCCCAACAACACTTGGTAGGGTCATATTTAATTTTATCTAATCTGGTGGGTCTGTAATGGTGTCTAATTGGAAATGTGTTAATTGTACTATTTTCAAGGTTACTAATGATGTGGAACATCCTTTTATTCTTTATTGGCCATTCATATTTCCTCTTCTATGAAATAACTACTCATCCTTTTCTCGTATTTTTGAATTGAATTTTGTCTTTTCCTTCAAGGGCCTTCTTTATATATTATGTACGAGAATCATCTGAAGGTAATATGTATGCCCAAAACTTCTCTCCGTTTGTGACTTGTCTTTGTACACTTTTTATGGTATCTTCTGATGAATAAAAGTTCTCAAATTCAATGTAGAAATTATGAATAGTTTCATTTTGATTTTGTGTTTTTATATCTTGTTTAATAAACTATTCTTTATTCAGAGATCAAGACATTATCTTGCATTTTCTTGCAGTTTAAAAATTTTGACCTTCACATTTATATCTTTAACCTAGATGGAATTTTCTGTATAGTGTAAGCTTAGAAATTCATTTTTGCTTTTTTCTACATGGATAATGTATTTTTCCCAGATCATTTACTGAATAAGCTAACCCTTCTGCTTTGTTCAAATATTTCTATTTTGCCATGTTTCCATACACGTACGGGTCTGTTTCTTGGCTGTCTATCCTGTTCTTTCATTCTGTTTGCCTATCTGTGAACAAATAATCCCCTTTGAACATTATTATATTTTTACAAAAAGGCTTGATATCCAGTAGAGAAAAACTTCCCATTTGTGGGGAGTTGGCTAGTCTCATCTCTTTCCTCTTCCATATAAATTTTAGAATCAACAGAAATGATATCTTTATTAGAATCTTTTCAATCAACGAAAAAAGTATGTCTCACCATTTATTTAAGTCTGCTTTAATGACTTTTAACAAAATTATTTTATGCATAAATATTTTGTGTTTTTTGTTAGGTTTATTTCTAAGTACTTTTTTTTTTACTGCATTCTATTTTGTATTTGTTGCTGCTATACAGAAATGCAATTGAATTTAATAACCTTATATCAATCCATCATCCTCACTAAATTCTTTAATTCTAGTAATTTATAGATTATTGTGCATTTTCTATGTAGATAATCAGAAAATGACAGTTTTGTTTCTTCCCTTCCAAATCTAGTTCCTTTTATTTATTTTTCTATCCTCCTGCACTGGATAGGATAAATTGTTGAATAGAAATGAAACTCTTAGGCTGAGCATGATGGCTCATGTCTTTTACCCCAGTACTTTGGGAGGCTAAGGGAGGTGGGAGGATTGCTTGAGGTCAAGAGTTTGAAACTAGCCTAGGAAACATAGTGAGATGCTCAGGAGTTAGAAGCTGCAGTGAACTATGATCCTGCTACTATACTCTAGCCTGGGTGACAGAAAGATCAAGCAAGACCCTGCTTCAGAAAAAAAAAAAAAAAAAAAGGAAGAAATGAAATGAAACTCTTATCTTGTTTCTGATTTTAAAGGAAATGCTTTTAACATTTCATTTTTAAAAGTTTAAAACATTTCATTTTTAAAAGTTATCCTAGCTCAGGTTAAGGAATTTTCACATGAATAATTGTTAAGGTTTACTAAATATTTTTCCTTAATCAATTAAGATGATCTTATAACCAGAACCTAGAACAAACTCAACCTCATCATCATATCTTTTTATACTATGCTGCCAATATTTTGGTGAATGTTTTTCATTTTTATTTTTATTTAATTTTTAATTTTTTTAAATTTTAAATTTTGTTATTTTTATTCTTTTCAAATGTTTAACTGCTCTTGGAATACATTTTTATTTTTGACTTAATGGGTGAGAATTGCCTGAAATCTTTATGCTTCTGACCTGGCTTAATGGGTTTTGGTCTAAAGATTAAGTTAGTCTTATAAAATTAATTGTGTAATAGTGTCTTTTTAATTTTTCTCTGAAAAGTATTTGGAATCATTTATTCCTTAAATTCTTGGAAGAACCTTCCTGTATCTATCAGGGCTTCTTGGTTTTTTAAAGGGAAGAGTTGATTGAAACTATTCAATTTTCTCAATGATTATAAGGCCATCCAGATTTCAGGTTTTTTTTTTTTTAGAGTCAGTTTTGGCAAGTTATGTTTGCCTAAGAATTTGTGCATTTTATCTAAGTTTTCACATTTGTCGCTGTGAAGTTATTCATGACTGATTATCCTTTTTAACATCTGCGGCAAACTGTAGCTGTATCACTTGTTTATTTTTAATAATGTTTTTTTTTTTTTTTCCCTTGATCAGTCTTGCCTGAATTTATCAATTTTGTTAGTCTTTTCAAATAATCAACTCCTGGTTATGCTGATTCTTTATATTTCATCTTAATTTTCTCCTTCATTAATTTCTGGTCATATATTAAGTATTTCCATTTGTGTATGCTTTGGATTTATTTATTTATTTTACTAACTTTTTAAGTTGTGAATGCTTAACTCAATTTTCAGTTTTCCTTCTTTTTTGAGACAGAGTCTCGCTTTGTTGCCCAGGCTAGAGTGAGTGCGGTGGCGTCAGCCTAGCTCACGGTAACCTCAAACTCCTGGGCTCAAGCGATCCTACTGCCTCAGCCTCCCAAGTAGCTGGGACTACAGGCATGCAATAACCATGCCCGGCTAATTTTTTGTATATATTTTTAGTTGGCCAATTAATTTCTTTCTATTTATAGTAGAGATAGGGTCTTGCTCTTGCTCAGCCAGGTTTCAAACTCCTGACCTCGAGCGACCCACCCACCTCGGCCTCCCAGAGTGCTAGGATTACAGGTGTGAGCCACCTTCCTTCTTTTTTAACATAAACTTTTAAGGCAGGTATGGTAGCCAGAGCTTGCTATGGTAGCCAGAGCTAAGTAACGCAGTGTACTTAAATGTAGGGATTTTTTTTAAACATTGCTTTGTGACTTGACCTAGTGTAATGCTTAAATGTAATTAGGGATTAGTTAACTTAGCCCCAGCCCCAAGGGTTCCCTGGAGGAAGCCCAGGGACTGATGGGTAGGGTGGGAGGGAGAAAGAAGGACTCCTCTACTCTCTCCTCCACCCAGAATCTCTGCTCTCGAGTGATTTACATTAAAACAAGTTCTGCTGTAAAGAGTCTGAACACTACTAAATTAAATAACATATGTGTGTATAAGTTATATTTATTTAAGAAACATTTTCTATATAGCAAACCTCAATAATTTATGTAATATATCATATGTAACACATACATTGCATTTAATTATATTCTCTATGTATTTCAACTCTACTTAAGTAATGACACTCCTTCTCAAGATGCAAAATAAACTCTTAGATCTTACAGATTCTGTATTGCCTGTCCTGGCAGTCAGGTATTGCTACTTCCTCAATGGCAGTGAACCAACCTGCAGGGATGATGCCCAGAAGGAAAAACAAGTCAGCTCCCATGACACGGGACTGAACTTGAATTTCTAAAACTGTCAACAGAAGGATAGAGTCCGGGATTTCAAGCCCTTGTGAATGGATGCAGGATGGCTTCTCCTAGAGCTCCCATCTTCCCCTTTCAAGGATGATCAGTTAGAAGCTGGTGAGGAAGCTGTACTCAGGACCCCAGACAAGGTGACAGCCCCACAGTGACAGTTTAACCAGTCTATGACTACAACTAGGGGATGCTTGCCCCCCTGTGAGGTGTTGTAGCCTCAATAAAGTGGGTCAATGAGCAAAGAGGAGCGGGAAGCAGGCTCTGCTGCCAACGTGCTCTCTTGGGGACCCTACACACAGGCACACACATGCATGCATACACACGCACGGCAGATGCATGTGTTGTGACCGGAATATTAAGAGTGTCTAAGCATCCTCATGCTTGCCAAACAAAAGAAAAAGAAAACCCTACCCACCAAAAGTTTTTGTTCCTTTTACTAACTGCAAGGCTTAGAAGAATTCTAATTGGAAAAGAAAGGTTAGTGTTGTTGTATCTGATAAAAGTGACCTTTAGCCAATAAGAGGTTTATATTTTTCTGATGCCAGACAGAATGAGTCTGTCTGGAGGGCAGGTGGCATTTTTTTGGTCTATTCTAGGTGACATTTATGGCTTGAACCTTTCCGTTTGACAGGTGCCAGGAAGCTGACAGGAAGGAATCTTAAACCAGTTATGAAACTCTCCCCATCTTTCTACAAATACCTGGGTGGGAGAAGTTGATCAACTAAAAAATATCCTTTGAAGTTCTACTCTGTGCTAAGTACTGTGCTAGGCTCTGGGGCTCCAGAGGTGACAGGGCAGATGTGCTTTCTGGTGTCACAGAGGTTAAGAACCAGCTGGGAAGATGGACATCCAGCCAGAGTATATGAGTGATGTGGGTCGCCAAGGAGATGCGACTACTGACGCCCATGACAGGGCTGTGGCCTAGGGAAGAACCCTGGTGAAGGCCTCCCCGGGGAAGGATGCTGAGGCTGAGGCCAGAAGAGGGGGCAGGGGGCAGCTGGGTGGGGGTGAGGACAAGTGTTCAACAGAGGGGACAATTGGACAGGAACAGCACTGGGTGGGACAGAGGCCAACATGCTAGGCAAACAGAGAGGTCATTGTGGTGAGGGGAGAGTAAACTCAGGGGAACATGGTACCAGCATATCTGAGCCCTGCAGAATGCACGAAGCGTTTTGTGCTTGAGTCCAAGAAGTGTGGGTGGTCATTAAGGGCTTAAAGCCAGGGTGGTGACATGCTCATATCATGGCTACCAAGTGGAAAGTGGACTGTGGGCGTGCATGGAAGCAGAGAGCCCTGGGCTGTGGCCAGAGTCTTGGCAACAGGTGATGGTGGCTTGAGCCAGGGTAACAGCAATGGAAACAGGAATGAGGAGTTTAGAAGGTAGAAGGGGTAGAACTTGGTGGTGGACTTGATGAGGTGGGTGGGGTTAGGAAGAGGAAAGAATCTGGTGCCTCCCAGGAGGACACTGATGTCATTTGCTGGGACAGGCTGCCTTGGAGGAGAGGCAGAGAGGGGCAAGGAGGGAGCAGGGGGAGAACCAGAGCTTGTGTGGGACACAAATCACCTGGGAGATATCCAAGAGGAGATGTTAAGAAGGCAATGGACTTGGAACTCAACAAAGGGTCTAGGTGGAGCTACACAGTTGGAAGCCTCAGCAAGAGAGGCTGACTGATGCTCTGGGTGTGAGTCTCTAGGAGGAGCAGAGGGCCTCGGGCAGGAGCATCCTGCTCCTATAGCCGGGTTGCTGGCAGAGGGTTGAGAAGGAGTTGTTGAGGGGATGAGAGGAAAAGCAGGAGATGATGGTGCTCTGGAAGAGAAGAAAGGAATGTTTCAGGAAGAAGGGGTTGGGCAACTGTGCTGAAGGTGGCTAAAAATTATCTTTCTGAAAAAACCCCACTGTCACTCTCTTGATTACGAATCTCACCACTGCCCCAAGAAAGAGTCTACATTTCTTATGGAACACCAGGCCTCCCACACACCGTTGTCAATATACTTCTCCAGACTTGCCTCCCATAACTTCTCCCACCCCAGTAAAGTCTGTGCTCTGGCCATACTGGTGTAGCCTCTGCCAACACCATAGTGGGTGTGTGTCATTGCTGTCCAGGACCCATTCTCTCAGGTGTCAGTTCTTGTTTGGAGAATTACTCCATGCCCACCTGATGAGATCACTATCTGCAGCTTTTGGGGTGGGTCATGTGGCCAGGTTGACAACAAGTGAATCACCCTTCCCTGGCAGCAACTGATTAGGGGTGGGGAACAGGAAATATGATTAAGTAGGTCTGACCGAGTGAATCTTCTGGAAGTTCTGTGAGAAAGAGCTCAAGAGTCCAGAAGGACATGGACCTAGGAGTGCAGGCAGCCATTTGGTGACCATGAGGAAAGCTGATCTGAGAATGAGGTCAACACATGAAGTTGAGCAGAGCTGAGAGACAGAGAACCTATTTGTTTGAATTTTTGCTATGAGCCAGGCTATAAGCCAGAATAAATATCTGAACTTTCTAGTTGTGTAAACCAATGAATTTACTTTCCTTTTAATTGTTGCTCAGGGTCAGGTTTTCTGTGACATGCAGCAGAATGAACCCATGAATCCTAACTGGCATATACATGCTATTCCTGTAACTTAGAAGGCTTCCCTGCTTCTCCATCTGGAACATTTAACTGTGACTCCTTGGTGCAGCCTTTTCCAACTCCTTGGGGAACTCCATGTCTCCCTCCCACCCCAAGAGCCCAGCATTATCACATATTCACTGGGTTTTACACATCTGCCTTCCCCACTGGCCTCAGTGTAGGCATTGTGTCTTGTTCACTTTTATAACCCTGATGCCTCAATATCTGGCCCACAAGAATAACTGATCAAATGTTTTCCAAATGACTCTCTGAATGAATGAATGAATGAATGAATGAACGAACAAATGAAATATAAGCAGAGGCTCAATATAAAGAGACAGGAAGATACTGAAGAAAAAAAATGGTTAAATAACCAATGAAAACTTAAATGTATTATCTTCAGTACTGGCCAAGCACATTTTCAAAAATGTCATTATTTTAATTATGAAAATGGCCTCTCAAAAGTATAAAATAAATAAAGCATGTCCTGGCTCCCAGATGGAATAAACTCATTTAGCTGTGTTACATCAGAATAACTCCACAAAATCTGATATTCAAAGCGCATTAGGTCAGGTTGGCTGATTTTTTTCATAATTATTTTAAACGTTCACCATCTACAGAATTTCATTCCAAACCCAAACAGTCCACAGCACTTAATGAGCAGGTTCCGATGCCTGGGCCCAGGACCGGCTGCTGGCTTCAGTGCTATGCTGGGTCATCATTAGATGTCTCCAGAAGACATCCAGAGCAAGTTGCTGTTACCGTGGTAACGAGCACAGGAAAGAAAAGGGTGGCTGTCAGATATAAGATGAGGATTATATACAGAAAGCACTCACAAGCCACTAAGGAAACAACACACGGTTTCATCAGTTAAGAATGGCCACGTGACATTCACATGCTAAAGTGTCGAACATCCAATAAGGAAATATACCAAAGCCCATTAGTCCTGGTTGCCAACAGAGAAGAAAATGCAGCACTTGCCACCTCCCACTTTGTTTTAACTAAGTATACATCTATATGTACACGTATATGGGCCAGAACAGAAACCCACTGAAAAACGCAGACTAGGCAACATGGTGCTCAGTATGGCATACACTCAATGTACAGTCCTCTCAATCCATGCTTTGAGTTTGAAATGCTTATTAAGTAAACTGTACAGGCAACAAAATAAAAAATAAAAAAGTGGGACTATATCAATCTAAAAAGCTTCCACATAGCAAAGGAAATAATCAACAGAGTGAAAATGTAACCTATGGAATGGGAGAAAATATTTGCAAGCCATGTATCTCTTAAGGAGTTAATTCCCCTTAATTCCCCAAATATATAAGAACTTGTATAACTCACCCAACATAGCAAAAAATAATAAAAACCCTAATAACCTCATTAAAAATGAGTGAAGGACTTGAATAGACATTTCTTCAACCAAGATCTGCAAATGGTAACAAGTACATAGAAAATGCCTGACATCACTAATTATCAGGGAAATGCAAATTAAAACCACAATGAGATATCACCTTGCACCTGTTAGGATAGCTATTATTAAAAAACCAAAAGACAACAAATGTTGGTGAGGATGTGGAAAAATTGGAACCTTGTACACTGTTGCTAGGAATACAAAATGGTACAACTACTATGGAAAACAATATGGTGGTTCCCTTAAAAATTAAAAATAAAACTACCATATGATCCAGCAATCACACTCCTGGGTATTTAACCAAAAATACTGAAATCAAGGTCTCAAAGAAATATTAGCACTCCCATCTTCATTGCAGCATTGAAGAGAGTAGATCCCATGTTAAGTATTCTTACCACAACAAAATAATAATTTTTTAAAACTCTACAAAGACTTTTTACAAATGATAAATGTCTAATGATCTTACTACTAGATTCGAAATTAAGGTAGGCTTATGGATACTGCTCTGTTAATTAGGTAATGACTAGGGCTTTCAAAGATGTTTTGAATAGTTTTCTTGTTTTGAAATCTACAACGGATCAGGATTTTAAATTCCTTGTTACTTCTGTCAGTGATTAGTTGTCAGAACGGGAAATATTCATGAAGATAAGAGCACAGAATATAGGAAGAAACCCAGCGCAAAGGCAGAAAGAGGAAATGAATGAACAGCAGAGTGCTGTGGGATTTCTATGCTGGTGTTTGTTACCTTATCTGATTTTCCTCATTGTTCACCAAGAAGAACCAGCGGAACTTCACAACCAAGGGGCTGTAGTTGGTGATCATAACGTAGCGGATGACCTCAGTATCGTTCAGGATACAGCCGAAATTCAGGTCCGTAGTCTCGAAACTGAGGTTGGGGTAATGCACCTCTCCATGCAGGTCCAGGCTGTCTACCTGAGGGTGTTCCACATACTTAATTTGTAGAATTTCGTCTGCCACCCAATTGTTCAAATCGTTTCTGTAGAAAGGGTCAAACTTGATCAGCAGGCTTTTTTCTTCCTCAATGTCCAGTTTAATAGGCTACAAACAAGATAATGGGGAATTACCAACTTTTGTACTATGCATTTCCAACCTGAGACATGAAACAGGACAACCAAACTTACTCATATAGATTTATGTACATACCGATAGACACATACACATACATATTAGCATAAAATTCATATATAAACACATATACATAATTAATAAACAGCTAGTACATATAAATACAGATATTTATATATATGCATACACATTTTATCAGTTGAAGATGAAAGCAAGGAGAATCTGGAGAGGAATTATTTGAAGGAAGAGATTTTGATAAGAGTCGTATGGGGTTATAAGAATTCTTAACTGAAAATAAATTAGATTGTGCAATGATCTTACTAGACAAGTGAGAAAAGTTCTTTGCTTAAGAAAATGTTTAAATGGCTTTCTAAAGCACTGAGGGGCTCTGTAGAGGGTGACCTAGAAACGGACAGATTAGGTAATTTAATTTCTTTTCCAATGTCTGCAATCCATACTTTCAAGCACAGTGTTATCTACTTTTTGCTGTTTTCTATTAAACTTAAAATGACAGTCGACAGCTGTAACAGAGTTTGTTCGGTAGATTTTATTTGTTCTTTTCCCTCTTTGAGTCAAATCCCCATGTGTTCCTTGATGCCGGTGTCTGCAGTAACACCTTCCCCTGGAAGGGCTGGCTATGAGTGAGCTTTTTTAGGCATTGCTCAATTCATTTAATGGGCACGAAAGCCACCTTGTGGTTTTGCAGCTAGTGCCCTGAGGCAGTTGGGAAGAATGTATGCCGGAATGAATCTGGTTACAGTGTGCCTCTTCTTTCCAATGGACTTAAACAGTTCAGGTATTTAACTGTGCACTTCAGCAACATGATTAGATGATTTCGGTGGATAAAACCAATCACCTGATTCAACGATCAGAGAAAGTCATGACTCTTCAGTGGGCCTAAACCCATCTGAAAGCCAGCCCAGTCACCTGTCCTTTGATTTTACTGCTGGCATGTATGGCCGGGCACAATTTAGAACCCATCCTTGTAGACTGGGGTATCTATAGCATTTGATATCATAGTGCTTGATGCTTCAATGTTTTGAAGACTGACTTACATTTTTTTCCAGAGGAAAAAAAGGAATGACTTGTTTTGTAGAAATGATATAAAAAATAATATTATATATAAAAGCACAAAGAAGAAACTAGAAATTCATCCAAAATTTTACCGTGTATTATTTCTGAGAGTTAACATTTGGTAAATGTTAGTCCAGACATGATAGAGGGATAATGGACTTTTACAAAAATGGAATTAGATTATACTGTTTTCTAACTAATATCATATTTGAATTTTTTTCTCAAAAAAATCCTGAAGAAGTTTTTCTTACACAAGGGGTATTAATTCCTAAGATTAAGGACTGTGGAGCCAGACTGCTTGGGTCCAAATCCTGGTTCTTCCAGTTATTAGCAGTGTGACCTTGGGCAAAACACAGGACCTCAGTTTCTCTATCTGTAAAATAGGGCTAATAATAGTAACTACCTCTTTTTAAAAGGTTGTCATGAGTAATTACATGTGTGAGGTGTTTCAGGACAGTGCCCTACCTGTAGTGTGTGGTATATATATGTTTAGTTATTATTATTTTCCCTTTAAAGTCAAAGAAAAAGACAATTAAATATAAAGCAGTTTCAACTTTGGAAATCTCTTATTGACACCTGGCTATAAAAGGGAGTGACACCAGCACACTTATGCTCCCCCCACCTCCTGATTTTTATTGGCTATCGTGAAGTTTAAAAAGTTGAGGTTTAAAACATTCTGCTCTGAAGTCCTAAATGCCAAAGCTGTATATTCTCAGTTGTATAATTAAATGGACTGAGTCTTCCTGTCAGTCTTTTCCTCACAGTTTTTTCATTCCCAAGCACCTTATTTGATTCTTCTGGATGGTTGGATTTCACTAGCAAATTGGTTTTGGAAGGGTGCGTGAATGTTGTACTCAATGTTTCCTTGCTTTCTGAGTGGGCCTGTTACTGTTATACTCAAATGATACTTTGGCTGGTTATAAAATTCTTGGGTCACACTTTCTTTCCCTCAATACCCTGTAGTCACTGCTCTGCTGCCATCTGGCATTAAGTGCTATTGTGAAGAAGTCTGAGGTTAGTCTAAACTCTAAACTCTTCCATGGTAGGTCTTTTCCTTTGGTTATCAGTAAGTCTTGCAACTTCACTAAGATGTGTTTCACTGTTGAATATTCTATATTATTTTGTGCCAGGACAAGTGTGGCCTTACTTCAAAAATTCTTTTAAAAATATTTCATGTATATTTTGAATAGAGAGAACAATAAAAAAGCAAGTCATCCTGTGTCCTTCTCCCCATGTCTTACCTAAGCCAACTAGTTTCCCTCCCGGGAGGCAACCAAGGTTAAAAGTGTCTTTTGTATCCTTGCAGATTTATTCTATGGATATAAAATCATACTTGTATATATATTATCTAATTTTTTGCACATGATAGCACACTGTTCTGCATTTCATTTTTTTCTCTGGTAGATCACTCAGTATCATTGCATGTGGAGCTGCTTCACTCTTTCCAATAGCTGCATTCCATTCCATCATGTGATTCTGCCATCATTTATTTAGCCAATCTCCTGCTGATGGATATTGCTTCCCAATCTTTCGCTCTTATAATCAACACAGCAATGAATATCCTATATATATATGCCATTTTGTATATTGTGTCTGTAAGATAAAGTTCTAGGAATGGAATTATTATACTAGGTCAAAGGGTATGGGCATTTAAAATCTTGATACAATCGCCATATTGCCTTCCAATGTTCGCTGCCCAACACTGTAGGAAACTGCCTGATCCACATGCCCTCCCTGACACTCAGCACTATCTACTTTTTTTCTTTGCCAATCTGATAGGTTAAGAAAATGTATTTAATAGTAATTTTAATTTATACTTCCTCTAATATGATGTTTAGAAGTCAGATATCTTATTTTCCCTTCTGTGAGCTCTCTGTCATTTCTTTTGCCTATTTTGCTATTTGGTTGTTGGCATTTTCCTTGTTGATTTGTAGAATTTCTTTATTTTCTAAATTATATGTGTGGTTTTTTTAAAATTATAATAATTATAAAATTATGTAAATATATAACAAATAAATATAAAGTATAAAAAGGTGAAACTGTACTATAAGAATTATTAAGAAATAGTAGTTCCTGAACCACCCTGCCACCCAACAAATCAGAGGCCACCATTTCTCAATTCCAGTAGTAGGTTGGTCTACTGAACCATTTGCTTGGGCAGAGAGGTACAGACAACCTGTGGACATACCCCAAATACCAGAATGAAGAATGAGGAGGGCTTATTCCAGGGTACCAACACTGACAGCACTAGAAGCATTAGATTTCCCTACACATTTTGACCAATTTCTCTGGAGAAGAGTATTATTTTTGTCTTGGGATAAAAGTCGGCTGTTCACACTTTCTGGGTCGGTTCTGCACATTTTGACCAATTTTCTCTGGAGAAGAGTATTATTTTTGTCTTGGGATAAAAGCCAGCTGTCCACACTTTCTGGGTGAGGTCTGGCACACACAGAATACCTCTGTTTTCAGCCCTTTCCTCAGACTTGTTGCTTCTGAACCAAGAGCTACTCTAGAGCTCACTGGACAGAACAACTCCTTCATCTTTCACAATTTCACTGGAACATTTTCTGGAATGCATATTTATGTGCCTTTTTTTTGCCTCCTTCAATCCTCATTCTCTCATTCTATCTTCTAGAAGTTAGCTTAAATTTCTCATTATTTGGTCAAGTCCATCCTCCTTCCCCTTTAATTTAATACTCTGGGTTCCTTCTCTTGAAAATTTCTACTTTTATCCTATTAAAATCTCAGGAGGGACAAGAGTAGGCCTAGTCTACCACCCATACTGAGAAAGGCACTCATGTCTGAATCATTTTCTCATCCATTTGTTTTCCGGTGCTCTGTGAGTTCAGTTTTTATCTCTTCGAACACTGACATCTACTCCTTAAGCTCCTTCTAAAGACAGGTCATATTATCTAATTCTTTTGAGACTAAAAAGAACTACTTGTTTGTACCACTGGTCTTCTTCCTTGGGTACATCCCTTGCAGTATGTTTCCATCTGCCTCTTGTTTATGACCATTTCCCTCCTTTTCTTTCCCTATTCAAAGATCTTAACTGGTTTTTCCGCAGCTGGTGCTTGAATGAGACCCATTCATTCAAAGAACCTGTGGGGAGGGGCAGGTGACAGCAACAGTATAGTTTGCAGCCTCCACTTGGGTACTGTCTGGACTTCCTCTCACCTAGTGCCCTTTCCCTGCTCTCCCCCAAAGATCCACCATCCTGAGTGTGGCTCACAGCAAATATCCTTAAGTCATAGGCTCTTTCTTCTGAGATCTCACAATTGCTGCCTGCCCCTCTTCCTCTTCATGCCACTTCCCCACTAGGCGACTCCCTAGAGTGGGAGGCTGAGCAAAATGGTGTGTTTTCTCCTTTACTCTTCCTCTCCTACAGCTCTGCAGGAGCCCATGGCCCAGCCATTTCCATTAGTGTCCTTACACCTGGCAAAGGATCATGGGGACAATCTTGCAGGGCTGTTTACAGAAGGCTGCACCCTGCTTCAGACTGGTGGCCAGGGTGAACTCCCAGGCGCCTCCCTCAGCTTGGTTCAGATTGCTCAGTATTTGGAGAAGGGCTGGCTGCTTTGGAGACTGGGCTTGGCTATTTCTTCATCTTCTTGAGTATTGAGTTTTGATTGGATTTGAGGGGTGGAGAAAAAAAACCTTAATATGATTAGTAGATAGTCACTGCTTTCTATAGACTGGCTTCATTATAGTGGGCAGGAGTGAAAGCGTCATCACGATGAGCTGGAAGTTCTCACACCATTAATGATAGTGTTTCCACTGATTGAGATTGGAATTTATTAGTCATTTTAAATTTTTTGTGGTCTTTTCTGTTCATTTCCTTTGGATCCTTTATATTTTTCTGAACTCGAGTTAGGTGGTGTATTGTTACTATTCTCTTCCCTTTTCACACACATAACCCCCCGGGGAGCTTGTTGGGAATCAGCCCCTGATGAAGTACCTCAGGAATGGCGGGCAGCAGGGATTTATCAGTCTCACACACATAGAAGGGTCCTGAGGTTGACAGCAACATGTTCACGGGCAAGGTGGAGATGTTCTTTATAACCAAAGGCTGGTAATCAGGTTCTAGGATATCAGTAGGTTTCTGCAAAAACAGAAAAATAGGAAACAAACCATGTCATAGTAAATATAGTGATCCTTTAGCAACGAAAGTCTCATATTCATTATTATCAACACATTCAATGCTCACATGTTCTCTCTCTCCTCTCTCCTCTCTTCTCTCCTTCTCTCTCCCTCTCCCCCTCACCCTGTCCTGTATGTGTATATATGTGTGCATATGTGTGTTCTTTTCCCCCTTGCAGAAGTTTAGATAAATCATGGGGAACGATGTCTGGTGGACTACTAAAAAGTGAATCTTCATAACCCAGAGAACATAGATCAGATTTTCCTCTCTTGTTGCTGAGTTGAAAAAACCTATAAGAGTCATGCTTCTGTATAAAACTATTACTATAGATGTTTCCACAGTGTCATAAAACAAAGTCTAATAAATTAGTGATATCTTGTGGATAAATCTAGGTATCATAATGAATAAAGCATTTTGCCCATATATTTTTTCCGTGCTTAAATAACCAATTTACAAATATACTTGTTATATTGATGAATGCTCATAAGTATTTCCTGTAAACTTTTCCTGATAACACCAGGACAGTTGATTTAGAAGCATATTTTTACTCTGTTAGACATATCAGATTTAATTTTCAACTAGAAAAGGTATCAGAAACGAATCTTGAGCCAGAAGTTCTGGCCAGAATGAATTTTTCTCATTCTGATGCTGGCGCCCGCACTGTATCTGGTGTGGCCTGGAGACAGTGTCCTTTAATATTAGCAGCAGGTGACCAGAAGCTTCAATACACAGCCTCCAAAGAGTACCTCTCTCCAAGCATTCCCTGGCTCTTCTAACAACTCTAGCCTGTTTTTCCCAGGCCTCCTTGTTTTGATTTGCCTTTTCTCTTTGTTACAATTTCAGTTAAATTTTCCTATTTCCTATTTGGATCTGTCTTCCAGTTTTCTTTCCAGTACAGTCTTCTTTTCACTGTGGTTCCCGGGTCCCCTGGCCCTGGGTGAGCTTGGGTGACCAGCACCCATTGACTTGAGCCTCCTGCTTCAGTTGTACCCCATTACCCCTGGGTACACTCTCAAGGTTACTGTAGGGGTCTGGTATGGCATTTTCCCTGAGATACCAGCCCTTGTTTCCCTCCATCTGGTGCCCACGATGACATGGGCACCAGACTCACTGTGCACCTGCAGGTTGCACGCGACAGTTCAAGGAAGGATGAAGCAGCACTTTTGGGCTTACTAAGCAACAGGCTGCATGGAGAACTGTCCACCCAGTGACCTTCCCCGAAGGCTGCTGTGTCACTGCAGATGGCTTTGAAGTGAAGAAGCCACACTTGGTTGGTTTTGGCAAGAGGCCATTCAGAGGTTAGTGATGAGAAGTAGAAGCACTGAGAAGCTGTTCTATTTTAAAATGACCCCTTCTCTTTGGGTTTTTGTGTCCCCAAATACCAGCAGACAGAATTCGCCGCTGGAACTTCATGAAGCAAACTGGCTGCTAGTTTCAATTGACCTTTTCAATCCCACAGAGATGTTTCTGCGGGATTTCACCTCTGTGGTTTATGAATGGTATGATAGTTATAAAGCAGATCAAACCCTAGGAAACAGTTATAGAAAAATTCTTTCTTTCCATAGACAGGGTTGGTATCATTATGTTCTAATGCATCAAACCGGATGTACTGCCTGGAGACGAAAACAAGGAGACGGAGCAGATAATTGGGTGTCATACAATTAAATCTGAATACCGAGGCCTAGCAGGTCTTTTACCCATGCTGGGCAGTGAAGTTGCTTTTCTTAATTGTCCCTGATTTGGATTAAATGTGAGCAGGAAATGAAAATGAACAATACAGTACTAGGACAGATTTCAAACTTCCCATCTTTGGGGGAAAAGAGAGAAGGGTGGAAACAAGCAGGGAATTGTAGTTTGATTCACTTTTTGATTCAATAAGAAGTTAATATCATATTCAAAATATTTGTGTATTTTAATCTAGTGATAACCTCAAACAATGGAGATTTAAACAAAAATATACTTGCCCTTGCCCCCCGACAAAGGCATAAGGATATGAAAAGAAGAAAAGGAGCAGGAGTGCTACCCGTACATTTTTATGAGTGTTTATGGGCTTAGAAAAATCTAATAAGAAACTAAGCTGCAATTTAACATATATTACAATGCCATGCATGGAACAGCTATTCAATAAATATTCACTGAACTTTCTTTGAATAGCTGCATTCAGAGAAAATATGATGCCACCAAATCCAGTGCAGCTGTTGCCAATAAATATCTTTACTGATTACTTATTAAATAAAAAGGAAGAATTTAAAACAGAGCACTAAAGTTTAATAACTGTAGCAGGAACTCTTGTAGCATTTTCTTTTTACATGTCTCATGGAGCTTGTCAGCTCCATGTCTTGCTTGTTAGTTCAGCGTCCTGTCGTTGAAACCCTTGTTCTATTTCTTTAATGTCCACCTTCCCCACTTGTCAGTTAAGCCAGGGTCTTTGCTGTGTCTTTTCTGCCTTATACATTGTAGGTGTTTAATACTCTGTTGGGTGCTCAAAAATTATTTGTGGATTTGAACTTGTACATCTTGTCTCTCCTACTAGACTATAAGCTCCCTTATTCATCTCCTAGCAGAACACCTTGCCCATGGTGGTGTTCAGTAGATGTTCATTTGTTTCAATGAACAAAATATAACGGAATCCGTTATCAGAATTAATGGTCTTGAACATTTCCCTATAAACCTCTAAGTCATGAAAGGAATCCCAGTTGATGACGCCATGACTGCTCAGGCACTGCCACACCCAGCAATTTAACGTGACAGCATAGATCATGCTATGGGACAATGGCTTACTTAATGCTTGGTCTTCCAAGTAGGCTGTGAAATTCAACAGGGAGAACTGTTCTCACTGTTGTATCCCTAGCACCTGGCACAGTGCCTGGCACAGGACAGGCCTTCATAAATATTTCACTCAGCAGCCAGCATGACTGTTTCAATGAATAAATCTGATCATGTCACTTCCCTTCCTGAAACTCTCTAGTGGAAACCCAGAACAAACCCCAACGTCCCGAGCATGCCTCCCAGGCACACTACATGTCCCCAGACAGATCTCTTGCCATCCTTGGTACATTCTCTGTCCAAGGCAGCCTTTCAGTTCTCTAAGCCCACCAAGCCGTCCATTTCCTAACTCAGGCCTCCATGTGCACTGTTCCCTCTGCCTACAATGTCTTCCCCTTCCTTGTCACCAAACTAATGTCTATTTTTACTTCAAGTCTCAACTTGAGGTGCTTGCTTAAGGAAGCCATCTCTGACCACATGGACAAATAAAGCCAAATCTCCCGATATGTGCCCTCATCGCACCTTACACCTCTTCTTCATGGTGTTGTTTATAATGGTAACTTAAACAATTAAATGTCATAACTTTTTAAAAGTCTATAACTTCAACCAGCATCTTAGATTTGGTTATATCTGTTTGGTTCATCAGATTTTTCGCACCAGTACAGTCCCTGACTTACAATAGATATTCCATACATGTCTTTTTGAATGGTAAACAATACTAGGTTGGACACCTGTCTAGGAGTAGGTCAAATCCTACTGTGTCATCTCCTCCACCTCCTTGCCATGCCAACCCCTGTCCTGAGAAGCAGCCATTCCTGTATCTCCCTATCCCCTGGCTCTCCCACTTATTGCCTGTCCTTAATGGCCATATAAAATCAAGGATATATATAGCCATTTAAGTTAAAGAGTGTGAACTACATAGTTCAAGTTGATTATTCTGCAGCTTAACTTGTATCTCAGTTCCCTCATGTGTATCATGGGAATGATAACAGAACGTCCTGCAGAGTGATGTTGTGAGGGACAACTGGGAAAATGTATGCAATGAACATAGCTCAATGCTCAACATGTACTAATCGATAAGTGATAGCTATTCTGATAGTTATAGAATGATTATTAGAATTATAATGATTATATTTATAATTATAATAAATATTATAATTATAATAATTATGATTATAGAATTATGTAATTATAATGAATAATTACATAATTATTGATAATCATTCTTCTCCAACTCTTTCTCTAATTTGATGTTTATTTTACCTGGTTAGAGTAAAATGATTGAATAAAATGCATTTGCAGTGCACTGGAATACTCTTTCACTTTGGTCTTATACATCATGAATGATGGAAGGAGAAATCCATGGCAATTTACATTTCAAATGATGGTAGGTTTAGATTCACAATTTTTAGTTGAACGTGTACTGGCCTTAGAAAACATGGGCTGTGCAATGGGTGTAACAGGATTTCCATCAATTTAGCTTTCAAAATTAAAACGTGATTACGCTGACCCGTCAGCTGGAGCATCCATGCCTCTCCCTGGTGCAGCCCACTGACCTTCTCCAGCCGGTAGACGAGCTGCTTGGTGGACAGCTGGATGAGAGGGGCGATGAACTCGCAGGTGACGTTCACGGTCATCACCAAGCTCTTCCCCTTCTGTGCCCCAATGCTGGCACGGCACACCAGCTTCTCTTTAACAACCTGCCAACGAGATATGCCAACATGCGGGGAGCAACCATAACTCAGAAAACTTAATGACCTACCAGGAGCAAACTGACTCTCAACTACTTTCTTGGGGACACGAAGGAAGAGAACATTTTCTGAATAGTGCATTTCAGGGATTGCTTTCTGTCACACAGTACATTCTGGTTGGTTAAATACAGCTTTAATGGATTCTGTGTTTATTTCTGACTGCCCCTGAGGACAAAAGCAATTTATATTTAGTTCAAAATACATACATACATACATACATATATATGTGTGTGTAGGATCTATTATGCATTGGGGCTGTGTTAGGGGCTGAGAGTACAAAACTGATAAACAAGGCAGATAAAATCCTTCGTAGGGCTTATAGTTAAATGGTAGTCATATGATTTCTTATCAAACTAGCTGCAAACTTCAGTTGAAAAAATTTCATCTTTCATACTTAAATATTTTTAAAAACATGCATTAGAAACTAATATTTCCTTGGACCCAAGAAGCCCAGATTTTCATAAAGTAGAAAGTTCCAAAAGTGAATTTATATCACAAATAGCTTATTTAGAAGAGTGCTCAGGTTTGGGATGTTAATGAATCCTGGTCTCTTCTCAACTATGTAGCATGATTGGGAAGAACATTCAGGGAAGCTTTTAGTAAAGCTTAAACTGAATTTAGTCCTCAAGAGGCTCAGATTTAGTGCTTTTAAAAACATGGTCAACTCTTGGATAACAACATTGTAAATATGCTCCTCTAACAGGCTGTCAGTGTCTTGAGATAAGGTGTTGTATTCTATTCACCTTTGCATCTGCAGCGCCTAACACAGTATTTGTCACATGGTATATGCACAATAAAAGTTGGCTGATGACCTGAATAACAGAGAGCACATTATATACTCTGTAAGGACACATACCCTTTTTTTGGGTACTGAGGATGTGTTTAGGTAAAACACATAATTCTCTGTGAAATAATAATGAAATGAAATAAAGTGAAATCTGTGACCTTAGAGAAGCAAAGCAGTGGACTAGCTTTCCCATCATGTCTGCTGGGAGACAAACTTCTTATTGCTTCCTATTTCATGAGGGGACAAGTCAATGCTACCTCCTAACTTAGTGATACAAACAGAAGCTTAAACAAGCATCATTTCTCATTTAAAAACACTGCATTTGTGGGGTGGGAGAGATGGTTAAGTGACTTCAGAAGTCTTTCTTTTAGGTTTTTGATGGTTTCCAAACTCCATGAAGGTAAAGAGACACATGGTTTGGATTTACTAAAATGTTTTAAGCATTATATATGGTAGTAATACAAATAAGAGCAGAAAATCAGGGCTGCTGAAGATAAATGTTGCTCTCTCACTGACACATAAAAAGATGATGTTTTAAAATGTGACACTGTTGTAGTCAGACTGGGATAAAGTAAACCAGGGATGTCCCAATATCTGGAAGAGACATGCAGTCCAGAGTGTCTATAAAAACACCCTTTTTGAATAAATATTAAATTAATACTGCTAAATGTTAATAGGAGAATTTGCTTTGGCTGAAAAGTGGATGTTTCTTTACCAGAGACCTGCTAGCTGGTCACTGTCAACCCTGGGAATGAGAACTTGCTTTAAAGGATCTTTTAAGGTTGGGTTCATGGTAGCTATAGAAACAAACAGAAAGCAGAGCAGACCTGAACCTTGAAAGCCATGGATGCTGCCATGGCAACTCAGTGCTGTACACAATCCTTGAGAAACCACATCTTTTCTCAGACAAATGTCAAGAGACTCTTCTAAGAAACACATATAGCAAAGATTTATTTAGGAAAAAAATAGCTTCTAAATGTGCTGTCCTCTTACCCTGGGAATTGCAGAATAGCATTCAAGTATCACATCGATCGTCTGGCCTGGGTACAGCTCCATCCTGACAGGGTGGAGCTGAAACACTGGGTTCTGTGAACCCCTGAGCTCCTGGGAGCCATTGGGCTGGAGTTGGCCATTAGCACATCCCTTCTTAACCTGGTCCTTCTTGCTCAGCTTGCCCTGGGGACGGAAACTTTCATTCATCCAGAACAACTGTTGGATCCGACGTCCTTTGTTGGTCAACTTAAATCGGTAATAATGGGTATCCAGGCTGGAAAAGAAGAGGCAGGTGTTGAGAGGATTCAACTTATGGATGTTCTGTTCAGCTCTACACCCTTAGTATTTATTCCTCTGCAAGTGTTTAAAATGGTGAACAACAAAATAAGACATTGCTTTCTTTTTTTTTTTTAATGTGGGAAGTCTGTTATGACTGTACTAGGAGCTAACACAGTAATGGGACAAAATAGTGTCTACTCCAGGGGCTAGTAGGGTTGGATCTGTGATCTTAGTTTTTTAAAAAAATATTTCAGAATATTAGGGAAATACTAATGTTTTGGTTACATGAATTGCTTTTATGCAGTTTGAGTCAAAGTTGTAAGTGTGTCCATCACCCACATAGTGTACAGTACACCTGGGTTTTGTCCCAAAGTTGCCACCACCAGGTAAGGGGCTGGGGAAAGCTCCACTCATCCTCAGTCTTCCAGGGCAGGTCAAGCATAAACCACAGGACACACAGACACAGTTCACATGAAAAGCATAAGAGAAATAGTTCTGAGAAGTGAAAGGAAAGCAAAATACCTACTGGAGGAGAAGCATATTTAAAATTGTGTTGAGTAAATTTCTACTGACTGAATGAAATGTCTCATGATGATGGACTCAATTGGAAGGGAACGTTGAAGAGAAACAGCACATATCCTTTAAGCCTTAACAAAGGTCAGGGAGACTGCAATGAGCCAGACACCGTCTGGATTGGTCACTTTTCTTAGACAAATGTGCTTTAAAGATGTTGCTAAATTCACTTATTAATTTGTTCACTAATTCATCAATTCTGTAAATATATATTAAAGACCTCCTGATTGGATCTTTGCTAAAACTGAGATTTCTAAGATCCTGGAGATGGTTCAAACGTGTTTTTGTTTGTTTTGGATTTTTTCGTTTTACTAATTTATGGGCTTATATTAAAGTATTTTTTTGGTGAAAGAACCTCTCTCAGGACTGCTTTTTTTCAATTTTACTAGGCTTTGAGATTTCATCCCATCTGTTCCTTTTTAGCAAATAACATCATGTATAATAAGTAAGTTGAAGCATCAAATAAATAATCAGAAGGAATATTTGCCAGTTGTCAGGTATAACCATTTCTATCTAAGTATGTGTCCACAGGGCATGCTCACTGGGACATCTTTACTTGGCAGTTTAACTTTATGGCTATACTGTTTATAAACTAGGCAGGGCCTTTGTTACTTATTCACAGTTTGTCTTTAAATCATCACAGCAACCTAGACATAATAATAGTATTTACTACCATTTTATAGATAAAGAAATAGAACTCTGACACCATTCACAGTAGCAAAGGTATGGAATCAACCTAAGTGTCCAACAGATGACTATATAAAGGAAATGTCGTGTGTATATATATATATATATACCATCGAATACTGCTCAGCCATAAAAAAGAATCAAATCATGTCTTTTGCAACAACATGGATGGAAGTAGAGGCCATTATCTTAAGTGAATTAATTCAGAAATAGAAAGTCAAATACTACATGTTCTCATTTATAAGTGGGAGTTAAATAATGTGTACACATGGGCATAGAGAGTAGAATAATAGACATTGGAGACTCTGAAGGGTGAGAGGGTGGGAGGGTAAGAGGGAGATAAGAGTGAAAAAAAAATCACTTAATGTGTACAATGTACACTATTAGGGTGATGGTTACACTGTAAGCAGAGATACTACAACAACATACTATATCCATGTAACAAAACTGCACTTGTACCTCCTAAATATATAAAAATAGGTTAAAAAAAATTGAAGCTCTGAAAATCTAAGGGAGTTGTCCCAAAATATGCAATCAGAAGGAGTGGCATATGGGTATTTCTTTCAACCAGGACTGACAAATTTTTCTTTAAAAGTCTGAGTAAAAATATATATTAGTTTCCTGGGGCCACATAGTCTCTGCCACAACTACTCAACTTTCCCTTCTCATGTGAAGGCAGCCATAAACAATATGTAAAGGAATGGGCATGGCTGTGTTCCAATAAAACTTTATTTACAGAAACAGGCAGTGGGCTGTAGTTTACCCAGCCCTGCTTTTGACAATCCTTCTGGAGACTGCTGGCATCATGATTTTATGTCAAAAAGAATAACAAGAAGGTTAAATAACAATAACAAGAGGTTAAAGTTACAGTTTACTTTTATATTTATAGATGGCTGTTAGCTAACTCTCCAATTTCAGGCAAGTGTCAGAATATCCTTTGGAGGTTATTTGACACTATTTGTAGATTAAGAAGAGCATATAATTAAGTCTGGTTTGCAGTGTATTGTTTTCTATAATTATATTTAAATGCCTTTAAAGAAATTTGAAAATAGAAGCATTGATATGCAATGACAAAATACTGTAGCTTACAGCCAGTAGACAGGCAGAGAGGAAGATTTTTATATCTAATTGACTCGAAAAATATAATTGGATAGTTGTCTAAAAGAATGCAGTTCAACCACCTGATTTGCCTGTTACTGAAGTCTCTATTGGTTCATAGTATTGTCAATCAACTCCCATGTTTTGTAGATGGAAAAAAGGAAAGGAGGCATAGGTGGGATTGTGGGGAGGGTTCCTGACTTATTGCTGTCAGTCGCATCTTCTCAAAGCACAGTGCATCTGGCTTGGTTTCAGGTTCTGTTAGACTAGAAGGCAAGAGGAACACCCTCGGAAATCTGTTCACAATACTGTGACAGGTACAAATTCAACTGGCCCCCAAGAGTCAACTAGTGACAGCTGTATGACTGTCCTGAGGACCTAGGAATAAATCCCCACACATATCTTCTACCCTCTATCTCCACATTTAGAATGTTCTGCTCAGAAGTATCTCTATTTGCCACCTTTTACTGAAAAATTTAGATCTTCTAGCCTTTCCTGGGTGATCAGGGGAAGCCAACTGCAATGATCTCAGTTGTTGGTGCTGAAGTGGGGAGGCAAGCAGAAGACATATTACCCCAAAAAGCTACTGGCTTTGTAACACCTGATAAAGTACATTTGCAATAATTTTTATTAATACCTTCAAAGGTATATCTTATTTACATTTCCACTAAGATATATCTGTATTTTCTACATTCATGGAGAGGGATGAGCAGCATAATGGAATCAAAGAGGAGAATCATGGTTGAAATTCTAAATTCATCACAGATAAACCACTCTAAATTTGAGAGAAGAACACACTTCCTACAAACCATCTCTTTCTCTGGTGCAGAGGAACATAGATTGGAGAATGTAACAAAGCCATGACTAGAAAATGTCTTCTTGTGGCTGGTGTACCCATCAGGAGTAGGAAGTAAGAACGGGAAAGGAGAGGGACCGAAGAGGCTAGTTCTATTTACTCAAAAATAATTTTCCAAATAGAAGTGATATTCAGGTTATGCAACATACATTATATCTATAAAAACTGGTCCATGATATTTCTTACCTAAAATGTGCCCCCAAATTGAGTTCTGGAGCAAAGGGCTTATCTGAAACAATGGTGGAACCAATTCCAGAAGCTTGGACAGGAATCTGATAGGTGTTGCTATTTTCAATGTCCAAAATAACTGTGTCCTTGAATGTCAGTGTGTCATTCAGGTTGGCGATCAGGGACAGTTGAACCTCAGTTTCCGGGGGAACCATGCCTTCGTTGGGTTCAATCGTCCAAAGGGATTTTTTGTGTGCCTGCAACACAAGACTACAAGTTAACAGGGAAGATATTCTTGGCTTTTCATTCTGCACATGTCAAAGCCCTCTATACTTCAAATAGTTGGCACTGTGGAATTCAACATAAGAGACAAATATTATTTTTTTGAATCAAAGCAGCTGGATGCTTGTTGGCTTTTCTTTTTTCAAAAAGCAATCTGATTCTAAAGAGCAAACCTCTGATTTTACTTTTGAATGCTCTGTGAAGATTCTTTGCATCTCTTTCCTAAGATGACAACCCAGTTCCCCAACAATCTTCTACTCATTATCTGCTCTAATCTCCAAATTCTGAGATACCAACAGAAGGTACAACATTCTTTATGGAGTTGGAAAATTTTCAAAGAAACGTTTTTCAAATGCAAAATTTCTAGTGTTATAGTGAGGACGAGCAGTTTTCATTAATAAACATAATAAAGGAAGTCATGCTGATTTCTTCTATTTCATAATAATCAAAACAATTTCATTAGCTAAAATTCCAAACTTATTTTGAAATATAATCATGCGTTGCTTAATGATGGGGAAACGTTCTGAGAAACGCATTGTTAGGTAATTTCACCATTGTACAAACATCATAGAATGTACTTATCCAAATGTACATGGTATTAGCCTATTACATGCCTAGGCTGTGTGGTATAGCCTATTGTTCTAAGGCTACAAACCCACACAGCATGTTACTGTACTGAATACTGTAGACAACTATAGCACAGTGGTATTCGTGTATCTAAATACATCCAAACACAGAAGAGGTACAGTAAAAATATGGTATTATAATCTGTGGGACCACCATCATATATGTGGTCCATCTGACTGAACATCATTATGCTGCACATGACTATATATGATAGGACTAAATTACAGAGTCGGAAGTCACTCCCACCAATCTGTTCCTTTTAACTGCTAAGATTCTCATAGCTTACTCCTTTTCCTCCTTAAGGTATTTGGCAAAATAACACCTTTTAATGACACCTACTCTGACCATCACATTTTAAATTGCAAACCCTCCCCTAGCACCTATGATCACATTTACCTTGCTCTATTTTTTCCCCTTAGTGCTTATCATCTTCTAACATAGTATATAATTTACTTATTTATCATGCTTATTGTCTGTCTCCTTGCATTAGGATATAAGCTCTACATAGAAGGGAATTTTTATCTTTCTTTGTCACTGATATAGCCCCAGCATCTATAACTATAGTTGGTATATAGTAGGTGATTAATAAATATTTGATAAATGAATGAATGTATCTGCCCTTTTATCAAATCCTTTGATGGTAGAGAACTCACTTCTTATCTAACGTAACTTATCCCATGTTTTAACAACTCAAATGATGAGATATCTCTTCCTTAAAGAGATATGCCTTTTTGGTCTTCCTACATATTAGTATTTGGTCCACTCCCTTGAAGCTTTCTAGAATAAACTGAATCTACTTTTGCTTAACAGCCCTTCAAATTCCAGCTTCAGTAGAAAACCTCATATGGTGCAATCAGTCTCCAAAGTAAGTTGCAAATGTGGTTAAGGTATCAAATCATAAAAAATGACTCCCTATAAAATTTTAATTAATTTTAAAATATAATTTTTGCTTCTTTCATAATAATCTATTTTCTCAGATTACTTTTAAGATTTTCTCCTTGTCTTTGAGTGTTTATAGTGCAGGTTCACTACCTTGTATCTAGGTATGGATTTATTTTCATATCCTACTTGTAATTTGCTATCCTTGTAGAATCTGTGGTTTGCTATTTTTTATTTCTGAAAAATTCTCAGCCATTGTCTATTTAAATATTGTTTCTGCCTCATTCTCTCTTCCCTTTCCTTTAGGACACCAATTGTATGATTTGTGATGTACCCTGTCTTGTAGTTTCTTACTGCATTTTCTATTCATTTGCTCTTTGTGCTTCAATTTGGAGCTTTCTTCTGAGCTCTCTTCCAGTTTGCAAGTTCTCTCTTCAGCTGTGTTTAATATGCTGTTAAAGACATGTTCTTAATTATGGTTTTTGTATCTTGAATTCAGGTCTTAGTGTTTTATATTTCCTTTTTATAAGCTTTTCAGCCCTTGAGAACTTTTTACAAGTCTGACTATGACATTGAACTTACTAACTACTACTTACAGTAATTAGTGACTACTCCACCTAGTCTCTCCTATTTATTGGCAAATTTGATAAGCAAATTGTTTTCAGGACTTTTAAGTAATGTAGCAAATACTTAATGGCTCTGAGGTCCAGGTGTTGCAGGAGATACATAAATACTCAAAGCACATTCCCTTCCCCAAGGAGCCGACAGTGATGACATTTATGGAGATCAATATGTAAATAACAAAAAGTGAAATTCAGAAGAAGCCAGAAAAAGAGTACCTCAGGGAAATCTAAAGAACAAGATGATTTTCCATAATAGAAGATGTTGAAACCCTTTGAATGACTGATAAATGTACCACACACATTTTCTTTTCCCTCCCAATATGAAATTGGACTTAATTATCAGGTGATGTGATTCCTAATTACATTACAATATTGATTAATAAAATTATAATTTATTCTAACTGCATGTCTCAACAATGATCTCAAAGTTAAAAAGTATCTTAGTAAAAAATCCTTTCATTACATGTAACCAAATGTCTGTACCCCCATAATATCCTGAAATAAATTTAAAAAAAATTGTTTCCCTATTTTGATTGCTTTATCACTTAAATCAATTCTGACAGTTGTGGTTCATTTTGTAGAAGACATGACTCAGAAATACTTATGTGGATTAATCTTCGTAGAAAATATTTAGTGATTATCAATATGTATTGAGAAAAAGTTTAAAAGGAAATGATGTGGAGATCATCTAGAAACTTCCAGGATAATAACTGAGAGAAAAGCCAAACTCTCTAGTTCATTGGTGAAAAGCTGGATTATTCCCTCATTAATCTTCCTTGACTCCTCAGAAGAAGCTGTCTGAAGTGAAACATATAGATGAAAAAATATATTTTAAAACAAATGCAAAATTTACTCTTTGAGCAGGACTGTGGAGGACATTCCAGTCTAGAACTGTCCTCCTTTCATTTAATTTCTGTGATATACTTCTCCTAGCAAAAGAGAAAAAAGAGAAATGTAAAAACTTGTGTAGCCCTTCGGGGGCTCAGGTATGATGGAGGTGATGAATCAGAAACTTCCTGACAAGCTTAGGTCAGGTTTGGAATACAGTTGCACTGATGATCTTTATAAATGAGAAAAATGTGCATTGGAGATTACAGGCAAGAGGTAAAGATTTCAGCCAGGCAGAATCTCACAGGATGGCAGTGCCTTGGAAAGTCACCAAAATCCAGGTCTGGCTTCAATGCAGATTCAAAACTAGATTTGGTAAGTGGGTCCCCATGGTCGCACTCTCAGGAACAGACTCATAGGTACTTAAATAAAGGAGCATCTAATATTTAAACCAAAATGCCAATTTCCCAATTTACAACTGAGGACAAATCCTGTTACACAGACCAGAAAACATTTCCTCCTGGTTTGAAAGTCTACATAGGAAATAAGTAAATTTCATTTTAAAATTTAAATAAATTAAAGCAAAGAAGAACATTTTTAAGATTATAAGTTGTATATAATGAGGATGTAGATGAATGATAATGAGGAAATTTTATTTAAATTTTAGTATTAATGGAAATTATAGATTTAACTCTAAGTCAAGAGTCCTATTGCTACTCATGATCTCTGAATATGGAAAATCTCTAGAGACATAGAAATAGAAGAAAACAATTAAACATTAAATACCACACTAGATAAACTAGGGCCTAGAGGGAAATATTTGTATAACTGCCTCAATTCAAAGGACACTTGTGGGGAAAAAATGCCGAATCTTACATGATATAATCTGTTTTTCATGATTTTCTCTATAACTTTCTTACTCATAGTAACATTTCTAAGCAGAGTACTGAAATATTAAGAAAATAGTAAGCTAAGTCTCTGTTTTCCTAGAGCATTCATCCATATTTGTTTATAATTTTGTATTAAAATATTAATAAAAGATAAACTCATAAATTTAATATTCAAAACTGTAAGTCAATTATTATTGGCAAGAGAAACTACAAGGATTGAGTGTCTTAATACTCTGTTCATATTTAGGTTGAAAGAAATAATTTATACTACATCTTTTAATTTATTCAAAATTTTTTTAACTGTCCCAAAGTGAAAACCCTAAAGTCCTCTAACACAATCACAGAAAATGACATAAAAATGAGTTCTAAAAGAGCTATGCATGCAAATTCAATTTTCTATGGGTATTTAAAAATGGATTAAGATAGCTTCATTTCATCTAGATTTATATTATAGTACATAGGAGTCTTTGCCTTAAATCATTTTCAGTCTTCCCTACACCGTCAAAGCAATAATCGAAATAGATTTCTCATGCTTGAGTAACCAGCCCATCTCCTTTCTTAGAACTAGTTTTCTTACTTGCAGTTTTTAGATTCTGGGCTATATTTTAGATAAGGTAATGATAGCTGCCATAGCAGAAAGACCCTGACACTCAATGGCTTACTACAATAGCAGCTCATTTCTGGCTGACATGAATTCCAACTGGTGATAGGGGCGAGGATGGGCTACTTTTCTATTTAGTCATTCAAGAACCACAGCTAAACAGAGTCTGACATATTTAACTCGTGGCTTCTAAAGACACTGTGGAGTTTGACATCCAGTTGGCCAATACGAGAAGGAAAAGAATGGAGGGTCACATGCTAGGATTTTGTGTACCAAGCCTGGAAGTGGCGCACGTTACTTCTGTCCACTTCCACTTGCCAGATCTGCCACGCAGCCACACCTAACCCCAGAGAAGGCTGGCTGGGAAATGCAGTCTACTTCTTAGTCCAGAGTAAAGGGACACGAGTATAGTGAGCTGCTAGTTGCTCTCTGTCAAAGCTACCTTTTTGGTTCACTCTAATGCTTTCCCCAGCTCTCCCAGATCTTAGATTTTGAAAAGTGAAGAGCTAACTCCATCAGACAACAGA